AAATCTACATCATAGATATTCTGGTGTATAGAAAGTATCAGTCACTGAAACCAGAATTTATAAAGTGCCTCATATAATAATTCAGTTTTCTAAAAAGTATAACTACTTTTTACAAAACTATTGCAAGTATTGCACAATATACTGCATCATACTGCATCATACATTACATCACACATGATGTAACACTTATAAATCAAGACAAATATGCCATAACTTACATAACTCAAACTCTAAACTCACAGTCTATAAATAAGACCAAAATCCCCACTGCAAAATGTAATTAACAGAACAATTCAACAACTTCTTTGAATATTCATTGACTACTTCTTCTATGCTATTGTTTTCTGAACTCTATTATCACTGTTCTCACTCTACTCATTCACCAAAACCTTATATATAACTATATACTTATATATTTATATATATTTATATAGTTATTAGTAAGTACATTCTACTAACTAAGCTTTTGTTGTATGAGCTTCTACTGCACATTGACTTGCTCACAAATGTCTTGAAAAAACACTTCATATTGCCTGTGAAGTGCAGAAAAAGTATTATGATTCAAAGCATGTATCACAAGTATTCAACATGAAAGAATGGGTACTTCTCAATGCAAAGAACTTAAGCATGTGTTGTTCAGTCTGAAAACTGAATCATAGATATATAGAGCCATTTGAAATCATTGAAAAATGGGGGAAACAATTCTATAAGCTTCAATTACCATCATTATTTAGAAATATTCACTCAGTATTTCATATCTTCATGCTAGAGAAATACAATAAAAGGGAAAATAAACTATCACCATCAAGTTCAGAACTGATGAATGATCATGAAGAATACCAAGTAGAAGATATTCTTGATAAATATACACACAGAAATAAAATTGAGTATCTAGTCTGTTAAAAGAGATGGGGATCAGAAAATGACATCTGAAAATCAGATTATCAGAAGAACATATTCAGAATACAGAAGCATTAGACTTCTTTGAACAACAAGAAACATCTGAAGAAGAACACTCAAAAAAGCACTGACAGAGAAGAAAAACATTATAACTGCTGCAAAAAACACAAGAAAAGTACTCTATGTTGCATAAGAACTATAAAAAACAAAACTTTCAAAGACTTTTGTTCTTGTTATTCAATAAAAAAAAGAAAAAGAAATGTAATGAAAGACTTCTTCATTGATTAAACACTTAAAGACAGTCACTACATGAACTTAAGAAACTAGATACAGAAAAAAAGCATCAAAGCACACAAAAAACAACTCTTTTTCAAGTCAAAGCTCAATCTTTCTGAGAGTCAGAGATCTTCCACTCATCACAGACAGCAGCAGCAGTACAGACAGCATGATGAGCAAGATGATGAACACAATAAATAAGATAACATTTTAAATATATCTGCACTGACTCAATCTGCTCTTTCTCTTTTCTCTCTTCTCTGACTCTACTCTTCCACAAACACAGAGAAGCATCAGAGATGGTCACAGATGAAGATAATATAGACACACAGACTTTTATTACTGACAGACTTCATTTACAGATGATTATCTCATATCTAACATTAATCATAATGACAGCTTTATGAACTTAACATCTTTCAACATTAATCATAATAGCTGCACATGCACACTTACTGCACTGTCTTGCAGCAGAAGTGATCAGATATTGCATCTTGTGCTGAAGATTTAAACACTCAGTGAAGACAGTCATACTCAATCTATTAGTGTAGTAGATCAGACTTCATAAATCAGAAATCTGCTGAAGCTCATTCTTCAAGCTGATGATCTAATAGTTATGTTAGTAAGAATCAGAACAATTCAGACACTGAAAGTGCATGAAACTTAACAGACTCTAGAACATTAACACAACTTAGTGTCATAATTGCATTAATAGATGATCATCAAAAATCTTCACACACACAAAAAGATATAAGATTCTTATCAGAGTACATGAGCAGTATATTCTCCAGTACACTTTACAACAGTGATGTCTGGGCATAACAACATATAAGTCATCAGAGTTGATAAGCAGAGAGAGACAGTGAAAGCATGAAACATAACTACATCAAAAATAATTAGTAAATGTTCACATAAGTTCAAAAAATCAAGACATCAAAAACACTGTGAAGAACATAAATAAAAGTAAAAGCAGATATATCACAAAAGATTAATGCTAATAATGAATAGCATAGATAAGTCAAGAGTCATTAGCAAAATCAAAATAACAGTAATAAACATTACTGCACAATAACATTGTGAATTGATGATTCACAACATGCAAAAGCAAAATCTTCATCACATCACTTAGCATTAATAAAAGTGTCAAAGCAGCATAAATAAATCAATTCAGTACTCACACAACATAAAGAATGATGAATGATGAGACAGCACAACAGAAGAAGTAGCAAGACATAATAGCAGTGATGATGTGATAATGCTCAAGTGAAGAAAGAAGAAGAAAAAGCTCACACACTGATGTTGTTAATATTCACTAAGCATTAGCATCACACTAACATTGATGACCATGCAACCACCAACCATGCTAACACTAGAGATGTGGCATCACTAATTATCCAATCAGCATCAGTGCAACAAAACATCAACACCACACATCAACACTGCAACACTGCAGATTTCATCTGCATCAACATTCAACACTAGTGCAATTTATTAATCACACACTCTAATATTTCAAAATTAGAACATCAACAGCATAAGTAGATGTCTAATTAAATTATCTTGCTATCTTTTAAGATCTTGAGAACAATGTCTACTAGAAAAAAAGACAATTGTCATGCTGACTGTAGACTAAATCCACTCTAAGAGCTAGCATCTTATTAGTTAGCATAATTCTAATCTCACTAGTACTTAAAGCCATGCTGATCTTCTTTCACAGAAGATCAGTGATGAGTTCTTCTCTTACTACACATATAGCAATACTACTTAAATACTATAAGTGCAACTTAGTTATCTTTCTTACACTGTAAGCTTGATACATTGTTCTTTAGCATCTATCTCATAGACTGTCACTCTACAAGCTGCAGCTTTATTTATCTCTTTTTTAAGTTTTTTTACTAATTATTTTTCTTCATAAATTATATACTGCTCAGTACACTTAGCAGTCTGATTCTCTCTTAATATAATTAATTGAAGCTTCTTCTATTTCTTCTATATTCTTTTATTCTTGTTCTTCTGCTCTTTTTCTATGATTTTGACTCTTATTTTCACAATCTTTAAAGAAGAAAAGAATTGAGCTTTATCAGCTTGTTCAGAATTAAAGAGATTTAATATTTTGTCACACTGACAGTATTTCTTTTCAATTTTTAGAGCTGCAGCTAGAAATGACATTGATTCTCTTCAGATAGTCTAGTAGTCTGTCTATTCTTCAGCATGTAGTAGATGTAGTGGGCTCTAGAACATCTTTCTAAATGTCTGAAATCTTGAACTGTATAGATTTGAGCACTCTATTAAAGTCTAACAGTCAGATGTCAGCATCTGTAAATATAGATAATATATTTTTCAGCATAAAAGCTGCTATGTACATGAGTTTAAACAAGATGTAGAAATTTAATTTTATCATTTTAATAAAATTTATGTCTTGTTGAGAAAAGTTGTTTAGTTTCTTTGAATAATAGTGCTGTATTGATTTAAAAAGTTCAATATCTAGAAACTGTAAATGATGTATAGAGCTGAATGAAAGAATAAGCAGTAGAATTTTATTTTTATTAATAAAATCAATGAATTGCATATTAATATGAAAAATATATTCATTTAGTATAAGCAGACATCTACTCTACTTACTGTCTGTAGAATTAGTTTTGACTCTAGTCTTTTTATTAAATAATTTCAGTCAGCAGATTTCATATTTATCATTGATTTATTTATTTTCTGATGCAGTAAAGTAAGTTTGATTCTTTTTATAGTTAAAATTAATTAATTAAGTATCTTAAATGTCTCTAAAATCTCTTTTATAAATAAGAGTTGATGTAGTGAAGAATTCATCAGCACAGATGCATGTAAATAGAGAGATAAATTATTTAGTTATCATTCTGTACAGCACTTAATATTTCATCATACTTATAAGCTTATAAAGAGACTACTCTTTTAAATATATTTGCTAGTTCTATAATAAAGTCTTTTTCATCAAAATTGTAAATATTTGTTGATTTAAGATTATATTTCTTGATTTTTTCTCAAAGCTATAGAAATTTATATAGTTAGTCTTAATTCAGTGAAAATCAACATCAAATCAATAAAATTAAGAGATATTACTAGATTAAAAAACAAAGAATAGTACATATAATTGTCAGCAGTTTTTCTCTTTTAATCAATATTTCATAGAAAAATACTAACAAACTGATTTTTATAATGTTCAATAAAGTAAGAGATTCAGTTGAATTCTACATCACTTTACAGAATTTTATTTATTAAATTTCATAGAAGCTAAAATGTAGCAGAAAATTCATAGTTTGTAACAATGTTAATATTGCTCTTGAAGAGCTTCTTTCTGCACATCTGTAAGATTTCTTGAATATAGAGAGACAGCTTTGTGTCTAGAAACTTATATGTCTTTAAAGCAACATATCAACATAGTTATGTTGATTTCATATTTTTTGACAGTTTTGACATAATTAGAAGTCTTCTGCAAGTGCAGATCTTCAATCATCAATCAATCATCAATTTAATAGCAGCTTCATTGGTCATTTTATTGAATTTTGAAAGTAGAGGTCTACAGTAGAAAAATCAGTCACTTTGTGGGTTAGGCCATTTGGTGATGAATTACGTTAAGTGACTAAGCATTCTTACATTATTGTGGAGGCAAACAATGCAAACTAAAAAAACGTTTCCTCCATGGCTCCAACTTCTAGTCGAGCGTATCCATCATATCACCGCCGTTTTTAGATTATTTTGAGAGCCGAGAATCTACATTTCTACGTTTTTGATTCTCCTTGCTTTTGTACCTTTCATTTTTGCCTGCTCTCTCCCAATTTATCCCTAACATTATGGATCACTCCCGAGACCCATGTCCCTGGTAAATGCATTTTTCTATGTATCATGCTGAATAAATCAACTAATCAAGCGTGTAACGTAGGGTCGCGCTATCTGATTTCGGGGGAGCATTTTGTATGGGAGTGAGTCCGCTCATTTTTTGGAAATTTCTTGAGCAAGCGTCTCCTGATAGTTCTTAATATGTAGGCTATTGGGGGCGCCGTCTGGCACGGCGTTAAGGGATTCAGGAATAGCCCCTACGGTGAACGTCGAATAGGAGCTATCACTGCTATAAAAGCTCGAGCCCCAGTTCTAGGCGGAAATTTCGGTGTGTGGGGTGGACTATTTTCGACATTTGATTGCGCGGTGAAAGGGATTAGGAAGAAAGAAGACCCGTACAATGCCAGTATGTTGTGGTCTCCTCAAGCGAGCTTCAATTCAAACATGCTGAAACTATGCATATAGTTATTGCTGGCTTCTTCACTGGTGGCGCGTTAGCGATACGAGGTGGATACAAAGCAGCTCGGAATTCAGCCATTATGTGTGCCGTTTTTCTGGCCGTTATTGAAGGTGTTGGTATTGGCTTTCAAAGAATGATGGCGGATAATACAAGACTGGATGTAAGGCCAACAATTTTTTTTTTAAGTTATTAATCACCCGATTGACTGACGATATACAACTAGCTTCCCCCACCGCCTCCATCAGATAAGGCAATTGTATGATGTATATTCGATCATGCCCCCTCCCACATACTCCAAAAACTCTGTACACCTTTTGTATCATATATTTTCTCTTTTGATGCTGCAAGTAGGCGTTCTGGTACACTGGTCGTGAATCCAAAAAGGGCATGGTTAGCTCACACTTCTTCGAGCAGCTTCCTGTTTGCATGTCTATTATTTCACTCTTTAAGGAAACAGCGCGGGCGGCCTTGGGACTAATGGTAAACAGTGATCTTGTAAAACAGACAGACTATGACTAATGCCTAGTAACAAATAAGGTGGTCGCCTTTTTAGTCGAATGGCTAAGTCGTCTGATAGATCTCCAAAATATATTTTATACAGTTTCACAATCAAGTTGGATAACAGAATTGTATTGTAGAGAATTGATTGAAGAATACTCCAAAGATAATTTATTATAATTACAAATGCTTGCTTCTTTAAATCTTATTAAATATGACTGAAAGCTATTATCATTTAGACTCCTCTATTCTTCATGAAAGTAACCTAGAATTAAAGACACAGTGAATGATTCAAGCATTTATTTACATGTTGATTATATTATTCAGTATACTAGTATACAATTTTGTGGAGTAATTGAAGTTTGAAAAGTGTCACCTGAAAAAAAGGGTGCCAACACTTTTGACAAGGCAATGTATATGATTACATAATAATATAGTTAATTTGTGGCTAACAAGTTACTAGTTAGATAGTTAGTTCGTTAACTCTGTAATGCTGCAAACATGCAAACATAACTAGAATGGTTTTTTTGTCGTAAGCAGGTAACAAACACAGTTTCCAAATTTAAGAGCTCATAATTTTGCCGTGGCTTGATTCGATTTCCAGATCAATAATGTTTGCTCTTAGGGTACTCTCCCGTTCGGCCCCTCGAACTATTACCAAATCCTTCATTAGGCCCCTTCAAACTGCATTTCCAAAGCCCACCTTGCTCCAACAATCGTGGAATCTTGCATCTCGACCGGCTTATGCCTCATTTTCTACGACAAGACCACAATTAGAATCAGCTGGACAAGGTATGAATACCATTAAGTCACAAGGGCTAGCTTTGCGAGTGTCCGATGCTGACATTGCGAGTAGTTGACGCTGAACTCGCAGCTAAATTTCAGGATGAGCTTGCTTTAGAGACGGAAAGCAGTGACACAGATAAACTTCCCGAGTCATTGAAATATTTTCTAGATAATGGTCCATTTGAGGTACTATTTCGGCGCCCTTTCTCTGTGTCATCGAGCTGAACGTCGAACAAGATTCAAGATACTCCGGGCGAAGAAGAGGTCATCATGACCCGTAAATTTGGTGACGAGAAGTTAGTCCACCTAATCTTCAATCATGCCGCCATACTGATGGATTCAGAGTTCGTATTTCCTTCTCAATTGCCGATCTCCAAAATCTCGGCGCCTCCGAAAGCGATTACGACAATGCACTTCCCGACGAATTCGAAGGAAGCGACTCCCAAGCCCGTGGTATGAATGGTGGGGCGAGTTCTGAGAATGCCAAAGCGGCCTCTGGTGACAAGGGCACCCTTTCTGACAATGACAACGAGTTGGAGGAGACATCTGAGCCTGGGTACCCCGTTCACGTCAATGTCACCGTTGAAAAGCCTGGAAAGGGCTGTATGTATGCTGAATGTCTTGTTGAAGATGGTGTCGCCCAAATAATGGAGGTTCAGTACTTTGAAAAGGCAGACATCGCTGCTGCTCAATCAGCAGAGACGCAATGGGCAAGAGGGAGTATTTATGCCGGCCCACCCTTTGGAAACCTAGATGAGGATTTGCAAGTGCTTTTGGAGCGGTATTTGGAGGAAAGAGGGATTGATACCGCTCTTGCTGCCTTTGTACCTGATTACATTGACTTTAAAGAGCAAAAAGAATATGTTCGTTGGCTTGGGAGTAAGTGTGCGCTTAGCCCCATTTCCTTTCTATCAGCTAATCCTTTTTCTAAAATCTAGGCTTGAAAAAGTTCGTTGAAGTGTAACGTGACTCGGCACATGTGTTGTTAATATCAACAGTCCACTTGCCGATCTCTACTCTGTATTCTACTGTTTCTTTTCTCAATTCATTATATCCCATCATCAGGCCTGACGTACAGAAAACGAAATTGTTAGGTCTGGTTTTAATTGTATTTCAATGGTCATAAATCTTCCCCTCACTTTCAACAAAATAATCCCTTTCTCTTTGGCAAATAAAGCATAATATACACATGACATTGAATTTGACCTGCCTTTTCTTTCTTGCAGACAAAAACCGCATGTAGCAGTTAAATCCTGTCTAATAAATTCAGGATGTTATTGATGTATATAGAATAGTAGGCATCGATTTTAACGTCGTACTCATAGTATCTTACCCGGCACTCGAAAACTTGGGAATAGTGTTATACAGTCTCGTAACTGCCTAAAATCCCATATCATCAATGCCATCTTCATCTCTCTCCCTTTTGCTGGAAACCCGTTCATCCCGATTCAAATTGGCAACGAATTTCCGAAAGTAATCAATAAACGGCTTTAATCTAGTTTTCTCGTAGTCATGCAACTTTTTATGCTTATTGTCACGATCTATCGCATTTGTACAATGGTTCCCATTTTCTCCATCTGCGGCAGGCGGAGAATTTTGACCTGCAGTCTCCGGTTCAGGTGCGTGGTTCAAATCCCAAGCATTAATTTCGTCCAGAAGCTCTGAAACAGTGGGTACATCCAGCGGATTGAACTGATCGACTTTGCCGATGTCGATTGGCACACAGACCCGCCCGGTACCTGGATGGACAACGAAAGGCGATTTGAGCAAATGGATTAGCTTCTTGCTAACTTCTGCATCAAGACGAGGGTATGTGTATTCCAAGACAATGTCCTGCTTTGCTTCGAGTAAGGCCTTGGTATCTAGGCCACGGCTGCCAGAAGTTTTAGCCACAGCGTCGATATCCGACCATTTTAGGGTACTATCACGAGAAAGAGCAGATTCCCATTTTTTCTGTAGAGAGTTTTTAAGGGATTTGTCGGGGATGAGTTGAAGAAGACGGGTTGTTTGATCCCAGGAAGCAAACGTGTCTTGATCGTTTAATATCGTGGAGCTAAAATATGGCCGAAGGATATCTAAACTGCGATTAATATGTGGGTGAAGTGGCCGTTTGAGATTCACCCTCTTCCCACTCTGAGAACCGCCTCGAACGAGTTCGAGATATCCAGCGATGGCTTTCCTCCGGTCATCAGGTAGATCCCTAGCGCTTTGATCGCATACCCATGCATGCGCGCCACGCCGACCAGAGTAGACCCAGAGTATATGTTCGAAGGCGAAGTCTTCCCGGAGAGCACTGTCGATCACCTTAATCGCCATGGTCACAAAGGCCCAGCACTTGGGGCAAATGTTCGCCTTTTCACAGCAGGTTCGAATATCATCGTAATCGGTCAAATCGATATCGAACACTAATTCTTTGGAAACGGGTTTAAAATTAAAAGCACTGGATTTTGGGAGGGATTTGCGATCGCGTGGGTTGGTGCTGTAAACCGGGCCAATTTCAAAACGAGATGGATTGAGACGTATAATCTCTTTTCGGAGGCTGTCGACTCGGAGTCAGCATCGGTTTTGAATAAAGATTAAGATACTATTTTATTTACCCTTCAGCGGCTGGAAAAGACTGATAGCGAAGATATGCATCGTTCTGTAGGGTGAATGCGAATTCTCGGTTTCCAAAGTCGACGGATGGTTTGACGCCATGATTAAGCCATTGATAGAGGTATTTGAAAGGGAATAAGCGCTGATAAAAAGAATTCATTGTTTCCGAGTCGATTTTGACTGGCGGCGGCGGCGCGGTCTGCCTACGTCCCTATCAGCGCACCACTTCGCAAAGCTGGGCAGGAGACCATACTGCGTGTTTTCCGGCTGAGAGCTTTGCGCATTTGCGTCTGCTGCGCTGGAAAAGGGGTATTCATCATCGTCATCGTCGTCATTAAACAAAATATCCTCCAAGTTGGCACCGTTCGTTTCCGCTGCGGTTTCATTCTCTGCTTGAGTAGTATCCTTCGCTAGCTTAGGCAGAGCATCTGAAGTGGCATTGGGCGGAATATTGCCCTCAGACATGGCTGCGATTTTGAATGAGCTTAGGACTCAGGATTCTTCCGTTGCACTATGTTATGTCTTGTCTTTCAAAGGCGACGCGTCCAAACGCGTGACGCGATTGCCAAGCCAATTAAGCAGTTGTCTTGGCTTGAGGCTCTGGCCAAGAAATGCCAGGAGCACCTCCATCTTCTACTCACATGCACGAAATCAGGATGCTATTCAAATGGCTACTCAAGATGATATTTCGTGTTCCTAACTAATGAATTTGTACAATCTGCGCCTGGAGTGATTAATCCTTTACGCCACCCTGTGGCATCTCTGCCACTTGATTGTTACTTGCCTGCTCTTCCCGGATCTTCTGCAACAACGTCGGATACTAAAGGGGGGATTAGCAGCTTCTGATAAGAAAGATCCATGCCAAAACTCTGGATCAAGACATACCCATCTCTCGCCAACATCCGGATGGCTCTTGATCCTATTCATCAACGTTGCTTCTCCCAGATGGCCCCATCGGCCTTTGGAGAATGTAAACTCAATATCGTCTTGACGAACACCATTTCTCTTATTGATTTCTTGCCGAAGAGCCTTGACATGCTCAGGGACTGCCATACTCTCAAAAGTGGCGTCATAGCTAATGCCCTGGAAGAAGGGAATACTATATCGAGGTCCAGAGCCAGGGGCGGGGGAGAGAACCCGGTGGGTGGTGCTGTTGAGCTGGTAGCGAGCTGAGGTACTTTAAGGCATCAAGAGGAGTACGCACCTCTGGCAAACGCCCTGGGTCACAGCTTCTAGCCCCTGGCCGATGGCCACGACAAACGTCCCGTCAATCGGCGGGCAGTCAATCCACTCTCCAAGATGATTCTGTACCTGCAATCCTCGATGATGGCTCGCTTGCAACAGGTAACTGGACAACATACTGTCTTTATGGGGACCAACGCCCTGTTGCTCCACGTTGCCATCGACACCCAACGCCTGCAAGTCCGGATACTTCAAGATCTTCAACTTGTGCTGCTGATCCTCATCAAAGAAGCGACTGAAGGCGTTGGGCGGGAGGCCAATGGCCTCGGCAACAAGCGACACAAAAGTCATACTGATAGCGGCCATTTGCTTCATGTACTCCTCATACACGGGGCGAAAATTCGGCACGCACTGGGGATCAGGCCATTGATTGGGCGCGAGGAGGTTGTGGTAGAGGGGCGCGGCAGGGCCGGGGTGGGGGTGCGGGGTGGAGAGGTCGATTTGTTCGCGCCAGTCAGTCTTGAGGCGAGTAATTTCATTGCCAAGTTTGCTATATCCTGTGGTTCGCCGATGGAGTTAGCGGCAGCAGGATGGCGACCGGCGCGTTCGACGAAGGTGTCCTGTGCGCAGGGGCATAGTTACCCAAGAAGCTCGGCGCGTTTTTCATCTCGACTTCCATTTTTTTCTCCAAGGGCAGATCGAAGAAATCCTTAGCTTGGGCAATGGCCTTCAGGACCAGCGCCTCGTCAATGCCGGTGTTTTTAATGTACAGAAAGCCGACTTCCAGGACGGCATGGCGGAGATCTAGCAGAAACGTGGGTTTCGTGCTGGGGTCTCGAGCCAGCGCGAGGTCCAGGACAGGGATGGTATGGAAGGACATGACGGTAGCGGGCGCAAAGGGCTGTTAGGTTAGGGAGCAGGGAGCAGCGCGGTCGAGATAACGTGATTTCTCTCCTTGGGAGGGGCTGAGAGGAAGGCGACGCCCGTTCGAGCTGCGGGGCCGAGACGGGAATTTTGTCGGCCCGAAAACGGGAGACCACTCGACGGGAGCGAAACGGTTGCTACGGAGGGCAGCACCCACAAGGATGGTGGCCCGGGCCAAGAAACTCCGGGAAGCGCGGCGGGCAGGCGGGGGAGGTCGGGGCGAGGGCTCCCTGCCGGCCTAACGCGATCGGGGCTGGCGCGGCCGGCCAGCGCTGCAGCCAATGGCGACCGCCCGCGTCGCTCCCATGCTAGGTTCCTGAAGGGGGCTGCCGGATGGAGAAGGGATCGGCCAGGCGGCACAGCTGAGCAAGCCCAGCGTGCGGCTGCACGCCTGCAAGGGGCCCGCACGGAGTCCGGAGTAACTAGTAGTTAACTCGGCCCGCAGGACGGACGTCGAGGCGTCGGAATGGGGTTTGGCCCTGTTGGCCTGACGAGCGAGCTGTCGGATGGACTGCCTGTTGACTAGGCCGATAGGTAAGGAGTAGCGTCTCCAGACCAGATCCCCTGACTAACTAGGTAGCCCCCAGCACCGGGCTCTCTAGGCTAGTACTCCATAGTATATTTATGTTAGTATGGTCGAGATTTCTCCAAAACAGGTCCCCCTGTCGAGATGTCGTCGTCGGCCACAGCCACAACGACCACGACGCCTCTCTCTGCGTCGCTCCCCTTCCTTGAGGACGAGAAGGAGGATCGACTGGCCACGCAGGTTCTGCGCGGGGACAGCCCTGCAGGCTCCGCCGATCTCCTGAAGACTGCTGCTCGCCGCGTGGAGCAGCAGTATTAAGTAGTAGTACTCCGTAATAGTAGTAGCTAGAGTCGCGAATCACTCCTCAAGTGATGTGAAGGCGGGACCGCCGCGTAAGGGACGTCTTTGCAGCCTGGCCTATGCGAGTCATCGCGGCGAAAGCCGGGCATCCTGCCCTTCCTGCCCTTCCTACCCGTCCTGCCCCGGCAATCCGGCCGTCCTTCAATCACTCTCCCCGCCTCAAGCCCAGCCTCGCGCCTGCGCTGCCCTCCGCGGCTCAACTGAGCGTCATGGAATCCCCCACGCGCCCAACCACGGGCGTGCAATACGAGGCGAGCCGTATGTAAGACAAACCATGTCGGCTCCAGACCCGGCACCGCCGTGGCTGAATGCAGCGACGCCGCGCAGCCCGCCTTTTCTTCACTCTCGCTTCCCACCACGCCAACCGAGTCGTCTCGCATCCCCTGACTTGTCGGTGGTGTGTGCGCTTCGCAATTTAACCTGCCCTCCTCCCCTCCCCCCGTCTCCCGCTCCCGCTGCCGCCCGCGGTCGTCTGCTCTCATTCTCGCCCGCCGGCACCGCACCGCTCCCGGTGTCCTCTTCACCCTGCGTCCAGCCATGGGCTCAAAGCCCCATTCCAGCCTGATGATGCTGGTCCACGCGCGCTCCCACAGACGCTCGCTCGTCGTCGCCTGCGCCGTCTTTGCCGTCTTCGCGCTCTTCTTCCTCTTTCACTCCACCTGGCACGCCTTGCCGCTCGCTCAAATGCACAATGCCTTCGACTCCCACCATTCCGCCCCCTCGCTCAACATGGTCAAGCCCGAAAACATCACCATCAGCGGCATGGTCTTCTTTGGCCGTCGCGATCGCGTTCGAACCCTGCATTGCTATCTCGAGGTATCTTTTCCCTCCAAAACATCCATCGACCACCATGCATGTTCCGCATTGACAGTTTCCGCTAGAAAAATCTCGTCGACAACGGTGGATGGCTGGATGAGGTGCGCTTCTTCGCCAACACCAAAGACGAGAAAGACTTGGCTTTCCTGGACACCATCATCCAACGATCACCCCGATACAAGAAAATCACCCTCGAGAAGACAGTCTGGTGGCCGGAACACACCAAACTCTGGCGCCAGGTCGAGCGAGGGACCATGTATATCAAACTGGACGACGATATCGTAAGTGATGCCTTGTTGTTCCCGGACTTCTCGCACCTCCGGCTGATTTTTGCAGATGTGGCTCGCGGACGATACCATTCCGCTGCTCGTCACCACCAAGCTGAAGAATCCTGACTTCCTCGCCGTCTCGGCCAATGTGATAAACGGCCCTCCCCTAAGTTTTCTCCACTATCACCATGATGCTCTTCACCCGTACTTTCCGGAGTTGCCGGACGTCGTCAACGAGACCAAGGCCGCCCAGCCCGCCGAGAACCAGCCTAAGAAACGCGACCTCCCCTCATGGCGCCCATCCAACCACCCATTCTGGAACGGACCCCAAAACTTCGAATGGCCTCTAACAAATCCTCCGCCAAGCGACAACCATCGCTGGTTACGTGTTGAAGACGACAAGGCGCTCAACCGCACTCCTGTTTCGAAACTCAAGTATGATTTCTGGGGGCCCACTTATGAGTCTTGGGCGATTGCCGCTCAGCAACACTACTCGCTGCTTGAAAACATCGAGAAGAATACCCTCGACAACTATAAATTTACTCCGCCCTGGAACATGCGTGGGGAGCGTATTCGTATCAACGCCCTCGCAATCCTTGGAGATGACGTTCTCGACACCGATGTGAACAACTGGCCAAAGGATAGAGGCGATGAGGATATGATCGTGTTGGACCTGCCAAAACAACTTAATAGACGTAAGTCCAAAAAAACAATCAACCGCAATCTTCCTTTGCCGGTCTTGCTACCTAAGATATTTTGAAAATCTAACTATGATTCACAGACATCCTCATTGAAGGCCGAGCCTTGGCTGCCCATTACAATTTCATGCATCAAAAACTTCTCACCAAGACGGATCTTCTCGATAGATATTTCTCGTACGCACTGGACCAGGTGTGCAAACAACCGTTCGTACATGTATAGCATTGCAATATGGCCACAAAAAGTATCGACTTTTTAATTCCGGTTTGGTCTCCTTTATGAAGTAAAGATTTCGAGACCCATTCTATTTTCTTTGAATCGCCAACAACCCTTCTTCTGTTTCCTCTACAGGGCAAATCGAGCCTCACAAATGGTGAAACCAACTCCCAGCTCGATTTAGTTTTCAGAGCCTTTTAACCAGACTTTTTTTCTTGCTTGTATTTTTTTCTTTACAAATCTTGACGGCTCCCGCCTTTTTATTTTTATTTTCTTACGACTTTTCGACAAAGGGGCACATATAATTGGCGTATATTATGGGGTTACTGTGTGACTGAAATGACATGCTTTGTTTTCTTTTCTTGTCATTATTTTGCATATGGGGGTGAATGCAAACTTTGCAGATGAATCATTTAGGGCATGTAGTGAGTTTTCTGAGATCCATATTCTTAAACGAAAGTATAGAGCGCATAATGCTTGTGCATACGGGGTATATAGTTAATTATGTAATAGGCATGAGCCTCTCTCTCACTCATCGCGGTTTTCAGCTCCCTTTCCTTCAAATGCTACTACTTGGAACGTACTCCGTACTCACCTCGCTTCTCTATCAGCTTCTACCTTTTCGTGCTATGTGAGGCAATTTCTCTGTCTCTACTCCGTACGGAGCATGGAGTACTCCGTACATCCAAGGCTATCCAAGCCTGGTCCCCTTTTTTGGAAACGAGCTGCGCCACACAGCAATAGTAGGAACGTAAAGTCCATGCATAAGCTCCGAAAGTCTGGAAAATCAAAAGCTTACTCCGTACATACCTAGGGCTTTCAGGTACATGGATAACAGGAACTGTACGGAGTACTCCGTACAGTGTATTTGGGCACGGCGTAAAACAGATAAAGTATGAAAGCTGGCTGGTGGGAGTCTGGGAGCGATCGGTCACCCTTTTTCAGGCCTCAAAACCACTTATCGGGCTCTCACAGAACAAAAGGCCTAGGCCACCCTAGACTCCTTTTAAACTCCAAGAAGCTTTGTTTTATACGATTCCACGCCAGCGATAGAGTTGGGATCTACTCCGTAGTGAACGCAGAAGCGAATCTATGGATGATAAATACGATCTCAACTCGGTCTAGGCTCCGGTGTACGGAGTATGGAGTAGTTAGTTACATAACTACTCCGTACCATTCTCCTGTGAGCCCTGTTGACTTGAAGAGGCTTGTATGAGAGAGCCGCGTCCCGCGGGATGTGATTAGTCTTTCGGCTACGTCGACTAGTTAACTACTTAACTATGCTTAAATTCTTTACCGGCAAGGCAATTATTCTGAGCTTAATCTGATACACAAGAAAACCAAGAGATTGCAACCCCTGCATTCATGGAGACAGCAACAAGTGGCTGGAGGAGGCGTCGTGCGGAGTACATAACCAACCAACCACTCCGTATAGTTGAAGTTCTTTTTAGGACTCTCTTGGCAATGGGCACTGAGGCAAGATGTACAAAAACTTGTTCTTGCAAAGCGGAGGTGTGCACTCACAGGAAGCCAATCAGTTTGACTAATGTGTGAAGGTATACTCTGTACGGAGTATACCCTCCACAATAATGATTTCATTTCAGCTCTTGTCTGTTGATACCCTTTAGCTTTATGCACTGTCAACCCAGAAAGCAGACGAATTCTTCAACTTGCGGGTATTGGTATTGCCCGCAAATTACGATGACACGTTCATTCTGTTGCATAAATGTATTCGGCGATGCAATGCTTGGTTCCTTTCATCAGCCTTCAATGGCCCTCAAAGGTATGCATTTCTCCAATCTTTAGACCATTACGAACTTCCACCTACATATGGTGCCGGCCTGCCCGGCAGGTTTCAATTTCAAGGATTCGAGAAAGCAAGAAGCAGTGTTGTATTCTCACACATCGTTCGTGAATATCCAGGTACTAGAAGTATATTGCTTTCAGAGGCCCTGGAGCTCATCTCCCTAGGGAGATACAAAGATGTTAAGTCTTCTATTTAATTTGGACAGGAAGAGCATGATTTTGTTTCAATCAACAAGGGCTTCACATGCTGTAGCTTTCTTATTGCCGAAATTGGAATCATTTGGTGGGAACTACGAATATATGTGCGTTTTGAGCAGAGAAATAAAAATGGGATTCGGATAAAAACTGCACGATTTGACTCCAGAGAGGTATGTACGGTCCAGATTTCCATATCAAGTCGTCGCAACTTCAACCAATCTGATGATTCTAATTTAAATGGTAACAAACAGGTAATATCTTATTTTCGACTAGAAGTGAAACACGTTCAACAACACTGCAGCCCGAATCAACGCTTGTTTGTGTGTCCTCAAAACAATGTTCCCCTGAAGCCTGATGGCTATTCAGCGGAGAATGGAGAGGACTCAACGTCGGACCTGGATGTTCAAAAATGTCACCATGTCCTGGAATGATCGGGACTCGCTTTGCTAGCTCCCACCTACAAAGGGATGGGCTTATTGACATCCATTTACAGGACAAAACTGCAAGACTTTCCTGGCACTCATCACGAATGTCATGTTAGAACAAATATACAAGCCCATACTCCGGTGGTAATTACAAAAGGTTATAAGATATTATATAGGATGTTGTATACTGCCTATTTATCTAAATAGAATTATTTTATGTGTATTCTCATACAAATTGAGCTTAATATTTATATCCAACGTTAATAGTGTACAGCAGGTCTGTTCTGGAAATAATAGACACGGTTATTTTATGAGCTATGGAAACTGTATCAGTGGGTCTCCCTTGTTATCTTCTCAGTTCACACCCATCTCTTTCTTGAAAGCCACTACTCCGTTTATCTGTATACCGATGAATGAATCGCAGATAAGAATAGGAAATTATATATAAAGTAAAGATTGTGAGATAATCAATTGTTTGATTTTCACCAATGACATCGCTCATTTGAATGAGCATTGGCATTCGGTCTAAGATAGGGTGCGCTGGCATATGTCAACTTGTTGCGATTGAGAATGATGGAATTTAGTAAAGAAGTTCGGAGTGTTGGCACAGGTTGATATTCACAAAGATAAAGACAAATTTCCTCCTCTCTTCACACTTGGTTCTGTTAAAAAAAACAAGATGTCATATGAATAACAAATATGGGGTGAAAGGATGTGTCAGCATCAAAGATACTAGCACTGATAATAAATATTGGGAGAGGTATAAGATTATTCCAGCATTTCATTGGTAGGCAGATGAAGCTTGGGGAACGAATAGTGGCGTATCAGGTCCTTGACGAATTTGCCCAGAGCGGGAGAATGGGACCTTCCAGCAAGGCCACAAAGGTCATCGTCAGGGGTCAAGGCATACTGCTTTAGGAAATGGCTAGAGGGCCTGGCTAGGATGGGAGTAGCCCACCAAGTGGTGGGAACGTTCATTATGTGTCCTCTACGGAGTATACGGAGCAGCGACACTACGGAGTAGATCTTCCAGGATTCTGGCGGGCTTCACTCCGCGGCGGTGGACACGAGATCCAAGAGTTGAACCAATCAAGTGCGTATGGAGTACACTGAGTGTCCTCTTGGCCTGTCGATTGTTGCGATCCATAGGCGTGATAGCGAGCGGACGTTGGCGATCGCGTTGCCGAGTGTGTTTGGTCTGGTTCAACTTCGGGTTTTCTCCTCAACTCATTCTGTTTCTGCTCTGCGTTCTCTGGAATTGCAGTGGGACTGCAAATCTGCACACGAGTTAATTAATAATGGCTGAAGCTCAAGGGGACGCCGTCAGCATCGGAAAGCCACCTAACCTGGCGCGGCCAATCAGGGGGCCAAGCATTCCAAGACGGCTTCTTGGTGGGTCATGTGGGGCTACACCCGCAGCAAATGAACGGGCAAGGATCATTTGCCGGCAACTCACCAACAGGTACGGATTATTCCGTCCTGCGATCTCCCAGGGTGCGGATGAATTTTCTAGCCTATTATTATTGATCAGGCCCTTGAAAACCGGAAAGAGCTCACCGCCTGGCCAGGGTGGTTGGTTAGTTAGTTATCTGATGCTTCGCTTAGCGTCGTCTGGGCTGGCTGATAAAATGTCACCAATCGTGGGGGCATGGCCTGGACATGCGCGCACTCTCCCTCATTTTGAACGGATACTAATAATCGTTCCTCTTTGAACCCCCCAGAGCAGAGAATCAACGGGCATATAGTATAGGGGCTCTGGAGACAAACCTCTTCATACGGAAAAAGGCGTAATGCGACTACTCCACAGTCGAGGTCTTTGCAGACTACTCCGTACCTACCCCGTGACTATGCGGAGGAGATACGCGAGCCTGAATTGTGCTGCTCCAAAAGATCGCCAGAGCGGAAAGCTAATTCTGCAAGCCAAACCCGACAGGTGCTCATTGGGAACTGGGCTGGTGGGTGGCTTGGCTACCTAGTTACTCCGTAGTCCTGTCCCAACCAAAGTGCTGGCGTGGCAATCTTACCAGCCCCGGCAGGGACTCGGAATGAAGGACAGAGATCTGGTGTGTGGAACGGGCCGCATGATAATACACTGAGGATGCGTTTTGTTCTTATTATCACCCGGTCGGCTTCTCATAGAGAAATTCGGGGACATAAAAACTCAACATCTAAAGGCAAAGTCATCGCCATATACGGAGTATATTGTGTAAGATGGCGCTGATGGAGACTCTGACCGGAGGGTCTGTCAATATGACGCTACTTGTTGACCTGGTGAAAGTCCTGGCGCCGGTTTGGCTTGTGCTCTATTTCATTGTTTACCAACGCCCCGAAGAACCAAGATTTTTATCGTTGCCTGTTGTCGGTGTCCGTAAACAATGGGCGGCTTGGGCATGGGCAACAATACGCTCATACCGCAGCACAAAGGACTGGGCACTTGAAGGCTACGCTAAGGTAAGACTTCTGGGACCCAAGAATGTGATGGCTATGTCAAGTGCTGAATTCGTGGTTCTTAGTATGCCAAAAATGGACAACCTTTCGTCATTCAAAGTCTGGATCGAGGCCCGCTCACTCTGATTCCGCCGCAAGAAGTGAAGAATATGTATACACTTCCTGAATCGGTCCTGGATATTCGTGCCACACAACAAGAAACCAATCAGACAAGATGGGTAGCATGGGACAAAGAGCCGGCAGAGGATAAATTCGTGTTTGACGTTGTCCGTCTGCAAGTGACCCGGAATATGAAGCTTCTCACTCCGCGTATTGCCACTGAAATCGAGATGGGCTTTGAGCAATGGTGGGGTCTCGAAACGGCGTGGAAAGAAGTTAAATTATGGGATACATGCTGGATGATTGTCACAGGCGCCGTGAATAGCGCTCTTTGCGGTGCCCCTCTTTGTATGCTTCCTATTGAACGCCTGAAAAACCATGGGTATTATTCTGACGTTGCATAGGCCGGAATGCTAAATTCCTGAAAGGTTGTCAGGACCACTCGGTGGTTATAATGGCAGGCGCTATGATCATCAATGCTTGTCCCAGGTTGCTACAGCCGATCGCAGGAGGCCTTGTTTGGCTCGCGTGTGGATATTTTTTTAGCAGGACATTGAAGATATGTTCGCCGCTGATCAAAGATAGGCTGGAGAAGACGGCAAAACTAAAAGCAGACCCCTCATTCGACTGGACACCTCCCGTAATGCCCTCCTTGAGCTATGTTGAAAAAGTATAGAGCTAATATTTTTCTTTGAACAGAAAGATGCGCTTCAATGGGTGATCGAGGAATGCTATGACAATGGCAACCTCAAACAGCTAACCCTCAACAATATCGGATTCCGCTTGCTGCTACTGAACGACGTCTCGATACCTTCGACTTCTTTTTCCGTACAGAGCTTGATATTGGATTTGTTTGCGACAGATCCTTCACTTGGTTTTGTGGAGACACTGCGTAAAGAAAGCGAGACGGTGTATGAAGAAGCTGGACGGGAATGGACGTATGAAGCCGTGAAAAAGCTTAAACTTGTGGAGTCTGCGATTCGCGAGTCGATGAGGATTTCACCCTTAGGCAGTGTTGCGTTGCCTCGAACGGTAATGCCTCCTCTCCCACTCTAGTGTCCACAATCTTTGGCAACATCTAATACGAGTTGGTATTTAGGTTGTGCATCGCGACGGTATCTCGCTTTCAAAATCTAAACTTCCTCATGGGGCGGTCGTTGCTGTTCCCATCGAGCCGATCCACTTTGACGAGGGTATTTATCCGGGCGCCAACAGTTTCAATGCCTTCCGTTTTGCCGACTCAGAAGCTGTCCACGCAATCATAGACAAGCTAGCACCGCGAAAAGATGGTGAGATGACAGATGGCGACCGTAAACGGTCGACGAATCTGGACGAAGCATTTCTGGGCTTCGGGATTGGAAAACACACATGTCCGGGGCGTTTTTTCGCACTCACAGAAATGAAAATCTTTCTTGCACATATGCTAATGAATTATGATATTGAATATCTGAAGGAGAAGCCACCGTTGGTGGACTATGTTTGGTTGAAAGTCCCATCCAATAGTGGCACAATTCGCATTCGACGGCGCGCCAAGGCTGGATCTGGATAAACATTGTACCGGTAACTAGACTAACATAATTGAAACTTATCAGTGATTGACTGGTGTGAATGAACAATGTTAGGCTTGTCCATTCAGAAAATATTTATTATTCCAACGAGCTGAGGACCCTTTTATTATCAACGAGAATCAGAACTAGAGTAAAATCACTTCTCAATTGCATTTCCGTAGTCGCATTTCATTCGCCCTCCCGGCGCCTAAATGTGAGATAGCAATTTTCTATATATATGGAATATCAGAGATTCGATGTCCAACCAAGCTTGCAGAGTGGCCTACAGGCCTGCGAAACACTGACAGTCCAAACAAGCCATGTGGACTTGTGGACTTGACATCAAGAAATTTTCCATCTGAGACAGCGGCGTCATACCGAACCATTCTCTCACTGGGAGTGATGCCCAACAGACTATCTATTTTTATATTTGTATCTGCGCGCTTACGAGCTGGCTTGAGTTATTTTTATGCCTTCCTTAATAACACATTAACCAATCTCACCACTGGAATTTTGGAGGAGTGTTATCATACTTGTTACATCTCATCGCGCGAGACAAGACATCATTCAGTACATGAATGGAATTGATAGGCCTCCATGTACTAAATGAAGAAGCGCTTGCGTCCAGCCCCAGCGTTTCAGTTGACCTCGGATTTCACTTCTGTCCTATTCATCAATGGCTTAGTTGAATGTTTCTAATTATATCTGGGCTCTCTTCTCCAGTCCAGACCTCTGGCCGGCGGCTACGCCGCTCCTTCCTGGTCTTTGAATCTGTGGAAAAAGTTATTTAAGCCCCTTCCTATCTGTCGCTTGGACGCCTTTCCTTTGTCTTCCCAGAACTCATCGCAGAATCTTGAACACAGCATCTTCTCTTACAAACATATTTTCTTGCCTGCTAGTCTTCAAGATGCTCAGCAAGTCGAGCAAATCTTCCACCACGCAATCCTTGCAACAGTCAGGGAACCCCAAGTCAACTGTTGCCCCTACGCCAAAGGGGGATAACAAACAAAAGGCTTTAGCAGTAAAGAAGTCCCAGGAGGAGGCGTTGGCTAGACTCCCCTTAAATATGCTTTACATTGCTCTTTACATTCGCTCGGACCCTCCCAATGCAAATGATTTCCATTGGGGTTATTATCTCCACAGGCAGCCTACAGGAGGAACCAAATACCATATCAAGAACCTAGGTGCTGGGTGGATAACCGATCACGGCCCGACAGGCGGCGTTTTCAAGTCGAACTTCCTCTGCGTCCTCGTTCAGATCGCAAACGTCCCGCAAGCGAGACACGTCCAGCTTGATCAAATCATGAGAATGCATGACAACCAAGTCAATTCGATTCCCAACGTCACCTGCCGCGTGTGGGTTCTGACTATCTTGCAAGAGCTGATTCTGACTATCTTGCAAGAGCTGATTCAGCATGGAATAGTCCGCTGTAGCAACATTCTCGCGCTGCAACAAGAATGTTTAGAAATTGGGAACCAGCATCGCGCCGCGGCTGCGCAGAATAACCAGCCCCGGCCTGTCGTCTGTTCAAGCGTGTGCCTTTTTTAACAGGAACCTACCTTCGGTCTCCGTTACCCAAGCTTTGATTGTTGGAGAAGCACGTTCTGAGTTGGATTGCAATGACTGGCTAAGGAGGAAAGAATTTGCTAGGGATAGGGGGTCTTATGTATCTGCGATAATTGTACAGTAGGCCTGACGCCTCTGGAAAAATTGTGTAAAGGGATTGTTGTGTTAATTGCTGCTTATTGTTTTTGTTTTTGGTTGAAGGCTGTATATTGAAGCTCATTCGGTCTCCTGTAGTAGTCATAGGTTGAAAATAATCATGTCGTAGAAACAAAATACGTATCAGTGGAATCACAACCTAGTTCTCCTTACATTGCTATGTATGAATCGACAGTCAGCATGTTCAATGCAATGTCAGCATTGAGTTCCTCAAGATATTGATCCCCTCCCATCCACATGGCAACTTGATACCACCAACTATTCTGTCCAAATCTCATTGCTGTAGTAAAATCCCAGTATTCAGGGCACCAACCCGCTGACTCCCAGTCAAGAAATCCAGACAAATGCCCGTCGTCGTCGACGAGGATATTGTGAGCTTTGAAATCCCCATGAGTGAAAGTGACTCGATGTGAGTGCTGATCGATTCGTTTCGCGCGCACCAAAGCTTTATCGTATTCTTCTCTCGACTTAAAACCGTGAGCAGAAGCTGCAGACAAAAGGTACTGCGTCAAACCCCTTTCGCTCGTGAACGGACCCATGATATGGTTGGGCACTCGAGTGCTCTGAATGGAAGTCCCGAGCACAGAACAGATATGGTTCTCGTCAGAATAGGCACGCCACATGCGCATAGAGTTCAGGCATAGCTTCAACTCATGAATCCAGAGTCCCTCGTTGTCGGGTTCGAAGGGATCACCCGAGTTTTCAAGGGATGTTCCAGGCAGCCTTGTCATCAGGATAGAGAACACCCTATTAAACGGATCTCCAGGGTGCTCTCCGCAACTGAGAACTTTGGGAACAGGCATACCAGCAGCCCGGGCCATTTTCATCGCAATTACTTCCTCCATGCTCGTTCGATCAGTCCACTTCATAATGAGCCCAAAGGGTAATTCCGCTAGGTTACCGAACGGGAGATCGAACCAGGAGCAATACCGCTCGGAGAAAAAAAACAGAGCCTTATGAATAATGGCCCAAAATCGCCGTGCAGTTGCGCTTGGTATAGGGGGTGCTGGAGGAGTATTCTCGGAGATGGTTGATGGCATTGGCCGCGGCCATGTAAAGTCAGGCCTCAAGATGGCCGGTATCCATGTTCCCCCCATTCTGGGGGAATATCCAGTTACGGGGGTATAGTTTCAAAATCACGATGAGAGTTACGATGCTTCCAAGAAGGAGAGGTGCCGCTGGCGCACCTATTCGTTATGTTGTCGAAGGCTATGTACCCATGTTCGGCGCTTAGGAATAAAAAAAAAGATGTTAATATGGCTTGTGGGGAATCTGAAAGACATCTTCTTACTTACGGAGTACAGTTCTCCAGTTCCTCCTTCCATACCGGAATTCCAGATCTGTGAAATACCGTAATGTTACGGTAGTGGCAATGTAACCACTACGTAGTAACTCAGCACAATGTTGAAACTACAATTGCATAATATTACCTTTGTTGGTTGCCACAACTTGAGTTGGTATTCGCAATGTTGTCTTGCATAGAGTTAATTGGAGTTAACTTGATTAAGTGTATTTAACTTTAGTAATGTTTTGTATTGGAGTACAGCTAGCTATTTCTATCACAAGTACAATTACACCTACATACAAAGAATCTTCCAGAAAATTTCTAAGTCCACAAAAACTATGAAAACAGTAGTAGAAATCTAGCTAGTAGAATTGTAGAGAATCACCTACTAGCTAGGCTAGTAGGATAGTAGAAATCGCCTGCCAGCCTAGCTAGTAGAATTGTAGAGAATCGCCTACTAGCCTAGCTAGTAGGATAGTAGAAATTGCCTGCTAGCCTAGCTAGTAGAATTGTAGAGAATCGCCTACTAGCTAGGCTAGTAGGATAGTAGAAATCGCCTGCTAGCCTAGCTAGTAGAATTGTAGAGAATCGCCTACTAGCTAGGCTAGTAGGATAGTAGAAATCGCCTGCTAGCCTAGCTAGTAGAATTGTAGAGAATCACCTACTAGCCTAGCTAGTAGAATTGTAGAGAATCGCCTACTAGCCTAGCTAGTAGGATAGTAGAAATCACCTGCTAGCCTAGCTAGTAGGATAGCAGAAATCACCTGCTAGCCTAGCTAGTAGAATTGTAGAGAATCACCTACTAGCCTAGCTAGTAGGATAGTAGAAATCGCCTGCCAGCCTAGCTAGTAGGATAGTAGAAAATCGCGTAGGCTTCTACTGTAGAAGAGAGTTAGTGAGTGACTTAGAGATTTGAAAAAGATGAATGAAAATTTTTCACCTGCTGATCATTTCCTTATTAGATTTAAAAATGTTGTTATTACCATATAGTAGATTCAACATAGTAAGCTCTTACTACATAGTAGTCAAAATATGTAGTAGTTACTGTCACCAACATTGAAACTACGAGGTGGTGGTAATGGCTACGTAACAGCTCGGAAAATCGGTAAGCCGATGGTAGTGCAGAGATCCGCGATTTCGCTATGGTTCAGGGACCTGGTCACCTGACAGGTCACCTGACTGCTCCTGCTCAACAAAAGTACTCAAGACTTCATAGTTCTTTTCTCTACTCTAATCATCAGTCTACTACTTTGCTAGTTATATGCGGGCAAGGTTGTGTTGCTTCAGGGACTATGGAAGGAACGGCCATTTATAACGGGAATTATTTTGGTTTATTTAGCTATATGCTTATATTCTTCTGGAATTTTCACGACAATTAGGTCGATCGACATCCGTTATCCCTACCTTCCTCATCACGAGGAATCGTCGAGACGGTATCATTGCTCGTCTCAGTTTTTCGGAACTACCATAATAATCGACTGCATATTAGTATCATACGTGAAAATGTCGACAATTTGAAGACCAGCTGCCTGAAGCAGCCCCTGCCATTCTACCAGAGTGCGCTCCGCCCCAGCAAGAGCTGAGTTCATAAGAATACTCTGGCATGCAGCTTGCCACGGTACATCAGATGCCGGAACAACCACTTCGTCAATGAGAATCTTGGAGTCGGGCCCCATTGCCGGGACAATGGTTTTTAATGCTTCCACGCATTTGTCGTCTTGCCAGAGATGCATGACATAGCGGAGATAATAAAATTTTGCTCCCTTCACTGGCTGTGGCTTGAAGCAGTCATACTCCATGAACTCAATGCCCTCGATTGGTTTTGCGTGGATAAGTGTACTTGGAATGTCCTGGACAACAATTCGACCGGCGGCGTGTGGGAATTTCTTTTTCAAGAGTACAGCTTGGTCACCAGTGCTACCTCCGATATCGACCAGTATTGTTTTGCTTGGCTCGTTGAACGACTCCAGTTCCTTCTCGATAGGAAAGGAGTCGACCCAATCGCGGTTTGGCCTCAAAGCGAGAAATTTGAACAAATTCCCAATGTGCTCTGGGTGCTGGCTCATCCACTCAAATCCAGGCTGAGTCGTGTTGAATGCCTTTTGAAATACAGTATCATGCGTGGAAGTAATACTTGTATTTCTTCTGTCCTTGAGGAAGCTCGGTAACGTATGAGCAATTGGGCGCAAAATGTCGAAACTATAACGATGTTAGTTTCAGAAGACCCCTTTTGCATGCGAACTTGTTGCCTACGTGTATGTTATGGCCCCGGATACATTTGGCTCCGCATACAGCCTGGTAATCCGGTTCGCCGAGAACCCCTCTGTGCCTTCCTCTTTGATCATGCCAAAGGATGCTTGCCCACGCAAGAAACGGACTGGAAGAACCAATGAGTATGAAGTGCTACTGTGGCTGATTGGGGATAGGTGGTGAAACAACTCACTTAACATATCTGATGGTATGCCAGTCTTATCTACGAGCTCCGAAAGCGTGTGAGTACGTTCAGAGAGTGCCTTGAAAATTTCGAAGTCCGCTCCGATTTTGACAAGACCCAGTTGGAGGGGCTTTACTGGGGGTTAGCAAGTCCTTTTGCACGATACAAATACATTATGGTATCACTCACACCACCTGCCAGCTTGAGAACGACATCCCAATCAGTGTCCAAAGATGCATGAAGCTTGCCGAGTTCGTTATTGATTTGTCTTCGCCCGTCTTCATCTGCTTGAGCGTGAAGCTCCCTGATTTGTTTAATAATTGAGTCCATATTTGATGAAAAGGCGATCCGAGAATCAAGTGTTTACTAAAATTTGCAAAAAGATTTCAATCCACACACGGGTGAAGACCGTTAATACGGCATTGGAAATTATGCTGCCTATATATTTCTTGAATATCGTGTTGTTCTATCTAGCATGTAGGGATCGGACTCTCCCTAGCTACCCCAATTGAAGCGAGACTCAGGGGAACCTGGAACGTCATTTTTCTGTCCTTCTGTCACTAGCAGAAGCGGACATGTCCCGAGTACCCAGGACGTTTGGAAACTACTGCAGATGATGCTGCCGTATTACTGGAGCTCGGTCGTTGTCGATGGCTGTGATCAACAGAGGGATGTGGCTATCTTGCGTCTGAAGACGAGCTGAAGCGGGGTGTGGTATTCTCCGAACTCTTCCGAGCAACAAGCCTGATCATCACACAATGCGACGAGTGTACTCCGTAATCGTTATCTGGAATCCATATTCAACAAACGGGCGCATGCAGCATGGCGGGTTCACGGTATAATTACACCGTACTCTGTACATGGATCTTCAAAACTCCCGGCATCTCTCACATGAGAAGAAGCGAGCCTTGTAGATCAGATCTTTCAAACCAGGCTGCATATACGATCGGAAGAAGTGCCCAGTTGAAGATCGCCGCCAAATAGGAAGTCGTTGCTGAGCGTGCTTACACGTACGCCGTACATACATGCATACGGAGTATGGAGCGCATACGTAGTTAGTGATACCCGACAGCCTACTCCGTACTCCGTACAAGCTCCACCAACCTTGCTGGATTCTGACATGTCGAGTCGTTTTGTTGCCCAGCCCACAGGGAGCCAACTCTATTGCCAGTGCACATCTCGCGATTGATATCATGACTAGCCTCCAATACACCAAGCAAAGACAAGCATATTTTGGGAATCGGCAGCGTGATGTGCCTTCAGCAGCGCCAGGTTTGTGATGGCGGAACGAATCCATGCGTGTTAGCGCTTCCGTCAAATTTAAAGCTCCGCTTGGCTCAATAAAACGACCTCAGGAGGGCAAATAACAATCATGATAGCTGGTCTTGTACTCGGTGCGTAGTACGGAGTACAGATTAACAATGCGGATGGTTTTTAGTGCCGGGCGGCAGCAATACCCGTAAGGATACTCCGTATTCTGTACTGGGTAGTTCTATGGCTTACGGAGTACTGAGTGGAGAAATTGCATGTATATGTGTACGCCCTGTGCAGCAAAGGACCGGGCAACGTCAATCGTTCTGGCAGCCTTCAAGACGGCATCCAAGTTTAACAACGAAGGACTATTAGTGCCGATCGTAATTTTCTTTCCAAAAAGCCTCAAGTGACTCGTTGAACCCGTCTATCTCTATGGGAAGCTTTCTAGCACCTTTGGGGCAAAGTATGAACTTACGGATGTTAACCAACTTTCTAATTATACTCAGCCAGCCCATTAAGCTCAATCTTTGACTTTCTTCCAGGTTCGACGGTGCTCTCTGGATAGAGTAAAAGCAAGGGCGCTACTGAAGACAAATATTTTTTTGGTTGCAGCTATTTAGATAAGTGAATATGACCAACAACGTAACTACTCCGTATGGAGCACTATACTTCATCTGGCATTACGAGTGGACTTGGCTAGCAAAAAACAGTCCCCATATACTTTACTGGGATATGATGGGGTTGCTTCATAGGCCAGTTCGATTCGCGAAATAACAGAGATACATACACAAATCGAGCAAAAGATAAAGGCAGAGGCAGATTTGCCTGCTCTAGTCATAATGCGCCAAATATTTACTCTCAGTGCGTTCATTTGGAAATTGGGATATTTTCTTATCAGGCTACAGGCATTGAGAAGATTAATATGGAGTACGGATGATATTCCGTATATGAAGAATATTGGCCCTTTCTTAAACCCGATACAAATAAGTTCTATCCTCTGTTGGCCGTCATTCTTCCAATGGAACTTCCGATTTGAGGCCGATCTGGGTCTCAAGATGGCGCATACGCACGGTCATCAACCCCGTAACGTTGGAAATAACGGGCCGAACGCTTCTCCAGCCGATCATTTTTTGAGCCAGGGGCGTCATACTTTCAACAATACGACGCTCCATTGTCATATGCGTCTCGTAAGGTGTGAGCTGGCAAGTTCCCATCCCCATTAGGAGGAGTCGGCGGTGCTCAGGGTTGCCCTCGTCATGTGGGCACCCTGCATGAACTGTTCCCTTGAACATGATTAGAGCATCTCCAGGCTTCATCACCGCTCGTACTGCCAGCTCATCGGCTGGGTTGCCGATTTTCGGCCACCGGTGGCTGCCGGGGAAGACACGCGTGGCGCCGTTGTTCTCGGTGAACTCAGTCAAAGCGGTAATTATACTGATAGCGGGAACTGGCGCGTACGAGTCGATGTACTGGAGAATAGGGTGTGTTCCCTGATCGCGATGCAATTGTTGAACTGGATTCCCAGGAGCCATTTCCATGGCCATTCCATTGAGCAACCAGTAGTCGCCGTGTTCCTTGAATGCAACTTTGCAGACTTCATGCAGGATGGGGTTGTTTAATATGTCATGGCGGAAGGTCTTGCACGTTGCAGGAAGGTCATTCATCCATTTCGTGGTCTCTGGAAGAGGCATCTTGTAGAATTCCTCGTTCATGGAGCCTGATTTCGTCGTCGCGGAGCGAACGTCGAGATCCTGGTTAAATTTTTGGACGACCTCCACAGGAAGCCATCCCTCGACAATGACGGCGCCGTCAGTCTCAACAGTCTTCCAGATCGTTTCGGGGTTTTCGGTGACTGGATATCGGCAGAGACGTGGTTTTTCACTAGCCTCAGTCATTCTGATTCAAAGGATATACGAACGACTATTAAGAAGTAATGGGTAAAAAAACACCAGAGAGGAAATATGTTTGGCGACACTGATTGCGCGTCAAGAAAACCCACAGACTGAGGGCCACAGTGTCATGGCCTTTATACGGATAGACCGACTCATAGTACTTCGACATCTTGTCCGCCATCAATACGGTGACTTTCAGCACAACTCCTGCTGCCAGTCAGATGAGAGCGGAAGGTGAATTAACTAGTCAGCCAATACGATCAGCATATGTTCATGTAGGGATTACGGAGTACATCCACTGGGCCGAAATGAAACACCTGCACCATACTTGTTCAACTACGATTCCCTGCGTCTGGCGAAGTGAAACCCGGCTCCGCCGCTATTGCAAGTGGAGGCTGCTCAGCATCGATTGAGGCGTAACATCGGGCTCTTGGTCTTGACACGTACGGAGGTGTTGCTGATCATTTGAAATCCGGCGGGGCATGCTGCTGACCTCTGTTCTGGGGGAGGGAGCAGAACCATGCAGCGTGGCTGGCTAGAGGTATGTATTCTGATAGAGTCTTGCTGCAAGGTGGCCTGGCGGGGCCTCTGCAGATGGATCGCTAAATTTTGTGACGAGAATTTCCGGACTATGCGTGACCTTCTCATGGCCTGTGCACCTCGAAGGACTGGTGCGGCCCATTTGGTGGCGCCCAATTGAGCAAAGCCATTGAACCACCTTAGGAGAAGCGGCCTTGCCTCATACGTTCTCCGCATGGTGAAGATGAGTCCATGAAGGTTTAGTACCTAACTACGGAGTACGAGGCTACATGATGTCCACTAATAACACCTACCGAAACAGCCGGAGGCGATGAGGTAAAAAGCGGCTATCTCGGGCTTCGGAATTATACGTACAGATATACAGTACATTGCAGCTTTTGGAACAGGAAAAGAAAAGACGGTTGGAACGCGGTCGTATGCAAATTGAAGTGACAGGAAATCAAAGTATGAAATTTTACGGAAACTCCGTGCACAAAAAATCGACCATTAAACAGGATAACTATGCAATCAAGCCGATACGCCATTTGCCAGCGGCATTGCCTCTGCAAGAATCTTTTGCTCATCCTTTTCGGTAGTGGCCCACTGCTCTTCAATAATTGCCCGGCGCTTGGAGCTCCTAACAGTAACAGAGGCCTCAAAAGGGGGGACTTGATTGAACGCGGAACCACCGCCACGAGGCTTCATGAGCTCCTCTAATTGACCTTCCATCTCCTTTTCGCGGCCAAGCGGGTACTTGATATCGTATGACCAGAAAATGCGGGCAGTGTTGAGATAGAGGAGGTCTCTTGCGAGATGCTGTCCCGGGCATCCCCGCAGTCCGAAGCCAAAGATCAGGTGGGGGAGCTCAGGATCATCAATCCACCGTTGCGGGCGGAAGGTAAACGGGTCATCATACACGTTAGGATCATGGTCCATGGCCCACTGATTGAGAACAATTGTTGAATCCTTGGGGATGAGATAGCCATTGTACTCGATGTCCCTGGAAGCGGCGCGTGGGGCTCCCAGGGGCGAGAAGGGATGCCAGCGCAGTGCTTCGTAGATGAAAGCGCGGACGAAGGGCAGTTTGTCCTTGTCTTCCCAACCGGGAAGCCGATCACCACCAACGACGTCGTCAATTTCCTTTTGGAGCCTGATGGCCTGGTCTGGATGGAAGATGGCAGCCAGCATGATGATGCGGATAATTTCGTACGGTGTCAGCGATGCTTGATATGTCGATCCAATGCAGAAGGCCAATTCGAGCTCGTCCATTCCATTGCCCTCTGGCCTCGTCGAGTATTCTTTCGTCCAGTTCCATGCCGATGTTTTCAGACCGCTGCGGAAACGGGCGAGATAAATATCGGTCAATCGTTCACCGACTTCGTCCAGCTGCTTCAGCCATTTGTCGGTTCCCGGCAAGCGTTTGAGGATTGGGAAAAACTCGCGCAGCATGGCAGTGCCCTGGAACATGGATTCGGAGATGCCACCGAGCTGTGCCACCGCTTGGTCAATATCGAGCACCTCGGGAGTCTCCTCGGGAAAGCGCTGGCCGTAAGCAATGCCCAAAAACAAACTACTTGCATGGCGACGCAGGCACACGGTGAAATCCTTGTTGTGCAGAAGGTCAAACAGCAGCTGCTTCGATTCGAGGTCCTGGATGCCGCGGTACTTCACCGCCATGGTGGGCTTCAACACGGCGGCACGCATGGCCTTGTGGGTGAGCCACTTCTCGCCATAGGGCAGCGCGGGGGTGGTCAGGCCTTTCAAGGCGCGTTCCAGAATCAGCAGCTGGGGCCGCGAGCTGAAGACGGCGTTGTGCTTCTCGAGGAAATTCTTCACGATGTCGTGGGATGTGACGATGATGGAGATGACTCCGCCGTTGTTCACCGACATGATCGGGCCATACTTGTCGCTCCAGGTCTTGTAGACCTCCCAGGCCTGGTCTCGGGGGGCCTGGTGCAGATTGCCGATGATGGGCAGCTTGGGCGGACCGGGTGGCAGCGGCAGCTTGCTGGGGGCGGAGCTGAGCAGCGAGCGGGCAATCCAGACGACCAGGCCAAAGAGCACGAGGCCGGCAAGCAGCGGCGGCGCCGTGAGGTCGGCGGCCGCAGGGAAACGGGCGTCGAAAGCCATGGCAGGCTGCGGACAAAGCTCAGGGGAGCACGAGCAGAGACCGCCGGGACGGGGCTGCAGAGAGAATGGCGAGCAGCGAGCAGCGAGCGGGACCCGGGCGGGATAGCTTTAAGTACTCCGTACGGCGGCGTGTCTGTGGGATGCTGTGCCGGGCGCTGGGTCGTCGGGGCAGCGCAGCGCTGGGGGCGCAATGGGCAGAGGCATGCCCTCGTCGGCACGGCGGCGCGCGCTGTCACCAACCAAGCAACCAGCCAGTGAGTGAGTCAGTTAACGAAGCTAACTCCAGTTGCGCCAGCCACTGCAGTGCTCCGGCTGCTGCGCTTTGCAACCGGCCCGCAGCGCACCGCTCGAGCGCCACCGCGGGGGCCAGCCCGACGATGTATCCTGGCCGCCGATCCGCCCGCTAACAGGTACGGATAACTACCTAGGTAGTTAGCTTAACTTACTACGGAGTACATACTTCGACTACTTTTCTAGTTGCCGTGCGAGGCGCCAGGGTTGCGGTGTGTGCATGGGCTCGGCTCGGCTCGGCTCGTATAGCAGGTAACGCTGTACGCGAGCCGTGCCATGGATACTCATCCGATCGGGCTCGTGAGCTCTCTCACGAACTAACAACGATCCGTCGCGAGCAGGTCTGCCCAGCAGCTCCACGTCTCGCCCGCCCGGGCCCGGGCCTGGCAGCGCCTTTTAAACGCGCGCCCGCTCATTCTGCACACAGAGAGAGCACCGCCAGCTCGCCGAGTTCCTGTGCTGCCCCCGTTGTCCATCGTCATGGCGGTCCCCGATGCCCTGTCTCCGTTCGCCTCGCTGTCGCAGGCCCTGAGCTTTGCCGACGACCACCAGCGCGCCTGGTGGTCCAAGACCGGCGCTATGCTGGCCCGTGTGATGGCCTCTGCGAACTACAGCCCTGACGACCAGTTTGAATATCTCCGCTTCTACGCGCAGACGATCGTCCCCCGCCTGGGCCCCTATCCGCAGACCTTTCGCAGCTCCGTGACGCGCAGCGGCTTGCCGCTGGAGTTCAGCATCAACTACCAGCAGTATGGCAAGGCGCCCGTCGTCCGTATTGGCTTCGAGCCGCTCTCGGCGCTCTCGGGCAGCGACACGGACCCGTTCAACAAGATTCCCGCTGGAGAGCTGGTCGCCGCCCTCGCCAAGCAGAACCTTGCTGGATTCGACACCCAGCTCTGGGACCAGGCCATCAAGCATCACACCGTGAACGAGACCGAGGAAGCCTCCATCGAGGGCATGGACCTCGATGGTGGCTATATCAGATCCCAGACCGCCTTCGGCTTTGACCTCGTGGGAGCTGCCAACCTGTCGGTCAAGGGCTACACCTTTCCGGCTCTGAAGTCCCAAGTGACGGGCATTCCCATGGCACAGATCATGGCGGAGTCCGTGAAAAACATGGAGCCCTTGGTGGACTGTTCAGCCGCCTTTTCGATGGTGCATGCCTATCTCACAGACACGGCATACGACGACAAGTCTTTCTTTTCCTGGGATTTCGTCGCCCCGTCCAAGACCCGTCTGAAGTTATACACTGGATCCAACGGCGTCACTTTAAACAAGCTGGAGGAGGTTTGGACGCTAGGTGGCCGACTCCAGACGCCAACTGTACTCAAAGGCCTGGAGTACCTGAAGCAAGTTTTTCGTCTTATCAAAATTGAAGAAGGCGAGCGCACAGTTGAAGTTGCCTTTGATGATCGCAAAAATTCCTCCAAAACAACGCCCTTACTGTGGAACTATGAGATGCGGCCCGGCGACCCCAATCCGCTGACGAAGATCTATTTCCCAATCCACGGCGAAAACGATATGCAAATCATCACCGGCGTTGCCCAGTTCTTCCGCACGATCGGCCTGGTGGATCTTGGAAACTCTTATGTGGACCTCGTTAAATCTTATTAGTAAGTTTTTACCCCTAAAGTTAACTAAAAACCCAACTAGTAAAGCTTAAGAGCTAGTAACTAGTTTAACGAAGCCTGTGGCTAATCTGAAATGCGTATGCAGCCCGGATATCGACTTAGCAAACACTGACCGCTTCACCTCCTGGCTGTCCTTCGCCTACACTGAGAAAACGGGCGTATATTTGAGCACTTACTACCATTCCTCGTTGGATAACCCTTGGGACGTGGGAAAGCAATGATTGGTGAAATTGGGGCACGGAGTAATTAGTTATGTTCAGTAGTTCGTGACCCTTAGTGAGGATACTGTACATGCATTCTCCGTAGATAGTATGGGAACATCCACCACCTCGCGCTCAAGAGTAGACTTTTTGTATGCATCTCTGTTTATAGCACAGTTATATACGGAGTACATACACGCCCTGTGTGGACTTCGTCCTACATGGCAGGCGTGTTAATCAACTAGCTACCAACTAACTACTTCCGAAAATAATTGTTGAACGCAAAAGCTTCGGCGGAGGACTCCGGTCCATGAAACGAAGTCCTCCGGACACTGAAGCAACTAAGCGTTGGCGGGACAGGGATCGGAAAAGGTCAAGAGCAAATCGCATCTGCGCTCTCTTTGCTTTTACTTACTGTTGTACTCCATCCGGTACTTACCGTCGCTCGGAATATTAAGCGGGACATACTCGGTTCCAGCTCGGATGGCCTCGGCTGCGACTGCGTATTCCTTGTACGCATACTCCTGACAGTCGTGGTCCAAGATCCATGCCGGGTGTGGGGGCTGGACCATGGTAGGATCGTTCCGGAGGCTTTGAAAGTCGACATGGCTCATGACGAACTGTAGCACGGCCATCCCGCCCTGCTGTACTATTTGCGCTCTCTGGTATCTATCGATCAACCGGCTCAGTTCTGTGTCCTATTTCTATTTAGGGAAGGGCACAACGCACCGAAGCTTCTCTGTCACGGCGAGAGCAAGGGGGACATCTTTCTTCCCTGCTAGCTCCAGGGAGATTGCGATTACAGCCGCATCTTCGACCGCCTGGGTACCACCTTGGCCACTGGATGGAAGTGCAGCATGGGCTGCGTCTCCCACAACAATCATCCGGCGTTGAGGCGAAAGCCAAGTTTTCAAAGGTGTTCTCAAAACGAGGTTCTCGGAGACGAACTTCCCTTCCATGACTTTACGGGCCACCTGCTCAAGCTGATCCCGCACTGCCCAGCCTTCAATACATTCCACGATATGCTCAACAACCTCTTTCTGATTCGTTATCGGAGAGCTCGGAGACTAGTAGCTGTTAGACGAGAATGTGTAGTGCAAATCAACACGTACTTCATGGCAGCAGTACCAAAAGAGCTCGTTATCTTTTTTCTTGGTGGTGATACCAAAGTGAACACGAGGCCCCAGCCATCCATAGATGCAGTCCTCTGTCCCCATGCCGTCGGTAATCCAGCTTAGTTTGTTATCTTTGGCTACGACATTTGCATCTAGGTATCCTCGGGTCGCAGCAAAGCCGGTTTCTTGCTTTTGCATTTCCTGATTGGTGATAATAGTTCTCCCTGGGCTGTGAATTCCCTCAGCACATATCACACAATCCCCTGCAACTCTTTCCCCGTTGACAATAATGCCCGCTTCATCTTCGTTTTCCCAATAATCTGTCACCGTGGAATTCATCACCATCTTGATACCCAGCATCTGGGAATACTCGTACATGGTAGAGACAAGAGAACCCCGGTTGAGCGTGTATCCTTTACCCTCAGTATATCCATGGAGCTCAAATTCTCCAAAGCAATAGCCAGTGTAGTCAAAGACTTTGGCCTTGTTGGTTGAGTACTCCAGGGGGCGGATCATGGCATGAAAAGCACCATCTCCCCATTTTGCTGTCACCCTAGCACCGTTCGCACCAATGGTAATGCCATCGCCTTCTATTTGAAAGATCTTAATACAAAGCCTAAACAAACAGACAAGGAGCTACATACCAACTTTTTTCAGAGCTGACTGTTTCTCATAAACAACAACGTCGTGACCTCTCCTGTAGCATTCAATAGCAGCACTCAGTCCAGCTATGCCGAGGCCAACTATAATAATCTTGATTCCAGTCGGTGCAGGGGCGGCACCATTATGGACTGCCATTAGTATTAGGATTGCTGTAAGAACTGAATGTCTCGGACAATTCCCTTCCCATGGAAAGTGTAATGGGGGGTGGATATGAAGAATAGGGGATTGTGGAAAAATGCCGATTTTTTCCTCCTCCAAATTTCTCGTCTCTCATATCCCACAAGGTTTATACAGAGTGCTCCGTACGAATTTTTCAAGGTTCTTGACTCCTGATATAAGGATCTAATTCCCCAACCTACTTGAGGAAATGAGCAACCGGTCCGATGATTCATCACTCAATGCCAGGCATTCGTGGACACGTCTGTTTCGTTCATACACGTCAGATCCACTTGGAAGGAGTTTTATCTGTACGGAGTAGTATTCGTACCTACGCACCTTGGAGTTGCTCCATACGGAATCCGCCGTGGGAAGTTGCATTTGCTATTGTGATTAGGGCTGGAACCTAGTCAGGCCTCATTTTTGCATTTGGGCGATCCACGACCCGCGCATTTTTACTAGTCCGTATCCCAACAACATAACAAGCTGACGGTCGGAGCCTTGGATCCTTGAACTCTTGATTGAATATTGGCGATGCGAAGATCAGCCCCATAGCGTGAATTTAGACAAGCTAAAGGGGAAAAAGCGCGCCTCCGAGATCTTTGAAGGCGCCAATCGAGTGGCTGGCTGGCTTTCCGAAAGGGGCGGGACTGGTGGATATACTCCGTAGTGAGATGACCTTGCAGCTGGGTAGATCTCCTTATCGGCCCGACTGCCGTGTAACTACCTTAACCAAATCCTTTAGCTGGCATCCGTGCTAGTACCAGACCCTCTTTAGCCCTGTTCTAGCCGCTAGTTAGCCAACCAAATATAGCTTATTCCGGACCACGAGTTCACTCACACCTTACAACCGTCCAGCGCCCGCCACCTAGATCGCTAGTTAATCAACCGCCAAAATAAACCAGTCAAAATCGTGATATCCGCTCTCATGTGTATCAAGTAGCCCGTAAATTTGATCTACCAGATCCCCGTATGTAAAGTTAATCAAAACGATACGGATGTTAAAGTTATTGGTTCGTAGCATTCGCAGCTAAAACAGCTGAAATTGAGTCCACCATAAGTGGAAATATGAAATAAGGAACCAGAGAATGTTTATATTTTTTTCAGACCCCAAACCCTATGGGTACATGATCGATTCTGGAGGTACCAGATAACGAAGCAGAGGAAAGGGCCAAGGGAAATAGAATCGAAAATGCAGACGCCTAACATTGAATCATGTCTGTTTCCACGATTGAAAACACAGTCGGAAATTTCACATTCGGCGCCGGTGGTGTATAGGAGCGAGTTCGAGTGTCATCGAAGTACCTCAGAAAGCACTTTATTCGACTATTTGATGAGTGCCTGGTCTATTGTACTGGCCAGATACACCGATACCGAAACCGCCCAGTTTGGGGTTATTCCAGAATCCATCGCAAAAAAAGAAGCAACTCTTGAAGAATGGGGTGCTCTCATAGACCTGGACCCAACACGAAGCATTCAGAAGACTGTTGCTCTCAGCAAAACTCGCGAATGGCATACAAATACGTCCGGGTACCGAGGGCGGTTCAACACCTGTATTGCACGGGGATGCCAATCGAGTTGGATTGATGAATGGTTAACAACTGTGGGTTAACATGTATTCGATATATTAGGAGAAAGATGCTAACATCAGCCTTTAAAGCCTGGTGTTCCCATTGACTTAGTTATCCAAGTCGAAACAGCAGACACAACACGTATATGCTTGTTTGCCATTTCAACGCTTCTGGATAAAGATTTCACACCACTTCTAAGCTCAGCGCTTCAACATGTATTTTTATATATGTCGGAGAGTCCAAATGACCTGGCAAAATACTTTGACATAACACCGGATAAGCACCGCAGGCAGATACAGGATTGGAACGAACCAATTCGGAAAGAGCCTATAGACGAATGTATCCACCATATGATCTATAGACAATGTGCGAAGCAGCCAAACGAAGAAGCGATTTGTTCATGGGACGGATCTCTGACATATTCTGCGTTGGATCATTTTTCATCCAATATCATGGACATCTTATATTACCAAGGAATTGTTCCCGAAACAATCATACCGCTCCTTTTTGAAAAAAGCAAATGGACTGCTGTTGCCATGGTAGGAGTTTTGAAGGCTGGCGCAGCCTTTGTACTGCTCGACCCGACACATCCTATTGAACGACTGCAAAATATTTGTCAAAACATCCGAGCTAAAGTGATTCTTACTTCTAAAAAGTACGCTGAGACAAGCTCTAGCCTGGCGGATATTGTGATACAACTGCCCAATTTCTTCGCCCCTAGCCAACCAGAAGGCTGCCTACCAGTCAAGTTCGCCGTTACCTCAAAGAATGCGGCATATGTTTCATTCACTTCGGGATCAACCGGAAAGCCCAAAGGCGTCGTTATCGAGCATGCTTCGATATGCACAAATGCCTTGGTCAGTTCGGACGCACAAAACCTTAGGGCCTCATCCCGTGTACTTCAATTTGCGTCCTATGCATTCGACGTGAGCATTCATGAGACTTTGGTTCCTCTTATGCTTGGAGGTTGCGTGTGTATACCATCCGATGTGCAGCGTGTCAATTTTCTTCAAGAGGCAATTATAGAGTTGCGCGTCAATTGGATGGAGCTCACGCCTTCAGTGGCGCGACTGCTAAAGCCAGAAGAAATACCGGCTGTGAAGACACTAGTTGTTGGAGGTGAATCCATTTCACCTGCAGAGCTGGTACGTTGGGCCTCAAGCGTATGGCTGGCCATTGCATATGGCCCGGCCGAGTGCACTGTAGTTTCAACGGTACAAACCCAAGTTCCCCAGGATGGAGACCCGTTTAATATTGGCCGTGGCTACGGTGGAACTACCTGGGTGGTAGAACCAGAAGACCATGACAGGTTAGTGCCAATAGGAGCTGTTGGCGAGCTTGTGATAGGAGGGCCTATTGTTGGGAGGGAGTATCTGCGGTTACCACAGCAAACGGCGGCGGTGTTTATCACAAACCCTCCTTGGAGCGCTGGTACTTTCGCTTGCAACAGTTCGCGCTTTTACAAGACTGGAGATTTGGTAAGGCAACAGGCTAATGGCACTTTGGTGTATTTGGGCCGGAAAGACACACAAGTGAAACTTCGAGGGCAGCGAATCGAGTTGGGTGAAATTGAGCATCATGCTGAGGCACTGTTCCCGGGGGCCGCCATTGCAGTTGAGATGGGAAACCTTCATCATGGAGCTGCGGCCCTGGTCTTATTCGTTGAATGGGACCCATTCAAAAGTAATGATTGTGATAAGTGCCGCGTTTCACTCTGCAGGCCAAATCAAGAATTTGCTATTAGTGCCCGGAACGCAAAAACAAAGCTTGAGTCTGTTTTTCCTCGATATATGCTACCCGAACTGTTGATTCCGCTGTGCAAAATGCCGTTGTCTCCAACAGCCAAAGTTGACAGAAAAGCTTTACGTGCCATGATCCCTGAACTATCAAAGAGCGATTTGCAAACATATCAATTTGGTGGGAAGCCGAATAATTCCCAGCGAGCCAAGACTCATGATGGCCAACTGAATGCAGATTTGGTGCAACTAGTTGCTCACGTATTGTCTCTTAATCCCCAGGAAATTTTGGGGGATGATGATTTCTTCCACTTAGGAGGGGATTCAGTCTCAGCTATTATGCTAGCAACCCAAAGTCAAAGGGTTCCTGGACTGAGCCTGACAGTAACCGACATTTTTCAAAACCCCACTATTTCTCAGCTATCCCAGCATGCCCAAATGGAGAGGCCTCTTTCTTCGACTACCAGCATATGCCCCAGTGTTCTGCCATTCTCCATGCTAGAATTGGCAGAGCTGGATGAGGTGAAGGAAATTGCAGTTGGACAGTGTGGGGTTTTCCCTTGTCAAATCGAGGATATCTATCCAACTTCTCCTCTTCAGGAGCGTTTTATGGCCAGAACGGCTCGGCATGCTGGTGCGTTCCAAGCTCAATTTACTTTTCGTATGCCTAGGACCGTTGATTGGGATCGATTACGGCGTGCTTGGAACACGGTCGTGGATTCTCATTCAATTCTGCGCACTCGTATCATTAATGCAGGCTCAGTAAAATCTACTTATAACACCTTTCAAGTAGTCATTCGTGGCCAGAAGATGGAATGGTTGGATACAGAACTAAAGGACTGTCAGACTGATGGAAACCAACAGAAAAATATGTCTTTTGGCACGGCTTTGATATACCTAGTAGCACTTCGGGATGCTTCTAGCCCGTCGCTCAAATTAATAATGCACCACGCGCTGTTTGATTGGTGGTCGTATAACCAGATCCTGGAAGCCGTACAGATAGCCTATGAAGGGAGACCGATTGACCAACGCCATTTTTCTCCCTTCATCAAATACATTCACGACACTAACAAGTCAGACGCCAGAACTTTCTGGAAGAAGAAATATATTGGCTTGCAAACCCCGCCTTTCCTTGCTTACAGGTCCACAAGCCCCTCTTCTCGAGCGGTTCAGTGGACACGCAAAGAGTTCCATATCCGGCTGTATAATCAAAGGGGAGTCACGATATCGGCGATGATCCGATTAGCATGGGCAATGATCGTGGCTCAACAGACAGGTGCGCTTGATGTGGTATTTGGCGTTACGGTCATGGGTCGCAGCACCCAAGGAGCCGCTGATATAACAGGACCCACTATCGCGACATACCCTCTCCGAATAACGCTTCAGCAAGATATGAATGTTAGCGAGACACTTCAGCTAATACAGAAAGATAATGTTGAATTAATACCGTTCGAACAGACGGGACTACATGAGATTCAGAAGGCAAGTGCCGAAGCTGCAATGGCCTGCGAGTTTCAAAGCTTGTTGGTTGTGCAGCCACTGTCAGATAACGATGCGGCAATGACGCGTTCATCGCCAACGCTGTGGGAATTAGAGGAAGCCAGTTCTTGGAAACGACAATCCTATACAAATTTCAGTACCCAGGTCTTGAATATCATATGTGAGCCTGAAACAGACAGACTCACGGTGAATGCATTTTTTGATGACACCATTCTCTCTTTGCAACAAGTTGAGCTCATGCTACAGAGTATGGAGAGTATACTTGGTGCCATCTTGAATACAACAAACGCGAAAATAGGAGATATGGTATTCAAGAATTCCGAGCTTGGAAATATCAATGCATTTAAAACAAGTGCCTCCCTCCCAAAAATGGAGGAAACAGCCTGTGGGTACCTAGGAGATGGGTCTCAGGTGCGTGCTGAGTGGATCATTCCGAAGGGGGCGCGGGTTGCCGATTTGGTCTTATTTGTAGGTGTCCGTGACGTAAATACGACTTTAGAGAACCCATTAATCCTCAAAAAGGTGGACAAACAGACTAAAAGCTGCCTGTCCAAGCTTTTACTGCGAATGCAAAACACCTCCCCAGGCACGCTTGTGCCTCGTTGTTGCATTCCGATCCGGCTCCAAGATGAGCCATTAAACTCGGATGAGCTGCTGACACAATTGCGGGAGGCAGCATCGAAATTAACGTGGGCTTCTCTCAGATCATGGGAGAGTGAAAGAGCGAGCACCTGTCAAGACCCATCACCAATCGAGATACGACTAAAGCGTGCTTTGGCGGCAGCCTTACGATTAGATCCAGACGACATTGACCTAGATGATGATTTTGTTTCCCTTGGATGCGACTCGCTAATAGCAATGCAATTCGCGTCAAAATGTAACCGCGACAATATGATGGTTACAGTATCCGATATCTTCGAGAGAAAATCCATCGTTAGCCTCGCATCAAAAGTCGAAATGGCCTCGAAGAAATGGTCGAAAACGTCGGACCATTTCTCAATAGTCCGGTCAATATACGGAGATCTTCAAGAGTTTGAACAAGACATGGTAGGGCTAAGCAGATTGTCAAAAATTGCACAGGTAGTTGATGCTTTCCCTTGTACATCGACCCACCTCGGACTTCTACCTCGTGATCCGTTTCTCCAGGCTCATACAATCTGGGAGTTGTCCGCATCGGATCGCATAATCAATCCGTTTCAGCTTGCTGGAGCCTGGCGCAAAGTGGTAGATCGTCATGCGGCACTCAGGACGGTTTTGCTTGAGAGCCAATCTCGTCCATCTCAACTGTTTCAGGTAGTGCTGGATTCCAGTTCCACGGACACAGAAGTTGTTACTGGTGTGGAAGACATTGATATCCTGCCTATGGTTCGAAAGCCATTTTTGTCTCGCTGCGGTAGAAATGAGTTGCCATACAAATTCACCATATACCAGACCTGCAAAGGCCGTGTATTTGCCAAGCTCGAGGGAAGGCACGCTTTCCTAGATGCCGTATCAGTTTTGATTCTGCTACAAGAACTCGAATCTTTTTATCAAGGCAATGTTTCCTCTCCCATTGAGCCTCTCTATCAGCTCTGGGCGTTATACATAGAGCAATGGAGCGAAGATCCTTCTCATATGCAATTCTGGCAGGGATATCTTGCAGATATCAGGCCATGTATTGTCGCAGGAAGAAGTCAAGAGGACGCAACGAACGCCAGTTGTAACTCGAGAATTAAAGAACTTCGAACGCACAGTACGACTCTCATGCCCACCAGAGAATTGCGAAGATATTGTGATAGGCTTGGCTTTAGTGTCACCAACGTTTTCCAAGTGGCATGGGCGCGGGTGCTTCAAAAGTACACGGGTCTTAATGACATCTGCTTTGGTACATTAGTCTCGGGGAGAGACGCACCCGTTCACAATGTGAATGATATAGTCGGATCTCTCTTTAATGTTCTTGTATGCCGATTACTGATGCCCGCACATGAATCCCATGGTGACACTCTCAAAAAGAATGAACTAGCGATTCAGGCGAGATTATCTCACCAACACTGCTCTCTGAAAGATGTGACGCGGGCATGTTCCGGCAGCGATAGCCCTTTATTCAACACTTGTCTTTCAGTGGAGCAACCACTGTCTAGTGAAGGGGAGGTTTGCTTTAGAGAGGTTGAAACCCATGAAGAGACTGAGGTATGCATATGCACACATTTGCCCTGCAACTAAATTCATTCAATTCAAGCTAATATAAATGGTTGTAGTATGATTTAATTGCGATCGTTTCGGTATCTTCTGATATTATCAAAGTGCAAATAGTATATTGGTCCACATTTATTGAGGATACAGAAGTGTCTGCAGTTGGTGATGCTCTCAAAAAATCGGTTGAAAGCATTATATCATGGGAGATGGTGGAAGCTGAAGGGTAGGAAGAAGGTTGGAAGGGGTGTCGTCTGTTTTCAGTTGGGTTAACTAGTTAGTTAGTTAGTTAGTTAGTTAGTGTGTGTTATAACCTGCGTTACTATGTAAGTTATGCCAAGGTGCCGTCTAACTTTAGCGGGGCAAGTTGTCATACTAGGCCCAATATAGTCTAATGCATTTGAAAAATCTTGGCATACTCTCGCCGGAGCTCAGTAATCAGCCAGCTGTGTAATCAGCTGTGTAATTACTACGCTCTCTTATCACTAAGCTACCAGCCTGCCTGCGCGTGTACTGTTTTGGCATAGTAATTCTACAGCCTGCCAATCACCATATGGGGGCCCCATATAACACGAACTCTAACTCATGCCGCCAAGCTGGCTGATAACTGAGTTATACTGAATGGGTTTGTTAGAGAGACGCCGTGATAACCGGGTTATCAGGGCTTGGCAAGTTATAACTTCGTAACGCGGGTCGGTGATAACCACTAGTTAACCAACAGGCGGAGGGCAATATTCGACCCCGCAACCTTAATCTAATGTTACTAACTAAGTACTCAGTCCGGATTACCGGAATATAGATATGTATAGAGCAGTTTTAAATTTCGTACCTAGATATATTTTTAGAGCACTCCATACTATGATACTACAGAGTATACGAGAATACAAGGGGTTTTGAAAATCTAAATACTTCTCTGCACATCCTATAGTGCTTTACTACGAGAATTCTGAATAGGAAATTAGGGATTTTTAAAAAAATGGCAGTAATGTGTTCCTCAAACCCTACCCTGATTTTCTAAACTGTTAACTTATCACATCGAAAATTCTATTACTGTGATTTGAATCTTTACTAGTCTATGATAACATAAGACAAATTCTGCTTTTTCAGCTCATTCTAGATTATTTATTCGGAACTTAAATTCAATAAATACAGAGCACAGCTCTGCATCATTTTTACTTATAGAACTGAATTTCGATAGAAGCACTTAGCAGCTACTAGAAAGAGTGGAGCAGTGAACAAAGTGAGCAAGCTCCGCTCATGTATGTATGCGCATACATACCAAATCTAAAGTACTATTATAGAGACTCAAGTAGATATTTATTTAGAAGGTATTGCCATGATTCTAAATCAAAAAATAATCAGGAAAAAAAGACAACTGCGTAAAGGGTATCGAGCATATGCTAAAATACACAACCTCAGATATAGCAATACCGGTGTATTTCTATGTCTGAATCGTTACCGAACTCCCATGGATAGCTTCCTCGGTCCTGAAACCAAAAACCAGGCGATACAGGTCCAGTAGCCACGTGTATTGCCCACTATGCTGGATCATAGCCTGTACAGCCCTCGCAATATCTGGGGCGGTAGCCCGTGCAGAGATGGGGGACCCATTAAATGCTGGATCGACTGTCACGAGGTTTTTATAATTTCTTAAAAGACAGGTCTGCCAGGGTAAAGAGCCAAAAGCATCTGAAGATAATGCTTTAACAAAAGAGGGAAGAGTGTGCGCACCCCCATGCTGAAAACCATTGTTCATAGCTGCTCGAACAATGAGAAGCTTCAGACATGTGAGATTGGGGTCATCCGCGGGCGACTTAACGGTGTGCGTTGATGAAGTGGTTGAGGAACGAGACGATGGGCGAGAGTAGCCCGTGAGTGTGGAGGATGACGTAGGCACCCACTGAGGATGTAGAGATTGGATGTTACCGGCCCCAAGAACGAGAATATTTGGTACTTGAACTTGGTCTGGAGAGAGTGTGGTGGCGGTGTCGTCGAATATGGTAGTTGGAGTTTCTGGGTTAGGCGTAGGACGCGAGATTTCGGTGGGTTTGGAATATTGCGCTCCTCTAGCTTCATAAAATGCCTGGGTAAATGTCTGTTGGCTTGGTCTGGGGGTTCTACGATCAGGGCGAACTTGCGTCCAACCCTCTCGAAACAAATCACACAGATCCCAGCAAGCTTGGACGGCAGACCCGAGGAGCTCTTCGTCCGCACTTTTATCTTCTCTTCTGCTCTGTCGTAAGCTAAACAACATTTCCGCCAGGCTCCAACAGGCTTTTAGAAGCGAATCTGGTTCCTCTGCCAACTGGGTGCGCTGTTTCATTAGCCGATGGCATAGCGTAATGTAAAAGTCAAGAGTACGTTCTCGAAACGCTTCAGGAAGATTGTGATCATGGGTGTTATAAAGGTGATTATTCAATTCGAAGCTAACTCGCAAAATGGAGTCCGCCGTATCATTATCTCTTACCCGAATTTCGAAAAGAGCTTGGCAGAATTCCCGGCAGAGATCTAAAGTTGGCCGGGCTTGGAATGAGTGGCTGCTGTTCCGATTTTCGTATAAATTCTGGCAAAGTTTCCAGCACGTTTTCCAGGCCTGTTCTTGCATGTTTCCCTTGCTGAGACCTTTGAACAAATGTTCCCGATGGGTTGAGCTTAGAATTGCGAGTGTATTACACAGGGTCCAGCATTCGGAAAGGGCAGTATTTAGTGCATCAGTTTCATAACTAAAGCCATGAAAGCCTTTGACTAATTCATTGGGTCGTTCTGTTTCGTCATCAGTGGACATCTGTGTGGAATCATGGTCGAAGTTTTCCGGGATATCTATCATGATCATCAGCACTAAAGGTGTAAAGTCCCAAAAAGGATGAGAATACCCTCTAGGCTATTCGGCCGTGATCTCCTACCAAAGGCATCAACCTCTTGCCTTGTTTGAGCGCGTGGTGTAGTTCGATCGGACCATGGTGCAACCTTGGTCGTTAACGGTGGTGGAGAGACGGGGCTTGAAGTAACCTAGAAAATAAAAACAATAAGAATATATTTTGCTGAAATGAGTATGGCATGTCAAACCCTGCTGTGTGTACGGTCTGATGGTCGCAAGGTCCGAACGGTCACATCAGAGTCATGTGCCGAGGACATTGTAGATTCCTGGGGAGAGTCGCCCGCCCGCTGCCAATTGTCAGTAAAGAATATATACTTGGAAAATGATCTCTGCACATACAAATTCTGCAAACCCCGGAGGAGCATGGATTACAGATTGTGGGTTATCTTCACCCGCAGAAGGATTGTTTGATTGTAAATCTACTGTTTGAAGCTGTAACAAGATCAATCAGACGCGTTTCATAAACAACGGAAATTATTTTGTTACTGTAAGTTCTTGGGGAGTTGCTTGCTGTAACCCATTTTCCGCTCGAAGAACGTTCCCATTGACTGGCAGAGTGTCTAGGGATGGTGGGGATGTTCCTTTTTCAATGGACGGGGGTATGAGGTCAAGCAAACTTCCCATCTCGTTCATACTTTCAGTGTCAACAGTGTCCGAGGTGCCAGTGTTTAAAAGAACCTCCGTGGAGCTATACAGCATAGTCAGATAGCTATCCCTGGGATGGTATCTGCGGGGCAAACGAACAACGGTGATCCGGTGGATTTACGGGAAGTCGTTTTCCGAGGCGAGTTTGATAAGGAGGGGAAACCACCATCGTGAGGAGAAGACGAGGCGGTATATGGAGGTTCAATCGCAATCATGATGCTAGCGCGCTGGCAATCTTCACAAGGCTTTTACTGGCTGAGGGGGCTAAGCAAGAGACCTAGAAGCAGCACAATATGTTAGACATGATAAGTTTGAAGCATCTAGATATTAAGACCACATACAGCGCTAAATATTAAGGGGCGAGGAGGACTCCGGTGTTTGAAGAATCCAGGTCGCACTCTAGTTGAGTGTTGAAACATCTGCTTGGAAGGAGTAAGTTGACTGCTTGTCACAACATCAACCCTGCGTGACAGAAAGGGACTCTAGAAAGCTGGAGAAAAAGGCTTAAGATCTTGGTTGGCAAGTAAGGCGCCGTCTAGTCACACTGCTGCTCCAAAACTGCGGCACAGTGCAAAGGAGAATGTTGGGTCAAGTATAGTTATTTGTTTGGCACCTGTTTCTTGAAACAAACTGCATTGGTCAAGAAAGTGTTATTTGATTAATAACTTGTTAGCCAGTTGGTAGGAGCCGTGCCGGATACCACAAAGAACACTGAGGCAGGAACGCCGCCAACACTGCGGTACGGAGTAAAGGGCAGTGAGATGGCCCTTAAACGGCCAAGGATTCCACGAACTTAGTTATGTACTCCGATAGTTAGGTTAGGTTAGGTAGTTAGTTGGTTAGTTTGGTTAATGAGGCGCTAACGGGTGGCCAAGACTAAAATAGTTACATTGACTGAAGCTTCGCTTTTGTATGCAGTTTGTTGGACGAGATTGAGGAAGTGTAAACTAAAGGCCAGTGACTAGTTAATGATCATCAGCTGGAGAGCCACCATGCTATCACGGATGGTACGACGTGGGCTTCGAATCAAAATTGTCTGTCGCTTCGCCCTGGCCGTGAATGCGGAACACGAAATGACGTTCGCCGAACAGTACACTTTTTGATGAAACAAGGCGGCTCGGTGTTGCGACGCCACTAAATGATCTTCGTCTTTCCGTGCAAATTCTCGCCTTGTTTACAGGAGTCTGTCATGAGGTATAGAATACTGGGTACATACATTGCTCTCCGGTGAGGGCTTTCTAATAGCTAGGATCGGATGTTACTATTAGAGGGCGAATTGGATTTAAAAAAATAAAATAACGTCCAGCTTCTTGGGCCTGATTCAACTCTATAAGGCGCGCAAAGTAAAATTTATCCTAGCCACTCTTTATTGGTTGCTATCCACTCAAACTTGCAACAGCGCCTTTAGATCGTATAGAGTAACTGCAGCCCTTCGTTAAAGGCCGGGAAGACGATCAGAGGTTGTAGGCCCAAAGGGGTCGCTATAATTTGGAAGCATATAGCGGTGGTGCCGCATGTATCGACGTTTCGTGGAAAATTTCAAAAGCTTCCTCTACTCGACGACGGGGATATATTGCGTTTCTACCTCCTCCTGCAGAGATAGTTGCGTCCAAGTACTATACAGGCATCTTGGCTCTGTCACGCTCGGCAGGGTTATATCTGTTGGGGAATACAATGTTAGGTTGTAGGGAGGATATAATCTGGTTGGCGCGGGGTCAACGGACTTCAAGAGTTTCTCGATCAGATCGACGTGTGTCATAAGCATTCTGCGGCAGCAATAGCGCTTACAGCCGAGTTGGTCCATGGCATCTCTGTCACAGCAAAGTTGGAGGGTTGGCAGATAGAGCACTCGGCGCGAACTTACCCGTCTGGAACACCGTCATCAAGCAAGCGTAGGTAACGTTCCCAAAGATCTCCGACAACCTGATATTGCGATAGAATAAGCCATAGACCGAAATATTGGGTAAGTTTATCAGGCTATAACGTACCTTACCACACGAAAAGCAGCGGACAGGAATGATCATTTTGGACTATGGAACAAATGTGTTGAACATGATAAAAGGGACTTGAAGCAATTTTTTAGAATTAAGAGGGCTGTTGACTAGTTAATCAGTCACGTGCCAGACCTTAGTTGCCCGTTACCTAAACCCCTGTGTACGGAGTACGGCGTACTTTACTCACCTTATGCCTACAGAGTAGGTATAACGTACGGAGTAGTAGCCTCCGTAGTTACCTACAGTTTGTGGGTTATGTACGGAGTAAGAATAGAAGTATTGTCGCGAGATGACTTCCCATTGGATAGTTAACGAACTTCGCTAGTGGATGGGTTTGCAATACTCCGTACGGAGTATGGAGTATAAGATGGTAGTTACCGCTCTCCGTAGTCACTTAGTTACCTAACTACCTAGTTAGTTAGTTAGTTACAAAGTACGCCGTACAATGCTAGAAAAAAAATTTGAGCTTCAAATCAACATTGTTGTGCAGGGTTAGTTTGGCCATGACAGAGGAGCCTCAAGTGCCAGCTTTACACCTTCAGCTCATTTCTCATACTTCTTCTTTGAACAATGAAAGGAAAAAGGGCCTTGCGCCCGGATGCTTCCCCTGATCGCGATGTCAAAAGGATCAAGCACAACGGAGCTGTAGGCATCTTGACCACAAGCGCGTCTCCGCAAGACCTTTCGATTCCAACCACGAAATTGGAAGTTCCCTCCACGTTGAGACGGTCGTCAAAGCGAAATAAACCAAACATCCCAAGCGTGCTTGCCACTTGTCCGCAGGAAATCCAACCATATCAAGATCAATGGACAATATCCTGTCGTGGTGGGGGACGAATTTCAAATATTGATCCTGTTTTCTCACCAGATGAAAAGTATGCTTGAGTTAGTTATATGGACTTGGGTCGTGTATGAAATGACTAACATCTTTTTCCTTGCAGGTACATTCTAATTCCACACAGCAATATCATTCAAATCTATTCCATGACTACATCCTCAATTGTTCGAACGCTCCAGACCCCTGATAACCTCAATTATATCATCAGGCACAAAATTTCGCCTATTGATCCTCATCACCTGTTTGTTGCAACACACTGCGGCACCATAATCGAGTGGGATTGGACCACTGGAAAATTGATTCAGCTGTATGAACTTTCTACTGTAGTCGTCTCTTTTGACGTGATTTCGGTCACTACTCACGACCCTAAAGTTCATGATGCCCTCAACTTATACACCATTTGCAAAAATAAAGAAGGGAAATATGAGATCCGTGTCAGTGTCGAAGACCATGATTCTGACAGCCGATTATGGAAACACTCGGTGATATACACAACTTCTACACGTATAAGCAATTTGCGCATCGCTGCTGGCGGTCGAGTTATTCTCGCTTTTGCTGGCGTATATGTTGTGGCTGGGTATTGCCACAATTTAATGCCTGGGGCTCTAGGGCCATCAAAACATTCTTGGCGTGAAGTCCGACTCTCCGTGTACGCAACGTGCTATGATATTTGGGAGACCTCCCGTCAAAAAAAGTCTCACAACAAGATTGAAACTCAGCCTCTAGTTCCTGCAATAGACCTGGCGGTCGGAGATGAGGATGGCGCGATATTGATATACCATGATTTCATCACTACACTGCTAAATTGTGAAAAAGAAGAGGAACTTGACACCGGATTGGTATCACGGCGACTTCATTGGCATCGAGATACTGTAAAAACTGTGAAATGGTCAAAAGACGGTAAGCCAATCCGCCAAGTATATGCATTCTGCTTATTGATGTTTCTTAGGCAACTACATCATTTCAGGAGGCCTAGAGACAGTATTGGTTTTATGGCAACTGGATGCTGGTAGACAGCAATTTTTACCGCATCTTACATCTCCTATCTGTAATTTGGTTGTTTCTCCTTCTGGCGCCAGTTATGCTGTTAAGCTTGCAGACAATTCCGCTATGGTGCTATCAACGTCGGAGCTAAAACCAACTGCTAGCATGAGCAGTTTACAAATCCCACTCTATAACGATATATCTAATCATCACTCTAAGAAAAAGAAGTCAAATAACTTGGACGAGCGGACGTTATTTCTTAATAAAATACCAGCAGCTATAAACCCCATTTCGGGCCATCTGCTGCTTGCAGTCCCCTCTTCTCAAACAACTTCTTCTCCCGATCGACCCCCTAACGCCTCGTTCCTACAAACCTTTGATATCCGATCTAATCAGTATATTTCTCGCCAGGCAATTGCTCGCACAAACGTATCCATTCTGAATTCTGGCCCAGAAGGCACGGGATTAACAACGCCAAATAGCAAATTTATACAGATATCATTTGATGGAGACTGGTTGGTAACAGTTGATGAATGGGATCAGTATATCGACACCGTGAATATCCTAACTCCCCTTAGGGAAGTCCTGGACCCTTGCAAAAGAAGAGAAACTTTCTTGAAATTTTGGAGGTGGAGCGAGTGTTGTGGCGAGTGGGAGCTAGTTACCAGGGTAGACAACCCACATGGTTCGCCATTATATGGCTCCTTACCTATTCGCGACTTGGTGATGTGCCCCAGCCGCCTGGCTGTCGCAACTGTTGGCGATGACGGTGCGGTCAAGATCTGGACGCCAGAATATAAACGCGATGCATCGAAACGCTCTATCAAGACATGGAAATGTTCACAAACTATTGCGTTAGACAAATTAAAGAATGAATCCGAGCAATTACCCCAAACAAGATCATGTCTCAGCTTTTCAGGGGATGGCTCTATACTTGCCGTTTGTTGGGCTAAATTGTCTAGTTCGGAGCCTGGTATTGTTTTTCTCATCGATCCGATTGATGGGCGAATCTGCTATTCTCGACAAAACTTGTTCTATGGGTTACCCCGAGATTGTGGGTTCGTTGATCGCTATCTGATAATCTTGTCTGATCACCTTGTTTCATGGCATACAGTCACCGATAAAATTTCTTTTGTACTCTCATTAACCGACAAAACCGGTTCCCAGTCTTATGCCAAGTCTGCCCCCTTACTCGCTCTGGATCATAGAAATCAAACGTTCGCCGTCGCGTTTCCAAAAACTATTTCCTATAGTGAAGAGACACCCACGGAATCCGAGAAGACTCAATTTCAAATAGCCATATTTAAACCCACTGCACCGGGCGCCTTGTTCCAGTCAAAGCTTGAGAGTGCCCCGCGAGCGCTTATGGCAGGTTCAAAAACTGGAGACTACACGATCATTAATTCAGCCGCAGAGGTAATACAAGTCTCGTCTAGCACCCAGACGGGCCCTGTAACCGCCGATATGAGTTCGACCGAGACACTTCTTAGAAGCGGTCTCGAAGATCTATTTGGTTTCCGTCAACTTCCTCTCCAGTCTGGACAGGGACAGCCAGCTAGCAGTCTTGTGGCCCTTGATCACGCGAAGAGTCTGGCAGATATTTTTGATACAGGGCCGTCATTTGCACTTCCAGATATTGAAATTTTGCTGAGAGACGTGGTGGATGTTTTCAGTTCTAGAACAGTGCCAGCTTAGTAACTTTCATACTATGCTCTTTGTATCAAACCGCCTATGCAATTGTTTTAGAGCAAGATGAAATAATTGCATCGACTTCCACCTCAACCAACATCATGTCATCCACAAAACCATCCTTCACGACAATTGCCGTTGCAGCTGCACCCACCCCATCCCCTTCCTCTGCGTCTTTTCTTCCCGCACCCAGCATCTCACTAAATACCCCCATTACCACCGCGGCGTCTTCTTTCCGACTCACATACATCCTCACCCGAACGATACTCTCCAACGCTTGTGCCATACTTCCGGATAACTCTCCCACTACTCGAATGCATTCGCCCAGTGCAACACGCATTTGAGCTGCGGCATTGCCAGGGTAAAGGATTTGAGGAGCCGAGGGCGAGGAATGAGGGTCAACGGATGTTGTTCCAGAAATGAAGACGTGCTGACCATAGCGGACGCCTCGATAGTAGCCGATACACTGTTCGTATGGAGAAGTTGTTTGGTATAAGGTTTTGGCGCTCGGAGTGTTGGGTTTGATGAGGCGCCCGTTGGAAGACATTTTCAAAAGTATAGAGAGATTTTTATGTCTATGCTACGGCGTTGTAGACTGGCGCGTACCAGGCCTAAAACTGGCCACCGATGTTGGGTCTGTATCAAATCGTATAATATTTTCCCTGACAGAATGACTCACTGCCTATATATAGGGTATAGATGAAGAAGACGACTTGAAGGTTAATGGAGGTGGGGAAGGGGGTTTGCCAAGATACAGTCAATTACTTGTTAGTTAACTGGTGGTTGGCTAGGTACCTAGTAGGTACTTCGTACGGAGTATAGGGTAATGAGTGGACTGAATTAAGACTTCTTCGACACCATGAGAACGTCTGAAGCAGCTTCTAGCAGAAAGCTTCCCGACTTTGAGGTAGTTATTTAAGAGAAGGTATGGGTTTTGTGGTGTAAGTAGCCGAGCACTGGTTAATAAAAATTCTTATCCAAAAAATAGGCTAAGTTGGTGTAAACACTAAACTTATGACTACCTGTACGGGGTACGGAGTAACTTATTATAAAAGACGGCTATTCTCCTCGTATCGTGAAACAGGAAGCTTAAGAAATCTACACTCCAAAATGCCAATGCCTGGCTCTGTACTCCGTATATTTACCCCGTTTGTAGTTAGGTGGTAAAGAAACATAGAGCAACTACAATAAGCCGACTCACTCAAAGAATTTCTTCTTATTGATCAAGCGAACAGCAACCTCCTTATCGTGGCCAAATACTAGCTCCGCATCAAAGAGCTTCTGCAGCCGCTTGATCATCTGCAAGCTATTCCACCATGCCGTATGGTCGCGTGCCAGCCAGCCGTGCGGGTGTGACATATCGTAGTTTTCCGCAATATGGAATTGGTCTGTGGTAAAAATAAACGTTCCGTCCTTTTCGAGGTTGACCTGCATCACACAGAGACCTGGCGTGTGGCCGGGAGAGTGGTGGACCGTGATGCCCTGGAAAAGATCCAGATGGGGCTCATTAAACGTTTGCCAGTTAAGTTTATCGAGAGACAAGTAATGCGCGAGATAGACGCCGAGGTCGGCACCAGTGGCAACCGCCCAACAGGCGTGCTTGAATTCTTCTTCGTGGACGTAGATCGGTACATTGGTACCGACGAAATGCTCCAGACCCCCCGCATGGTCAAGATGTAGGTGGCCAAAAACAATTGCTTTAATGTCTTTGATATCGTTCCCCGTTGCCTTAATGGCCGTAGGAAGTTTGTGTTCTTCGTTGTAGACAGTTCGAGGGAAAATATCTGTTAATGGAGCCCCCCATTTCTGGAATACGTGAATAGCACATTAAGGATCAGCTACGCCTCGGCATTCATGGGCAAGGTAGCCATACTTACAGCGTCAATATCCTCCGCACATCCTGTCTCAAACAGAATTAGCCCTTCCTGAGGATGCTCGATCAAGACAGAAAGAACAATCAACTCGCGCCGTTTGTTTTCAGGTTGTTTGTTGCTCGCAGTACTCATATTTGCTGCACGTAGAAACCTATCTCAATATGACTATTAAAATCGGTATCAATTCGCTATCTGTTAACCAGCCACATACCAGCTCTCATCGCACTCAAGCGTGCCGAGGTTCAAAAGATGCAGCTTGGTTCCAGGCGGACAATTAAATGCTGGCAGGCGTGCTCTCGCAGCTTGACTCACCGTGTCAGACATCGATGAACACGCCATCTCGCTGTCTAATCAATACAGAGAGACGGGGCGGGCAACCGGAATGATGCGCAAAGGTATCTGCAACTCTTCAATGAAACTAGGAAAAGGTTTTAGAATGGGAGGAGCAACAATTCTTTATTTACGCGTTCTCCCGCCATGATACCCCGCTCTCGGACAGATATCACGGTTCTGCGGAAAGGCCACTGTTTAGCGATCCCCACGACCGGCCCCCTAGCGCAGAGCTCTGTTCGAATTTGGTAGGTTCAAGTATTTGTCACCTTTTGCAGGCCTTGGATGGTAAATTGGCAGGGGTTTGACTATTCCCCGTCGGAAAGTTGCTGGGGGCAAGATAGCTTTGTCAGACCAAATACATACACCACGGCACTGTTGCGGAAAGTTGCAGCTTGTGAATATAAGTTGATTGGGGGGATAACGTTCCTGTTGTCGTGCAGTCCCGCGTACACTGTTAGCAAAGATGAACAAGGTTGGTCATTGGCGACTGCATAGCGCGATTCGCTAGAGAATAGCGGATTTGCCGGAGTCTGCCACGGAGAATATCGAAAAGATGAGGCAAATAGCACATAACTAACTATCGATATTATGTATGTATGAATGTAGTAGGCCGAATCGAACGGTCATAGCTTTCTGTGGTGAGATAAACAAGTCAAGCCCAGTATTCTCTGTGCTCAGGGTTGTTCCAAGCCCAGCATAGGACTTTTTTCCCCTATTAGTTAATTAGTTAGTTACTCAATGGTTGCATGGCAAACGCTCCGTCGGCCAACACCAAATTTGGCCCCGAAGGTGTTCTCGGTCATAAAGATCGCAGGTGTGGGCTGTTTTTTCTTTTATTAATATGTGCGCCAACCCTGGTTTTCGCGGCTGTATCTCGCTGCGTTCAAGTATTTCGGTATTAGTTCTTACCTGGGGCTTCTCAGAAACCCCGCGACTGTCCCCACAGTGCTCTTTGAGGTCCGGCTGGTCAGATCGAACACATTAACTATCGTCTTAGTATTACCATAAACGGGCTACATATTGCCGCAGCGAGTATATACATAGGGAGCTAGAGCACAATCTCAATATTATACCACGCAAGACCCAGCTGTCCAGAGGCGAGAAGCGGATTTCGGTATAACAATCATCCGAGTCTGCATTAGTCAGGTAGTTAGTTACATAATCCGACCGGCCGAGAATTGCCGGCGGAGACCGAGAAAGAGAACTGACTTTGATCTTCAACAAAATATCGAATTGTCCCGAGCTTATCATTATTCTCACACTCCCAATCTGACTCACGTTCGCTCTCTTCAACCAATTTCCGTCTATAGATACTGACCTTGTCGACTTTTGAGACTAGTTGGTGGAATCTTCTGCGACCGAGTCTCTTTTCCGTGCTCTTCTTCAAAATGTTCCGCTCTGTCGTGCCGCGCCTTGCCGGGCGCATTTCTTCGAAAACTACTCCCAAAATAGCCTTTCAACAGCCATTCCAAGTCTCCAGTCTTTATATTTTCGGCCAGTCAAAAAGAGGTTACGCCACTGAATCAGGTACTACCTTTTTGAGACGTCAATTTGACGCCCTGTTCACTGACAACTGCTGTAGAGGAGCACGATTTGGTTATAATAGGTGGGGGTGTTGCTGGGTACGTTGCCGCTATTAAAGCCGGGCAGGAAGGGCTAAAGGTATTTTCTCTTGTTGTTTGCCAAAGCGTTTAGCGGGTACTCATTGAGAGCTCGTTGTCTAATGTTTGGCGTAAGACTGCCTGTATTGAAAAACGAGGAGCTTTGGGCGGTACATGTCTCAATGTGGGATGTATTCCTTCCAAATCTCTCCTAAATAACTCCCATCTCTACCACCAAGTCCTGCATGACACCAAAAAGCGCGGTATCGAAGTCGGCGATGTAAAGCTTAACTTGAAACAAATGATGAGCGCCAAAGACACGTCCGTCGATTCCCTTACGAAAGGTATCGAGTTTCTTTTCAAGAAGAATAAGGTAGAATATGTCAAGGGAACAGGATCGTTCATCGATCAGCATTCTGTTAAAGTTGACTTGTTGGATGGTGGGGAACGAACTTTGCGCGCGAAGAACATCATTATCGCAACAGGCAGCGAGGCCACTCCCTTCCCAGGTCTTACTATCGATGAAAAAAGGGTTATCACCAGCACCGGAGCCCTATCTTTGCAAGAGGTCCCCAAGAAAATGGTTGTCATTGGCGGTGGAATCATCGGCTTAGAAATGGTGGGTAGTTTTATGTGCCTCTTTTTACTAACCATGCTAAAATACTCATTTTATTAGGCCTCTGTTTGGTCGCGACTAGGTGCTGAAGTTACTGTTGTGGAATTCCTCAATCAGATCGGTGGACCTGGTATGGATACTGAAATTGCCAAACAGACCCAAAAAATTCTCTCCAGACAGGGGTTGAAGTTTATGGTTGGCACCAAGGTCACCAAGGGTGATGATAGTGGTGAAACAATTAAACTTGACGTTGAAGCTGCTAAAGGTGGAAAAGAACAAACTTTGGATGCAGATGTCGTTCTTGTTGCTATTGGTCGACGTCCTTTCACCCAAGGCCTTGGACTTGAGAAAATAGGCCTTGAGGTGGATGAGAAAGGGCGCGTGATCATCGATCAACAATACCGCACCAAGGAATCCCACATTCGTGTGGTTGGAGACTGCACATTTGGCCCCATGTTGGCACACAAGGCTGAAGAAGAAGCTGTTGCCGCAATTGAATATATCAAAAAGGGCCACGGTCATGTCAATTACAATGCCATCCCTAGCGTTATGTATACACATCCCGAAGTTGCGTGGGTTGGTCAAAATGAGGCAGACCTGAAAGCTGCCGGCATCAAATATCGAGTTGGCACATTCCCCTTCAGCGCCAACTCCCGTGCCAAGACGAATCTTGATTCAGAAGGTCAAGTTAAGTTCCTTGCCGACGAGAAAACAGACCGCATTCTTGGCGTACACATTGTCGGACCCAATGCTGGCGAAATGATTGCAGAGGCCACGCTTGCTGTTGAGTATGGTGCTAGCTGCGAAGACGTTGCACGCACTTGCCACGCCCATCCGACTCTGGCGGAAGCCTTCAAGGAGGCGGCAATGGCTACTTATTCCAAAGCAATTCACTTTTAGAATACAAGCTTGACTATTCTCCAATGTTAACTGGTGCCGTTGCGACAACTGTGCCTTTGTCAGCCTTTAACTTTCCCAGTCATGTTCTGTTTTTTTAGCAGTTGGGTATTTTCCTGTATAACTGGCCTATATTGCATGTATTCATAGGCATGAATTTCCTTCAAAACTCTTTTTCAATGATATTAGTTCCATTGTCCTCACTTTTCTTCACCAAGCAAGCATGTCTATTATTTACTTTTTCTATTTTGCACCATACTACCTCACTAAATCTTACAATTATGCTAGTGCTAGAGTTCAAACATGTATAGAACCTCTCTCTTTGTTTCTCATCATCCTTTTCTCTTGATGCAGTGTGGTACAAGTGGTAACTATAAGTCATCTTCAACAGGCTCTACCTAGGATGAACCTCTTCCAGCTTCACACCCAGAATCATCAAATGCAGTTACACAATAATGGTGAGTACCCTTCAAAATCAAAACGGTACATTATCAGAGAAGAATGGGAATAGTGTTGTATTATCACTTAAATTATAATTAAAATGTGTTTAACTAGCCGTTGATGGCATTAACTGTGAGGATGCTGCATCATTGCCGTAGCAACATAACTTAGAAAGGTGATTACGCCTCTAGAGACTCTCTTACAACATGGGAGCCTTTATAGTACTACAGCATTACATTGTACCAAATAGAGCCTCGTTCAATACGATTACTCAATTGATTGAGAGCCGACAAAAAATTAACTCACAGATATACGGGATATCTGGAAGCTTTCGACAACTCTGGCCTTACCCCACAAAAGAATTTATAAAACGCCTTCGATGAAGTTCTCTCTTGACCCTCCAGCTATTCTTGCTTCTCCTTAAAAGATGCCCCAATTGATGTTATACTTAATAAAGTGCAAAGCCTAATCATGAAACAGAAGTTTAATTGGGCGATAATATTGAGTATATCTTATAATCAGTTCACAGTTTACTGGACACCGAATTTTTATTTATTCACTGGTAAAAGTAGTTGCACCCCTCCAAGACATTTATTGGAATGCGGCTCCGACAAAGCTAAGAAATCGAAATTAAGCTTAACTGGGCTAGCGAGAGTTTGATTGGTCATATATGGGTATTCCGGAGCTATACTAGTTACAGACTAGCTCAGCTTAGTAACGAAATAGGTACCGAGAGGCGTATATAGGTAAACCTTACCTATATTGCTCAGCCTTCGTCGTCATCTAACTAACTACTGGGCTTAAATTGGCACAACTTCCAGTGACGCATGTGAACAACATCATACGATCTGGTGGGCGTATCTTTTGGGTCGTTGTCAGCACCTCCGATGGGCCTGGGTAGTTGTCCTTATTCTTGACATTTTTGTACACTGATTTCGCTCTTTTCTAGTAAAAATGTCCAATTTTGAGCCGAATGCTATTATCAGGGGTGCACAGCTGACCTTAGTTGGAGGTGAGTATGTCAATTAACTTGGGTATGGGATATCTTGGACCTGCAGCTTATTGCGGTATAGCTCATCGAGCTCTTCAGAATCCGGGGCTTTTCAAATCAGAGCACTATAGGCAGGCCGCTCTGGCCGTCATTGCTGGCATCGCAATTCGTGCGATTGTATCTATCCCGGTATATTCTCTCAACCCTTTGCAGAAGAATTGCATGCTAATGGAATATAGGTTATTCTGGTCAAATTTACCATATGGATAATATCCTGGGTGGTTGATCTCCAAGCAGTAACATGGGATGACACTCTGATCAACGGTCTTGATTTCGTCTCAAATTATGTTTTGCAAGTTCCATTTTTGCTGATGACCTTAATGCGATACATCACCCCGACTTTGGACAATGTGTAAGTTTTATACACCGCCTAGACTCCCTGTGCTAACCCTGTTTTAGTTTTATGGAATCCCTTAGATGGGTAGACTCGACTTATGTCCTGAAGCACAAATCTGACAATCCAGAGAATCTACGTGCGATGTATTATCAGAACCTCGTCATGTACTCCAACAAGCATGAAAAACATGAAAAAAATATTGGAGATGTCGCAGCATCTCTCCGCTCTTTTTTCACGCGTTATAGCCGGAGGACGGTTTTATCACTTGCCGTTTACTTATTGTCTCTGTTGCCTGTGATAGGAAGGTTTGTTCTTCCAGCGGCAAGTTTTTATACTTTTAACAAGGCCGTGGGTCCTGTTCCCGCTACTGCTGTTTTTGGAGCCGGGCTTATCCTCCCAAAACGGTATTTGATCATGTTTTTACAGAGCTACTTTGCATCACGCAGTCTGATGAGAGAATTGGTATATACTCAACTTTCTCCTGCTTTAGTTACTTTGGCTAACACACCCTTAGCTTGAGCCATATTTTTCGCGCGTTAAATTTAACAAAAAGCAAAAGCGCGGATGGTTTCTTGACAGAGAGGGTGTTCTTTTCGGATTTGCGATTGGATTTTATACTCTGATTAAAATTCCATTGGTTGGCGTTCTTCTATACGGCGTGGCTGAAGCGTCAACAGCATATCTTATTACTAAAATTACAGACCCGCCTCCTCCACCTGCGTATGCGGAAGATTTTGCGGAGAGTCAAGTTCGTTGGACGAATAAGCATAAGATGTTAGCCCTGACGATTAGAACGCTTGATAATTACAATGTCCAAGAGGACGAAGAAACTGATGTTAAAAAGGAAATGCCACAAAAGAAGTTCAGTTAGGCTTTTTTTTTCAAGACATTCCGAACTTACACAGGCTATTGTTCTTAAGTTGGCCGAAAATAAAGTTGATGCGTATTAAGCTTGTATTTCAAATTAAAAACTATATGATGCCACATATTGTTCTGCCTTGGAAGCACAAGAGATAAAAGAACCCATATAATTCACATCAAATTTATGGACCCTTACCGAAAAAATAGCCACACGCCCCTATCAACACAAAACTATAATATTCTATGAGACAAAGTCCTTGTGGTTTTGAGGCTATCATTCCCAATCATTTGAGCACTGATCAAGATTTCGATGCACCGGCTCAAGCCCTATTTCTGATTCGAAGGGAGATGGTTGAGCAAGGTAAGATTGCGATAATGTCCGATATTACTGTGCTGTTTATAATCGAATATTGTATAGAATGGGAAGGCATTTTGGTCCCAGAGGGACGTAGTTGTTGACGTTGTGCAGCATATATGCTTGACCAGGAAATCAACTAGGCAAACAGCGCCTTCAACACCCTTGAGTAGAGATTTTCAAGCATTAGCTATATTGTTCCATTGATTCATTGAGTAACCTACACTGAAGCGTTCGAGTATGTCGAGGCTCCTCGGCCACCCTTTTCATTAGTATTTTCCCAAAAGAAGCAGCTGTTAAATGACAAGACTAATGATATAGTGGGATTTGGCATCGATGTACGGAGTACTACACCGAACGTCCCATTTGAATCCCTATGGCGCATAATACGGAATACTACATACTTCCACTCTTTCTTTAGCACCGGGGTATCATCGCTTGGTGTTAGGGCTAAACAAAGAGCAGGGATGGCCTTCGGGGAATCCGGATGCAGGGCTGCGTGCTCAGGGGTAAATAATGAGGGACATCGTGGATGAACATGTGCTGGTATGGCAGGTTTGTTGAGGTAGTATTCTGGCTGCTTCGATCAGCGTCGGCTGTTTTATTGCAACAGCAAACTATCTCTGCGTGGCGATTCTTCTGTGGGCCCATCATTTGTCCCAACAAAAGAACGGAAGAAGGCTTTTCACGAGTATAGCAATAATACAGCCTATAATTACCGCGGTCATTTGTTTCAGACGGCGTCGCAACAAAAAGGCAGAAGGCTGGGGAGCTAAGGCTCGAAATGCGTCGTCCGCTAACTCTTCAGACTGAGCAAAGGGCACGGAGTATGTAATTATATGCGCCACATCAATGCTATTTCTCTATTCGCCGGAATAAGGCTAGGGATAACTAGGAGCGCAGACCAGCAAATAATGATATTCAGTGAAGACGCCGGCCATGGCATAAAAAGTTGGTACCCTAGGCTGTGCCCTCCTTTCTTTTTGGATTTACGATGCTGATCATGATGAAAGGGGATGAGAATTGGGCCAGTGGTGGGTAAGATGATTCGGATAATATTAGGGAGTGACTAACGGAGCTGTTTCAAGTACTCAGAAGTACAGTAACAGATCCGCTTGAAAATACCATCCCCTGTGCCCACATAAGACTCGGCCAGAAGCACGGCCACAGCTCATATACAGAAAACAAGAAGTACTCCGTACTCCGTAGAGGCTGGAAGTATGCCCTTGGAACAGCCCCCACGACCGCGCATAAATTCATTTCCATCATCGTAGATCGGTTTCGCATAGTTAAACCTTAGTCCGTTGCACATCATGATCTCAGGCCGTTCAGTTTTCTCTGTCGCGCCTTAGGTGGATTTCTGCTGGTCCTGCTGTCCGCCGCCCAGCGCACCCCCAACGGTCTTGGTGGCTCCACCAACGAGATTGCCGACGCCCTGGGTGGTCTGCTCGACAGCACCACCAACAGCCTTAGTTGCGTTGCCCACAGCCTCGCCCACGCCCTGGGCCGTTTGTTCGACAGCACCGGTGACGCCAGAGGCAGTCTTCCCGAGGCCATCGCCGACGCCCTGGGTAGTCTTGCCAACAGCACCCGTCACTCCGCCGAGCATGCCCCCAATGCCCCCCTTCTGGTCCTGGCCTTGCTGGCCACCGTTTCCACCGCTGATGCCGCTGAGAAATCCAGACATTGTTACAGTGGGGTCTTGGGATCTGGTCGTTTGAGGGGAGATGGTAGAAAAAGTTTGCTTTGAGCCGAGCGGTTTTAGACTGTCGCGGGAAATGTATGTATCGTGAATATATGCCGGAGCCGTTCGAGCTTGGGGGGGGGCGTCTGGTACGGGCAAGGGAGCGATATAAATACTCGGCGCGGGGTATCGTTTTGCGCCTCAATAATGGCAGAACGTGCGTAGCCTCAAGTCTCGGCGAGCAGCGCAATTTGCCATCGTGCCCGCCCAAGATCTAGGCAGCGTGGGCGAGCGCTGGCTCGGAGATGGTCCTTGGGCGGCGGATGTGCCTGAGCCAAGTGCCCAGCGAGGCGGCGACTTGCAAAACCGGGCAGCGGCCGCCGGGACTGCGGCTGGTTATCGCGTGGCGGTGCGTGGCTGCTCCACGTGACGCGGACAGCTCCGTGTTTGCGTGGTTTGCCCGCTGAGTCAGCTGACGCGGCCGGCCCCCTGAAACTCGACGCCAACGTCAGCTCATCTCCGCCGTCCACCGGGAACCACGTCTCCGTGAGCTTCGGGTCGTTTCGCGTTGTTGCAACACTTGATTTCCGCTCTTTTTCTTCTTCTGCTTCTTCTTCTTCTGGCGATGTTGCATGTCGGCCCGCCAGCCTCGTGTGGTGGCAAGGATACCCGATTCCATGCGCGTTTTTCACCCAAGCACATGTCAGCATGCCTTCGGAACCCAGGAAGGGTGTGACCCTGTGCCCGCCCGATGAGGGGGCTCCGAGCTTGTCTGCGGTATACTTTTGCTCGTGTTTCTGGATGAAACCCGGGACTGGCTATACAGCTCTCCGTCCAGCGTATTTAGATCTAGACCTAACTTTCCCCTGGTGGCACTATTTGCCCTCAGCATCGGAGCAATTCGCTCAGCCAAGGGTATCCCCCGTCAAGGCGATCGGAAGAATACCGACCACGGCTGGGAGTCGAGTCACATCCATGCTGCTTTACCAATGATTCTTTGAGGCGTTCAAATGTTCCAGCGCTGTGGATATCCAAGCGCCCGTCTATGATTATTTTACTTGTGCTTTTTACGACGAAGATCGCCGTTGATCTTTCCCACCTCTCCCTTGCACTCCCACCACAAAATACCACTGCTAAGCTTTTTTCAATCTTCTTGGACGTAACCTTGATCGGTTCTTTTTACCCCCTCGCCTGGCCCATTATTCCCTTTCCGGCTTCGTTCATTCGAACTCTATCCGCTTGGGAGTTAAAGCTGCCTGCTAAGGGAACCTCTGTGCTGAAGTTGTTATGCTCGGCAACCAGATTCTGTTACTCGGGTACAAACCCGCTTGGGTTTGCCAATACCCAACACCATGGGTAAGGTGATGAAATATCGCCAAGTTTCAGGGTCCACAGCTGCCTAGCAGAACAAGTTTTAGGACTTGAGTGTGCCGTAGTACCTGATTCGCTTTCTAGAAGCTTGTCTGTTTTAGCGGAGAGCTTCTTTCACCTCATTTTGTTTCTCTCACTAGGCGTTTGTAGTTTGAACGTCCCTGGCCCTGGTCGGTCGGTCGTTTCGTGCTCGAGTTGGAAGGATCCGTTTCCTTGCCCCTGTGAGTCGGAAACATTTTTTCAGTAGGGAGTACGCAATCCCCTGTCCTGCCTGTACGGCAACGCCTGTTGTGTCGAAGTACAGAGTAGGGAGAATCCCCTGTCCCGTGAAGCCTCCATGGTTTAAGTTGCTGGGCCTTAAACATTACTATTGTTCTTCTTCAACGCCTGATATCCTTCCCGTCTCTTTGACGTTTTTAGTGAGCCGAAAGTTTGGCACCATACCCTCTTGATGGTAGCACATCGCCTCCTCCCCCGGTTCGCCCCGTGATGAGTATGGCGAGGTCGTAATGGATCCTTCTTTACTCAAGTCTAATCAAACAATGGTTTCATCGCTCAGCTTTCTGTAGACTAGCAGGGTAGCTTGAGCCTCTACAGTTTGATATACCGTTGAATAGCGGAAGCACTGCACTGATCTTCTTATTCTTGCTTCATCTCGCGGAGGGTATATATACGAGGAGCACATCCTCTCCAAAAGGGCATTAATTCCTTTTCCAGAGCCCAATTACCCAGCCCAGCCGAGTCAAAATGGTTTCCATGAAATTCTTGTCCGTCCTTCTCTCAGCTCTGGCAGCTGTTGATGCCGCGGAGGTCTTGAGTGTCAGCAACAAGAAAGACATCATCCCCGACTCCTACATCGTTGTCTTGAAAGATGAGGTCCCCGATTCGGAAGTCAGAGCCCATGTGTCCTGGGTGCAGACTACTCAAAAAGTCGGAAACATGAAGCGAAACAACACTGTCTCTGGCTTAAAGTCAACCTTCCACATTGGCCAGTTCCAAGGATACCTTGGCTCCTTTGACCAAGATACTCTTGCCAAAATTCTCCGTGATGACAAGGTACGTGCACATGGCTCGCGGCAAACTTCGCTGGATTATACTTACATGTAGATAGGTCAAATATGTTGAACCAAACCGGATCATGAAGATCCAGGGAGTCACTGAGCAACGTAATGCTCCATGGGGCCTTGGAAGAATATCTTCCCAGCAACCGGGATCTGACACCTACGTCTACGATGAATCGGCGGGCAGGGGCATCATCATTTATGGTGTTGATAGTGGTATTGATGTTAGCCATCCCGACTTTGAAGGCCGGGCGACCTGGGGCACAAACACCGTGGACAACGATGACACTGATGGCAACGGCCATGGAACGCACACCGCAGGAACCTTTGCCGGTAGCACCTATGGTGTTGCTAAGCATGCGACCATTGTAGGTGTCAAGGTCTTGGATGCTGGAGGTTCTGGTAGCAACAGTGCTATTATTGCAGGTATTGACTGGTGTGTGAATCACGCCCGTGAAAACAATGCTCTCGGCCGTGCTGTCATGAACTTGAGCTTGGGAGGCGGTTACTCCGAAGCTACCAACAGTGCCGCTGAGCGGGCTGTTGCTGCTGGTATTTTCCTTGCTGTTGCTGCCGGAAATGACAACGTAAGTGACGACTCTGTCCTTCCCTTTCGCCCTGCCTGTGCTAATTACAAATCGTATTATAGCAAGATGCCAACAACTATTCTCCCGCTTCTGCGGCCAATGTCTGCACCGTTGGTGCGACCGATAGCCAGGATGTCAGAGCTACCTTTTCCAACTACGGCTCCAGATGTAAGTAGCGATCATTTCTATAATGTCTTGATAATTTTGACTTGCCAACTAACGCTATTGAATCTAGTGGACATCTTCGCCCCTGGTGTTGACGTTGTTTCTTCTACGGTTGGCGGTGGCTCCGGTCCCATGTCTGGAACATCGATGGCAGCTCCACACATTGCAGGTCTCGGTGCTTACCTTATGGCACTTGAGAACATCCCCGCTGGTCAAGTTTGCGACCGCATCAAGCAACTCTCTCTCAATGCCGTCCGCAACGAAGGCCCCGGATCTACCACTCAGCTCGCCAACAACGGGGCAAGTAACTTGAAAAAATAAATTATTCAGATAAGAATTGATTGATCAAACTCGGCTGAGGCTTTGGGATATATTCCATGCACATAATTAATTACTTTAGACACTCTTTCAGATTATTCTTTTCTTTCGTGCCGTGCTGGGGAATGGGGCGCTTGAGCTGTATATAAGTATCCTTTACGTGCACTATTTTAAATTAATAGCAGGCTGTTATGCTACATTCGCTGCAAGACATACAAAAGCAATATCTGTCTCGTAACTGTGCTATCCTATCTATCTATCACGGAACCTGGCCCGACAACGTGGTTTTATGTTCATTGATGGCCTTGGCAACGGCAACTAGCTCACTAGGTGGTTCCGGCAAAGTCTGTGTGGGGAGGATGCAGAGTCGGGCATCATGGGCCTGCAGATCAGCTGGAGATCGCCCCGGCCCCTTGAAACGGGTTACTGCTTTTTGTTCGTACTTTTGCTGTGATGTTGCTGATAAATTAAGGTAGCATGCGGTTCCTAGCTTTCCCCTGACAGATTTATAGTACTAAGAATAGAACAAATGCGCAGACCGGTAGAAACTACTCCGTACTTTAACCGCTACTTATTAAATTTAACTATGTAGTTAACTATCCCCTACGGAGTACAGAGTACGGCGTACTCCGTCGTTAGTAAACTAGCTAACTAACTGCTGGATATGACATAGCGGGGTAGAGGCCGATTCGACAACAAGCTTCCCAGTATTCCGTAATAGGAAATTATTCAACCGTCGTAGGATTGAAGGATCCCCAAAGCCACAATGCACGGGCCAACCATAAGTCCCATTGAAAGAATAATAATAATGAAAGGATTTCAGAAGGCATCTGAGCTCGACTGATACGCCGGAACGATAGGTAGTTATAGGATGCCGAGCAGCGACGAGGATGGTTGGCGGCGATCTGTTCCGGTGATCAAGACGGCCGTTGCGCATTCCTGATTGGGACAGTCACGGGCATCTGGGGCTCTGCAGACGTTGGCGCTAACCGGCTTCGGCAAGCGCCGTTGTGCCTGAACTCTGCAGCCGGGACGAAACCAGGGCAGGCGCAAACTCTCCCCCGTCAACAAACAGCTTTCTCGCATCTCGCTCTCGCACACACACTGCAGTCGAGCGAACCGGCCATGGAAGACCCAATCGCCCAAGATCATCAGCCCCTCAAGCCCAAAGGACGCAAGAAATCCAAGAAGGCCAAAAAGAAGGCGCCTCTTCCCAGCATTGTCCTCCAGCACGGTTTGACACTAGACATGGAGAGCAGCGGTGCCGGACATCCTGACCCTCCGTGCACTTCCCCACCTACGTATACGTCTACCCCAGGCCCGGTTACAAGCCTCACTATTGATGAAGCAGGCCAAAGGCCTATCTCCCCTACGGCTCAATCGATCTCCTCCATTGACGCTCCTTTGGCCGATCGACGGAAGCAACCGTCACGTGGAAATAAGAAAGCCAAACCCAAGACTGCAATTATGGTTATGGAGGAGCCCCTGCGCCGAGAATGGGCCGACGACCAGCCGCCAGAAGAGGCAAGGCCCAACGGTGCACATGTACCGCCATACGGAAGTGATGCAGCAGGTGGCGGGCAAAGGTCTGCACATGGGGACTTGCACGGGGAGCTTTTAGGCAGAGATGGTCTGGAAATCCAAGAGCAGGAACGAGACGAGACCAACGGCGTCATTGTTAACGGTGCTGAAAAAACAGGAGTAGGCGTGGTAGAGAGGGCTATTATGCTGGTTGAAGAAGATAGAGAGAGCGTACCCACGCCAGTGCAGCAAATCGAGTCGGTATTTCAGAAATTATCGGAGACTGGGCTGAACGTATTCGATACCCAGAAAGCACCTTCTGGCGAGGCTCTCGGATTATTTACCGAGGATACCGCAGTGGAAACTCCCAACGACATTAAGAAGAAGGAAAAGAAGGTCAAAAATAAGGAGAAGAAGAAGAAGGCCAAAACACTAGTTACCAGTCTAGAGGAAGCTGGCATGCCTCAGCTGCCAACGAATGATGCCGAAGTTAAGAAAGAGAGCGAAACACCTCTCAGACAGAGAGAGCCATCAGCAAAAAAGGATATGCGCATCAAGCTAGACGTGGACCTTGAAATAGAACTTTTGTCCAAAATGAAAGTTAAGGGAGAGATTATGGTTACGTTTCTCTAAGGCATCTACCTAGTGCCACTCAGGAGATATACACTATCATGTTTCATGAATTGGGGAGGGTGTCATTTTTTACAAGGGGTGTTGGGGCCTACCGGAGGCTATGGGGTGGCTGGTTTATTTTTCGGTCGTTCCTTTCTTTTTGAGAACGGTATAGAGAAGGACTGAAGTTATATATGCCGATGCAACATTTGTACCCAATGGGTTTATGGCGTTTTGACACGGGTTGAGTTAGCAAAAGTGTTCGGACCATATGGTACGGCACGTCTTCTTGATTCACAGTGGATGCTCTTACTTTTTCTGCCGCTAGATTGGCAGGCCTTTGGCGTGTGTGCATCAGAAATCGATGTGTTTATACATTAGACTAGTATACATTGCATGGGCGATATGAATAGATGCGCAAGTGTATCAAGTAGTAACCGCAGTTTGCCCAAAGATACCCACCAAGGCAAGATGGACAAATTGGCTTAAACGCCGTTTCAGCGTCTCATAAGGCATGTCGTTTTTCACCTTGATCCTCGTGGCGTCTTTGTCTATAGAGTCTCTCGACAGCGACTTTGAGTTAGGGAAGTATTATTGAGTAGAGCGTTTGGCGTAGCTGAAAAGATGGGGGAATCGCTTCACTTTCTGCCCTTTCGTAAAACTAGAAAGGGATAGGTAAGTGGAGCTATTATATGCACATATAGGAATACTATTAGGCCTCGGTCGCTTAGTAGATAAATAGCTTGAGGTCGTCGGGCTTTCATAATTATATCGCGTTCGTGCCGAGAATGACGCGTCATGCCATTCTTTAATGTTTGTTTACGGAGCAGCAATCAAAATAGGGTCCTGTAATCACACTTTTGGGTATGTAAATTCATTTTTTCATTGGTTCATCTCGTAACGTACACAGCTGCAAGGAAGCAGGGAGGCTTAGCGAAAACTGGTATCTCGAAAAGTTGAAGGTAGTTCGAACGCAGTAAACGGCATGCAACCAAACTCTAGATATCAGCAAGACACGCTATGCGTCCAAAACGCCTCATTCTCTGGCAGCACACAGGCGGCGACAATCACAGAGTACCAGCTAACGCCACAACGATGCTCAGACCAAGCGCAGCTGCAACGCCCTGAACGCGAGCTGCAGTGTTAGTGGTCTGCTGCGGCGGCATACCGGGCGTGGTCATTGTCGCGTTCCATCCACCGGTTGGGCGGGGCCAGGAAGTACCAGTGCCCGTGCCAGTACCCGTGGAGCGGATGACGGTGGTGTTCGACGGCGGAGTGGGGGACGATGGGGGGAGGACAACGGTATCCGTTAGAACAAGAGTGCTAGTTCTGGTAACCCGGGTTGTTAATACGGTGGTGGGCTTTGCAGACGGGGTGGGCGTCTGGGAGATAACAGTGTAGGTCTGCGCAGCCTTGCACTCCTCAAGCTTCATGTTGTTCGGGCAACATCCGCCGTCGGTGCAGTAGGTTCCCTTGGAGCAAAAGGCTACAAAGTAGGTTAATATAATGATTTGCATATTCATATGGCATGGCGGGTGGCCGTGCGCAGAGCCACATACTTCCATTCTCGCAACACGTCTCACCCCTGGAGGGATTGAAACACATGTTTTGCTTCACGCAGGTCTTGTATCCTTCGCCGCACGATGATTCGCAGCTCGGCTGCGCGACGTCTTTGCACTGGGTCGAGCGTCGCATCAAGGCGCCAACGCCATTTTCCTGGTGGACAGCGGCGCCAAAGCTGAGCGCGTGCGCAGCAGCAGCGACGCTGGTAAGAAGCAGACTAGACGTGAACAGCATGGTTGGGGGATCCAAAAAGAAGGTTGTTAAGAGGAACAAGAAAGAGAGACAGGTAGCGAGGAAGGTATAGAAAAGAGCGACAGGAATAGCAGAGATGCTATCTCAAAGGAGCGGACGTAAATTCGCAGAATTTACCCAACAGCAAAATCCTCGCGACAGCAACGGGCGATGAAACGAAACAGGCGACGTTCGCAAACAGTTATACTCTGTACTCCGTACAACATGGCGGGAAAGCCGTTTTGGGGCTCGTCGGCCGCCCGCAAATTACCGCCAATTTAAAATCTCTGACCCCCCCGCCGGCCAACGGCTGATCCCGGTCGCGCGCCAGCCAACAATGGGTTAAAACTAACTAGTGAGTTGGCGGGCAGCCGGCGAGGAGCGCGCTGGTGGGATCCGGCCGTCAGTTAGTTGGTGAGTCGACTAACTGCAGTGACAAGAAGCGTTGCGCCAGACATTCCGGAGGAGCGTCGAGAAACAACCATGCCTGTCATCGGTCGCTGCCAGTATGACTTGCAGCACGAACGCCCTCGTCGGGCCGCTGGTTGGCCGCCAAAGCCGCCGTTGAAACCGCATCCCAGTGGCAGATCTTGGCCCGCCTGATCCTTCGCTATGGATTGGCTAACTATAAACTAATGGCTAGTTACTGGTCTTGGGCGCCCAATAGTTAGTTAGTTAGTCCGCAACAACTCGTCAGCGGATTGGCCGTGGCAGAGGGCGAGGCCAAAAAGTAGAGGCACCCATCCAGACCTTGCTAAGGGGAGAGGAGTCTCACAGCGAGCCTTGAGATTGCCTACAAGCGTTCTAGTACTGGTTGTTATCCCGAAAGGGACGTTTGCGCTCTATGCTCTATCACACTCTCGCCGGCGAAGACTTCTGGGGGCCGGGCCGGCTCTTAATTAGTTATACCCCGTACTCTGCACAAAAATAGAAACGAATTGTTTTTTGGATCGGGGCCAGAAGAGTGTTGAAAGGGCCCTGCACGTATTTGCCGGGTAAAATCTCCAGGTTTTTATTCTTTATTTTTTTCCAATTGCGAATAAGGAGGTGGGGAATATGCTTGTTCCATCGAAGGTAGGTGTTATTAATATTGAGAGGATTGTTGTGGCTGATGCGATGCAAAACCGTTTAGGCGGTAAATAAAGCGCAGCGTTGGTTCTCGGGGATGTCCCTGTCTTTGGACACAGGTTGCCAAGGGCCAGAACTGTTAAAATTGGTTCAATTTTCTCGAATTTTCTCGTTGTTAGATAACCATGCGGCATTATAGGAAGGATCATCAGTCTGAAGCATGGGCCCTACTATTGATTGAGAGCCAACACACCACCTACTTACTTTCCACTTCTCTCACCTTGTAGCCAAACATTCCATTTGACTCGATGCTATTCTCGTCTGCTAGTTTCTCAGAACACTCGATGCCCGACACTGGGAGCCTATATTCGAATCGCTTGCCTTCTGCTGGCACATTGCCATTCGGCAACGCATAAGGAAAAGGTAAATAATCTGGTAATAGTCCTAGCTGACGGAGAAGGCAAGCCTGATCCCACCAAATATGCTCATGGTAGAGCTTGTCCCCGCGAATGTTCACCACAGAAACCATAGGTAGCCGGACAGCTTGACCAGTTGGAGGGATGCCAGGGGCACTGATTGTAAGTGTCGGCCCAGATGGTTAGTGCAGCCATTTGGCAAGAGATGTAGGAGGGGTAAATTACAGCCAGTCAATTACTTCATCGTGGGTGAAGCAGAAGATGAACTCGTCGATGACGCGATCAATGCCAACTGTGCGGCTGACAAGGTCCAGCCGTGTATCCTTGGGGTTGTTCCAGATGAAATGATAGCGATAAAAGTTAGTGAGGCGCTCCCGCCCTATACCACCAGTCATCTATATACCGAGGTCAGCCCATTTTTAAATATGTAGCTGATATAGTATGATACAAACGCATACCGTTGGAATATGATTCACATACGGCTCTTGGACCATCGTTCCCATTGTCCTGGCTACTGAACGATCCCCAAACTCAAAATATGTATGTTCATCCCATATTGCCTCTAGATCGAAGACTGGACCTCCCAGTTTGGATTTAAGAAATGTCAGTGTGCGCGTATGTGCAACCGCAGCTGAAGAAGCAATAAAATCCCTGTGCTTCGGGATAATAAAATATGGGGAGCTTGTTTCCGGGTACTTGTGGATTTTCACATTCGGCTCCGTGGAGTCTTGCGCACCTGGACCTGGGAGATGAACGAGCTGCGATATGCTCAGGGGGAGGAAGGGGCCGTAAGTGACAATGGCTCTGATTGTGACTGACTGAAGTAAGAGGCTTAAAGCGACATGATCAAGGTTGCCATCCAGGACTATGACGCTTGAATCGTACACTATTTCCCGTGTCAGCTTCCTTTAGAATCGAACACGGGCACTCCAGCAAATCTTCTGTACATATTAGTCCGAACCCATTCTCAGTCTCACACTCGCTCAGAGCAGTGAGTCCATTTGCTGCAGTCCTAATTGCGTCCTTGAGAGAGAGCTCATCAAGCTTGGTTGAAAGTTCGATTTGTGCCACTGCGTAGCCCTCTTCAGCCCATTTCTGCTGTGGAGCAGGGTCCAAAGTTATGTGATCCTCAGCGAGTTCGAAACCACCAGGAACAACGACGATAAGCCCCGGGCCATGCCCGCGACGAGATAGCGGAGGTTGCAAGGTGATCCCTGTAGAAAGAACTGTTGTTGTCGCTGAGGGAAGGGGGATAGCCGGTTCGTCAATCTCCATAGCTGAGGACCTTTGGCACGAAGTCGAACTCTGTCTGCTATCACAACGTCCTCGTATCGTTGCCAAAGCGGCCGTCGGTTGTAGGGTGTCATGAAGTTCGCAGGTCTGCTGATTTGCTGGTACCATCTAGACCCACTTGATTACCCGAACCACTGCTAGTTGACTATGCATACGAACACGGATGGTATGGGTTTAAAACTTGAAAATGTATACAACGTATACCTATTGTCCAGAAGATATCTGCATACATACTCCGTATTCTTCTAAAATTTCATGGCAATGAGCTATGTTTCTGGGTGTTCGTTCCAGGAAATGTGCGATCGTTGTCAATACGTCGGACAGCTATTACTTGGATGCGATGGCAGCACTGCCGATGTTGAGTGTAATAATTTAATATTGTGAGACGGGGGACAAGTCTGTGCCTAGAGCTTCGTTGGGCCGTGTTTATCCGCTATTTCACCTTGCAGGTGGAAGGGCAGGAAGATTCTAGCAAACAGGCCAGCCGACGAACCACGTCGACGGGGTACCGCAAATCCAGCCAAGATAGCGGCCGCATTCCCCGGCGAGAAAGAATTGCTGACTCAAAACCTGAGCTGCACGACCCGTATTCAAGGACAAAAAGGGGGGGGGGGGGAAAGAAAGATATAAAGGGCCTCCGTTCGCCATTGTTATCACAAATGCTAAACACGCAATCAAGCATAACTTGAAAAACGATACCGGTAATCCACCCAACAGTGCATATCCGACAAAAACTTCTGCAACCATGCGCTTTGCTTCTTTCCTCGTTGCCATTGCCGTCGGCCTCTCTTCCGCAGTGCATGCTCTTCCAGCCGATGCCAACTCTGAGTGTACTAAGCCGTGCTTTCCTACACCATCAAAGTGCGAGAGCGGCTGGGTAGGTTAATCCCTATTTTTGCTGACATTGAAATGGTATTCCCTGACCGAATGATTGGAAATAGGAGCCGCGGAAAATCGTATGTGAAGCCATGAATTAAGCAAGCCGGTGTTCTTCTTAGCCGTAATTTATATGCATCCACGTCATAGCTAACCCAAAGGCTTTGTAGGGAGAATGCTGGGTGTGCTGTAAAATTGGAACTCTCTCGGCATAACCTCAGCTCCAGTGATAGAGCCTCTGCATACACCAGACGGCTTGATTGAAACCAACGTGACTAGCCATATGATATTTAGATGCGATGGTTGTTCCCAGCAGCTTTTCCTACAAGGGCAAGGTTGTAAAATGGGCCACTGTAGGGACTGGATGAGGGTTCTAGAATATCATGTTATAGGTAAAGCGTTGCGGTTTCTAGCATCCAGGACATTTTGTCATGTATCTGCATAGCGGTCATGTTAATAGTTCTATACACCTATCATCTAGGGAACAAATAGCCGCATAATGGCTCCGCTCACAGCCATTTTAGTTACTAGAAGCGCACAGCATTAAATTTTCCAATCGTCTGGAGGCCAGTAAAGATTGGAGCGTAGAGGGGCCCGCAAGCCGTCGAAACCAGCCGTGCCACTCTGGCTAGCACTATTGTTCTTATATTTTGTAAACGGTGCAACTAGGAGTCCGCCGGTGCCCCCACAAGCCCAGCATGCATGGCAGTAAGTTTGACTCTCCTCATGGGTCAACTGGTGTCCAGAGGCATACCGGTAGATCATTCCACATTCAAAGACTTGTATTGCACGAAAGCTCAATGGTTGCAGGTTTTTGCTGGCGATTTGTCGTCAGTCGGTCCGAGTCTTGCTTTCTCATGTTATTATTTTCAGGATGTTCAAAGTTGAGAGACGAAATATCGTCAAAATTAAGGTCTAGGATTAATATTCAGCCGACATTAGTCATCAACACCAGGTAACTCCGTAGCGAGTTAATTCGGTGGAAAGACAACGACGACCTCACTCTCGCAGGCATCCGCTTCTAACCCGGGGAAGCTCTCTCTCTGACTTGCTGGCTGGAACGATCCCAGCCATCTTCTCACGAGGCCTCCATACTGCGCCTCGATGTTGCTGGCCGCCATGGCGCTGCGCGTGAAGAACACGCTGCTCTTGTAGCCCAATCAACGTGGAACGTGCTCACCCAGCACCCCTGTTCCGTCAAAGCCACAGGGTGATGCGGAACGCGTCGCCCTGTTTTGATGCAACGGCGCTGGACAGGCTGGAGAGCCGCACAGTGCTCGTGGCTTGGTGGTGTTAACCAAGTCGGCGTTGCGTGTGACTGTCCTTGGGATCTGTCTCTTTCTGCTCCGTATTGATGCCCGTTATCTGTTGCCGCCCTGCATGGGGATGCTATCACACCTTTTGCAATGAACTAACACTCTGGATTCATACTTCATAGCCTGACTGACGCAGAAATGGCCGCTTAGTTGCCTAACCGCTCATTGATGCCGTGCCTGGGAACAATGGCAGCGTTACTTTTGAGTTTATAACTGGCCATGACTGATCTGCACCTCTTTCATCTGAACCAATCTACCGCACTCTCCTGCTAGCGCATCTGGCTCTTCTATTGCCGCATATCTGTTTGCTCCTGGCGATCAAAAGGGCCGGCATCCTTGTATTTACCCGCACTATGAGCTTTGGCTGGTCGGCTACCGACGTTGTCCAACTGATTGTGATATGCCACTCTGTTGTTGCGAATTGTCGGATTGGCCCCTCAAGTGCTGTCTTTCACCTCCATGCGCTGAAAGTCGAAGTTCAAGGCTTCGAGTCGCTGCTGACGCAACTGCACGACGTCGTCAAAAATGGAGAAGGCACCCCTTTTCTTGACCTTGAGACTATCGAGCAGACCCTTAAGGAATGCAAGGACCATTTACAGAAGTATAATGCCATTCAGCATATGCATAATTCAGGGCAGAAGAACGGCCAGCAGTCACAGATCAGTCGCTCAAAAGACATCTTTCTTAAAACAAAGAATGCTGCGAAACTGGGGGGAGAAATCGTCCGACACCTTGCCTGGGGAGAGAAGGAACTGCAAGCCCTGCAAGAGAAAGTCGCTCACCACAAACAGACCCTGCAGCTGTATTTTACAATTCTACAAAGGTGAGAATGCCTGGATTTTCTACACATGATGCAGGCTCTAACTGCACTGCTAGGGATAAAACGTCGCAAATCGGCCAGCGACTACAGAGTATGGAGCGCATGGTGCATGAAATCCATGCTGAATCTACGTTGCATACACGATTAAACCCGCTTGCTCGCACTCAATCTATCCAAATATCAACTGACCACTGCGATGATGAACCCCACGATCGATACCAAACGATGCTAGAAGCTGTGGAACGTCAGCGGGATTTTGCACTTTTAGAACGGAGCCTCGCAGATAATCGTGACGACAGAGAATGGGATAGTATTTGCGATCAATTAGACTTGTTTCACCGACGGCTCTTGAACTCGATAGAACGGAAAGCCAGCTCTTATGCGCAGCAAAGGGAAACTCATTCTCATTTGCCTATTCAACTTAACAAGGCATTACTATCGCACACCGCCGGTCACTTTCCCTTTTCCAATGACCCATCGAACTCGAAGTCAGCCTATGATGGCTTCGATGCGCCAACGAGTCGATTCCATGAAGTTTCCCATTCTGAGCCGAGAGCCGAGTCTACGGCTTCCGCAATTACTGATCTTGACTCGCCAGTACCATCTATCTTTTCTTTCCGAAAGCGGTCATCAACGTGCAGTATGGTGGCAGCTACCGAGTCCGTAGATCCGTTATCTTCAAGCCCCTTGTTCACGGAAGACTCTTATGATTTTCGATCTCACCTGAGAAATTCTGATAACACACCCGACTATCTGTCGCTCGCTCCCGCTACTGCGTATGAGCGTCGTGATACCCTCTCCTCGAACGGCTCTGTCGCCAATCATTCTACGTGGAAACGGCTAGCGATGCGTGGGAGGATTCAAATGTGAGCATCCATAGCTCTTTTTTATTAAACCACTAAATTGACGTTTGAAATATAGTGCTTGGGATACTCATCCTACCCCCGTCCCTTGCTATCTTGAAGCTGGGTATCGCAGCGACGGTCGGTTGTATGCAATCAAGGCCGTTGATATGATGGATTCTCGAGCGCTATTGCCCATACTTAGGTGTATGTCTGATCGCCCTCCATTTCTCTTTTATCTTTTATTTGTTGGGAGATTAATTCCGTCTCATTAATGAACTCATAGTATCTTCAACGGAAAAACGACCGATTCCGCATTCCGAACCGTTTGATAACTATGATGAGGGGTATGATGCGGGCAGAATATTTTTCATAACACCGCCCATCACAAAAAACGGGAACTCACCACAATACGTCATTGAAAAGCGGGATGGTTAGCATGCGCAAATGCCCCGATGCTCTAACGTGCTATGCTGACGACACATATCTCTGTGCAGACCATCTCGAAATTCAGAGCTTAATATACGGGAAACGGCTGCTTCTTTCGATTCCCATTGTGAAGCTTTCAAGCGCCCACGGGAAAGAGTCCGATAGGCAATATCTACGTCTCTGGAATTCTTCTGGTGAAGGAGACACTGGAAAATCACTGCTCTATTTTGCGCCTTTTCGAAAACACCCTCGGTACATTGAGATACACGGTAAGCGTATACCTTATAGAAGCCTGTATTAGTGAGCTAACCCGCCACCAGAAAAGGACATTAATCCCGGGTTTAAGAGAACCTCACGCAGTGTGCTTGAACTTCGACTGTCGAACTCGTTGCAGTATCTGAAGCTTGGGTTTGCTGCCCCGAGTGGTATGTAACTAGCCCTGTTTTCATTATCGTCTCCTTTTTTTAGATAACTATCGGTTGATCTCGTATATTGGGAACAAGTCAGGCTAACAGCAGCAGATCTCGACAGTTTTGTGGACGCTCTGTTCGCGCCATGACCCCCATGTGACCCGCGTCGCGTAACTAAACTCGATTCGAACCGGTGGCGTACCATCCCTGCTCCCTCGTGCGGCCTTTGCGCTCGCTGATGGGCAGCCGGCCCCCAAGCCCCTGGATACGGCACCCATGCCGCGGCCTTCACCCATTTTGGCGATCGTGTTCTCTCTCGTCTCCTAGGCTGTTGCCCGCTTTTCTGACTCCTAAGTCACGAACATCCACCAGCCGCCTTGCGTCGAGACAAAGCGTCTCGAATGCGACCACCGGACTTGCGCCCGGCATGACTGCGGCTCCGATACCCCATGCTCATGGCTTGTCCTCCGGGCTGTGCTGTGCTTTGAGCCTCGTTCATAATGACTTAGATTTTTACCCCCATGAGGACTTTTCCTAAAAGACCTTCCCACTCCTGCTATGGCTTTGGCACGAAGACTGTTGTTCGTGACATAGCAGTGTGGTCGTTCTACCGTTGTTTGTTTTGAAGCTGCGAGCCATTCACATCGAATATAATGAAGCTGCCGTTCACGTTCAAGGTCAAGAACCGGACTGTTAATTTCAATTATATTCCCGTAAGTGCCAAAGTCATGTACTTCATCTGTTGACGAACTAATACATTTTAGGACTTAGAGCTTCGACGTCGGCGAGTATTCAATGAACTCGATGCCACCCACTTTCAGACTCTCGTGGTATTTGTTGCCGGCATTGGCTTTTTCACAGGCGCCTATGATGTAAGAACGGTCCTGGATGACGAATTGGTATTGTTTTCAAAACCACTAACTAGTTCTATTCGAAGATATTTGCGGTTGGCATGATTATTCCTATGCTCGCCCATGTATATTGGCACGGTTCCATGCCTACTTCGGTGGAAACCGGTATGCGGGCTGCCACACTTGTTGGAACCATACTCGGCCAGATTAGCTGTGGAATCCTGGCCGACCTTTACGGTCGTCGCAAGATGTACGGCTTTGAGTTGTTGGTGGTCACTGTCGCCACCATCGGAGTTGCAATGGCTGCGGATGGCGCGTCAGGCTCCATGAGTTTAACGGCCTGGCTTATCTCCTGGAGATTTCTAATGGGCATTGGAATTGGCGGAGATTATCCTTTGAGCGCCGTGATTACATCTGAATTCGCCCCTACAAAGTCTCGTCCCCGAATGCTTTCCACGGTCTTTTACATGCAACCTGTTGGATACCTTGTCGCGACATTGGTTGCCATTATCGCTGTGGCTGGGCATAGAGAAAGTATTTCACATATTCCTACCACCGCAGAAGAAGTAAGATCATGCACACAGGACGAGGTGTGTCGACGTGCTGTTGATAGTATCTGGCGATGGGTGATTGGAATAGGGGCGATCCCAGCTGTGGCTGCTATCTTCCTTCGATTCAGTATTCCAGAGTCCCCACGATACACAATGGAAGTCTTGAATCGACCAGACGAGGCCCTGAGAGATGTTAATGAGATGAAACGCGAACTCGGCGGGTCTTCTCCTGATATTGAAAGGCAAAATTCCATGGTGACAACTGTTGCAAGCAGTCATCAGCCGGATACAAGAGCCAATAATAATCAACGGGAACGCTACAATTCACATGAAAATAGGGTGGCTGACATGCCGTCAGCACCAGCTGTGGCTCCTGAGATCTTGTCAAGTCGTGCCTCGTACGCATCTTCGCATACAACAATTGAACGGTCATATCACGAGTCAGACAACGACTCAATACAAGAGAAGCCAAGCCAGTGGTCAACATTTCGCGGTGGCTTTGTCGACCATTTCTTCGTCCGTGGCCATTGGCCTACATTACTCGGCACGGCACTTTCCTGGGCATGTTTTGACTTTGCATTTTATGCCCTTGGGCCTAACTCCTACAAGGTTATAGCAAAGATATTCAACGAGAAGCCTCTTAGCTTCACCGGCTCGCCGTTGCCTGTACGGAGCATCTATACTGATCTGCTGGAAAATTCCTGGCATTCTCTCATCATTGTTTCAATTGGTTCGCTGGTTGGCGGTCTCGGCATGATAAAATTGATTAAGCGCATTTCGCCGCGCACTATTCAGTTTTATGGCTTCATTGTGCTCGCCATCATATTTGTTGCTATTGGAATATGCTTCCAGCTAGTAGACCGTGCAAAGTCCGTCCCCTTAATTGCACTACTATACGTACTGAGTCAGATATTCTTCGAAATTGGCCCAAATTTTACGACTTTTATAATCCCCGCCGAGTTATTTCCCACACAGTTTCGATGCACGGCGCATGGAATTTCTGCTGCGTCGGGGAAGATTGCTTCCGTCCTCGTACAAGTTTTTGTTGCGTATGCGCCTATTGGACGGTATCGCGCATCGGATCTTTCATCTCATTGGCTTGGATTTGTGATTATAATTTTTGCAGCATTTATGGCTCTTGGTGCAGTCGTAACCAGGTGGCTCATTCCAGAAACAAGAGAAAATGATGGAAGTGCAAAAACATTAGAAAAGTTGGAGAATGTGGCAAGAGTGTTAAGGCCAAGAAAAGCACACATTCCGGAGATGAACACGACAGAGATGAATGGTATTAATACCTCAGCAGCCAGGAATGGAACTGTTCTGTGATTGTATTTTTTTCTTTTTCACTATGGTTAACTAGCACTAACTAATCTCTGAAATGGCTTATTTTGCCATCACCCAATGCATATAGATATGGACTGTGAAAGGTTCATTGACACTAGAAAATCAGTGTATGTACATCACACAAAAAGTCCTCCCCAGATATCATAATGCAGTGGGTCATTTTCTTCCATTTTTGCAAATAGCGACTTATCATTGAACACTGCGACATCGTGAAGAATCCACTGCCACCAAGGACAACCTTGCGAAGATCCGGTGTAGAGTTTAGCCAGCCGTCAAGCCAAAAGTCAATCTCTTGCAGAGCCCAAAGCACACGGTCTTCGCTGAGGGATAGAATTTTTAACTTTTCAAGAGAAACGGGGAAAAGTGTGTGAAGTCTGACTGCCATGTTCAAACTATGCAAGAATCGGGCCCCAATTTCGAGCTCTTTAAGAGCTGTAAACCCGGCAAATGAACCAATAAATGCTCTATTATTCACCTGACGTTGATAGGATCGAAAACGCAGAATTTCCAAGGTATCCTTAACTGCATGGAGGGATTCATATAATCGATGCGGATCAAAAGATGCAGCATCACCGGGATAGCAGTGGGTGTAATCAAATACTTTGAGATTTCTGCAGCTTGGGAGCAGCTTCCCTAGTCCATTAACACAGACAGCTCCAGTAAGGGCGATATATGTGACATTAGAGCGGCCCAGTCCAGCCCAATCAATGTTCTCCATTTCATCGCCATACAAAGACCAGGCTTCCAAATGTTGGAGGGCGGGCAAGAGCACTAGCGAGGCGAGCATGTTAGAAGAAATAAGACGAGTGCTACCATTGTCGTACAGTCTCAGATCTTGAAGGCGTGGAAAGGTATGGCCAAGGCCAGTATTATCAGCTGCCGCCCGCTGTAGGATTTTGAAGCAATATGAGCCTCGCCCCCAAGGTCTGAGAATCAATGTTTTCAGATTAACAAGTGGAGATAGAAGTAGAGCAACATAAGCATCGGGGTTTTTCGAATTCAGAGCACTCAGCCACTGGTATTTTTCCTTCCTAGAGGTGGATACAACATTGACGGCGCGTTCAAGGCATTGGTGCGGGATCGGGAACAGCGGTGACATATTTGTGTCAACCAAGAAGGATTCTCCGGGGTGGTCTTGAGCTAGTAATACGTCTACCGAAAGCACGAATTCGGCTATAGTTGGATTAAGCAAAATTGTCCGAAGCAGTCCCGATATAGCTCGCAACGACCCTAAAGAAAAGAAGACCGAGCGATACGCTCTAGGAGTGACAATGTCATAGCATCGGTGAGAGCAGCTTGCTAGATTGAGGAGATCCCGACGGCTTGGAATGTAGTCGACCACACTGAGAAACAGCTCCGCTGGAATTGTTTGTAAGGAGTATGTCATAATGGAGTCCTATGTACCACTCGATAAGTAGCAATTTGACAATGTAGGAGAAAGCTAGTAAATTTGGTACTATAGACAAGACCAGGCACCTGGGCCAATGTTTTCTCAGGATGCATAGCCAGGACTTAATTCCGTGCAGATTTAAGTGAGAAAAGAAATCACACGGCTGGCTGAAAAACATGTTTTTGCTCTCAAAAACGCCGAGAGTCATAAGAAAAATCAACAAAGAGAGTGAATCTCTTGCACAGTAACAGAAGACTGGCAATAAATAGTTAGTCTTTGTTCCGTTGTTGAGACATGCTGGGTAGTTAGTTAAGCAGGAAAGCTGCAAGGAGGTTTGTATGAGAGGAATGCTATCATCGCATGCACTTCCTGTTGCAGTCAAGATGGAGGCGAGGGCACAATTCATTCGGAATATGGCGTTGGTAGCGTCTATGTATGTACTCCGTACTCTGGACTTGTACTCCGTCCTTCTGTACTGAGTATTTTCACAGCTACTGATGCAAACGAAGTAAACAACGGCTGCATCCAATCAGCGCGCTTCCCCTGGCGGGCGAATAGGATGACGGACGACACCGTTCACGTGATCAATTAGGGTTAGGGTTACGGCCAACAGGGCGTCGGGCCGGAAGTTCAATTTCAGCCTTTCAGGGCAATTTGGGTCAACCAGGAACCCGGCTATCTTTCCCTCGGGGACTTGCGATTTCGCCCAGGATTGCTGTGCCTCTCAAGACGAACCCTTTCTTTTATGGGAACAACGAATACCCGTCCAGAGCGCCCAGACGTACTATGTTTGCGGACGATGCTGTGTGGCGGACAATGTGCCGTCTGAGAAGCCAGAGTGAGTTCTTGGATGACAACCTCAGCTGCCGCAACGGCGCTGGTGGCTGTGGATTCGACGCTACGCGAAACGCGGGGTAGCTTTCCTTTCATTCTACGGAGCATTCTACTCCGTAAGCCGTCTTCCAACCAAACGGACATGCCAGTCTCCGTGAACAGGTGCCGGCGCAGCAGTCTGCCCGCCATGGCCTTCACAAGACTCTGGCGTGTCTTAATTGCCGAGCGGAAAATTAAACAGCCTCGCCGATACATTTTTGGCAAGTCTATTGAGTCCGGATACAGCGAGATTTATTGGCAAACACGGTTCGTCGGTGCTGCCCTTCGTAATGTCATGGCCTAGCTTTCGCCTCTCCCCCATTATCTGTTGAAACTGAAAGAACAAGAGAAGCCCAGACTCCCAAGCCTGATAAACCACGGTACATATGTTATGCCCGAGCACCAAGGCAAATCGTAAATTCAACATCAGCAGTGCATGTCCGACGAGAGACTCCGAAACGCGAATAGATACATAGGTAGCTCTAGGGGACATCTCATGTAGGCTTCGTCAAATCGTCCGGGGACTCTGGGGGTTCAAGCCCCAGGCCTTTCTCCAGGGTTGTCTATGCGACTGACCAAAGGGTCGTCTACGCATTGTTCTTCTTGTTATCAAGCGGAACAAACTCTCCCAAGCAAAGTTCTGCTAAGCTCTAGGTTTGCCCCAGATATAAAAAGGGCTGGCATATGTCAAACTCAAAGCTCCATCGCTCAACCCCAGAAACCGCCTTCGCCTCCTCGGACGCGTAGAAAAACCTCGTTCAGGGGCGGATCATCTTTGCCTCTTAAGGATGCGGGGCTGGCCGTCTCCTGTTTGGTAGCAGTTGTTATCGGCTTCACCAATGATCCTCCTATCGCCATACCAAGAGGATCCGATACGACATATCCCGAGCCCCCTCATCCATCGAGCCTGGTAAACCTCCTCAAACTTGGGAAGATGAGGGGAAACCGGCCATGGATCGCTCTTCTTGGTCTATCTCCTGCGGGGTTGGAAACTTCGGAGATGCAACTTCGTTCACGGCAACACCTGGGTTGGCTCGCCGCTCGCAGTCAAATACCCCCCGAAACGCACCACGCCGACCCGACTGTCTTCCAGCAGAAGCTGCCGTTTCTCCTTTTTCGATAGCCATATCTTGATATATACTCCGTACGTCCGCATCTAGTCACCATGGGTCGCGAGGCAATCCGGACAGCTATTAGCGTTGATCGCAACAAGCCTGCATCCGGCCAAACGGGTCTTCATGTATGTTACCTTTGCTGAAATCGAGTTTCCCAGCTTGGAGGCAGCATACTGACTTTGCCATCCAACATAGAACCGTTGGCACCCAGACAGTACGTACCTACATCTATCCATGACTCCCTGTTCATGGAGAGCTAACAACGCCCCTCCAAGTCCCCGCGGCTGCGTCTGTGAAGAACGGCGAGACTGTCAAGATCGAATGTCTGGACTGGACTGGCGGGCAGATCAAGAATAATGATTCTGCCGATGATGTGCGTGATGTGGACTTGACGCAGATCCATTATCTCACAGGGCCCTTTGACGTCGAGACGGCTGAACCGGGCGATGTTCTCCTTGTCGAGATCCAAGATGTTCAGCCGTTCGAAGATGAGCCCTGGGGGTTTACTGGAGTCTTCGATAAAAATAATGGAGGCGGATTTCTATCTGAATTCTACCCGAAAGCGTATGTGCCTAAATAACACTTGTTGCCAGGAATATTTGGCAGTGAACTAAATGAGTACCTAGGGCCAAAGCAATTTGGGATTTTGAGGGAATCTTCTGCTCTTCTAGACACATTCCTGGCGTTCGCTTCGCCGGATTGATCCACCCCGGTATTCTCGGCTGCGCACCTTCCGGCGAAGTTCTACAGGAATGGACGCGACGGGAGTCGGAATTGGTGCAGGCTCACGGTGTGGACGTCGCAAAGCTCCCAGAAACGCGTAATGCCCATGGCGGCGCTGCAACTGGTGATCTTCTTACTAGAATCTGCAATGAAGGAGCCAGGACTATCCCAGTAAGGACCATTTTGTTTTCACTCATCTTCCAGAGAATACTAATTTTTTTTTTTAATTCTAGGGTCGCCCTGAACACGGTGGAAACTGTGACATTAAAAACCTCAGCCGAGGCTCCAAGGTATACCTCCCTGTTCATGTTGCAGGCGCCAAATTCTCTGTCGGCGACCTCCATTTCTCACAGGGGGATGGCGAAATCTCCTTCTGCGGTGCCATCGAAATGGCTGGAATCATCACCATCAAATTCACCGTGATCAAGAATGGCATGGCCCAAATGGCTATGAAGTCGCCACTCTTTATCCCCGGTCCAGTTGAACCCCAGTTCGGACCTGGTAGGTACCTGACGTTCGAAGGGTTTTCAGTAGACCATACTGGTAGGCAACACTATCTAGATGCCACCGTTGCTTACCGTGAGACGTGCCTGCGTTGCATTGAATATTTGAGAAGATATGGATACAGTGACTATCAGGTCTATTTATTGCTCAGCTGTGCACCAGTTCAGGGGCATATTGCTGGATTAGTAGATATTCCAAACGCATGTACGACGCTGGGGCTGCCAATGGATATCTTTGATTTTGATATTCGGCCTGAAACCCTTGCAAAGAAAGGAGATATGGGAAGCTGTGCTTTTACAAGCGATGCCTAATAACGTACCCCTAACTACGTTCTTGTCTTCTTTGAGAGGAGCATGTTTGATTCTGTTAAAGCTCTTGTTTCAATCACACACTCCTTTTGCTACAGGATTTATGAGATACTACCGAGCTTTATAGGTATTCACTAAATAAACTCTGCATCTGTAAGCCCATATTGAATATTCACTCCATGCCTCACCGTAATGACCCAACCGAGCGAGCTGTTATGCGAGAGTCGGATGGACTTGGAAATCCTCGAGGGCTACTTGTGCTTTTAGGAAAAGAATTTCTTGGCTGCAGCTCGCTGTTGGCGATCCTGGGCAGCAATCTGTTTCTTGACCAGAGCCATTTCAGCAATAATACCGGCATCTGTAGGAGCAAACTTCAGTGCCTCTTCAAGGTCCTTCAAGGCGGCCTCTTCTTCTTTCAAGCCACAGAGGGCAACAGCACGTCGAAAGTACACTTTAGCTCTGTCAGCATCTTTTGCGTTAGAATCATCCGCACTGCTGATCGCGTATCCTGCCCATGATTTAGCGTCGGAATAGCGCTTAAGTTTGTTGGCAAGTAGTGAAGAGTTTGAATTCAGAACAAATCGCAAGGCTGAGATCTGGCCCGGTAGATCCTTTGAGTCAGAGTCGGATGGTTCTGAAGCCTCATTCAGGTAGCGAATGCCTTTTTGGTATTTCTCTAGCCCCAGTTCAGTGTCGCCCGCCTTGAAAGCTTTGTTTCCGAATTCTTTAAGACTGACGGCAATTCCGTAAGATTGAGCCAGGGACAGCTCTTCAGTGAGATCTTCAGGGTAATCCTCATATGTATCGCCTGTGTTGTCGACATGACGCTGCTTCGCTTTCTCGTACTCGTCTCCCAAGAGTTCTCCGCAGTCGGTAACTGTGACGTCAACAAGCGGCTTATCATTCGGGTTTGTGCGCTGCGACTCAATCTTGCGGACAATACTTCGGCCATTGATGACCTCTCCAAAAACAACGTGTTTATCATCAAGATGGGGGGTAGGGACAGTGGTCACGAAAAATTGGCTACCATTCGTACCGGGACCAGAATTGGCCATAGATAGTAGAAAGGGGCGATCATGCTTGTGTTCGAAATTCTCGTCGTCGAACTTCTCACCATAGATGGATTCCCCGCCAGTGCCATTAAATTCGGTAAAGTCACCGCCCTGGATCATAAACTGTTTAATGACACGGTGGAAAATAGACCCTTAGTGATGGTTAGCATTAACAATGCTGTTTCTATTCTCAAATTACTAAAATATCATTTTAAAAGGCGTACCTTTAAAGCTTAGGGGTTTGCCTTGCTTCCCCATTCCCTTCTCTCCGGTACACAGAGCACGGAAATTCTCGGCGGTTTTTGGGACAACTTCGGAATAAGTTAATATTTATGAGGCTCATTTAATAGGTCTTCGCCTTCTATATGGCATACCATCGTTAAACTACAAAATAGAATATTTCAGCGCCGTGCAACACCAAGAATGCGGAGGGGTTGCTTACCAGCTCGAAGGCAATGCGGCCCTCTGGCCGTTTATTGATCGAAACATCAAAATAGACTCTTGGACGACCTGGATAAGATAGTTACATGTTAAGGCACAAACGATCTTCAACCCAATCGCGCATATGATTGTTTACCTGTAGATACGGCCATTGTGACTAGGCGGGCGTTGAAAGCTATCCAGCCTAAAAAGAGATTCGACAGGGGGGTGTGTGAGAAAAGAGGGGAAAGTGTTCTGTAAAAGCGGGAGGTGGTTCAGAGCCTGGTGAAGCTCCCAGCGAAGCAAAGTGAGGTGGGCTGTGCGGTTGGAGGTTCAAGAACATTCCATCGAGCGGTTGTCCCGCATTGAGCATGCAAACACAACAAACCAACCAACCAACCAACCAATCACTAAGTCCACTTACTATTTGGCCATCTGGCACACAAGCCCTAAACCCTACCACCAGTGAGGAAGCAATCTATCACTTGAAAATAGAAGTCTACTCGGAATATGCTATATGCTATATGCCATGAGAATAACGTATACATTCCACCGAGATCTACTAACCACTTAGCCATTATCTGGGCAAGTTATGCTGGAAATTCACTCTTCCGCTTTGGAAGGGCTAGTGTTAATTTCCAAGGTGACCTGCATCGATTGTTAGCATATTATTTAGCTGTGGCCGGGGAAACAGCTCATGGACGAAATCGTGCACATACAGGTCCATCGTTTACGAGACCAACTTCCATCATGGCTTGGAACACGCCATTTCGAACCCGCTGAGGGTCGTAAATCTGTCCAATTTTGGAGTAGAAATGGTCATAGAGCTCCTTCGCTTTGACCGCATCAGCAGCACCGTGGAAATCCGGCTTATTTCCCTTCTTTACCTTAGCGAGCAACGTAAATTGGGACACTAAAAGGCTCAGGAATGCAATCTCACGATGAGAGTAAGATAGCCATACCACAAAGAACTTCACCCTGAATATCCTGTACACTTTTCTTCCACTAAGGACCAAGTTAGTTACGCCAATTGTGTACATACATACATCCACACACATATACATGCTATACGCATGGACATGCATATATATTGTAGGTATAAAGGTCGTCTCACATTTGTACCAGAGTCGTCGGGCCACATTTTGAGCTTCAGCACTTTGGCAGCAAGAGACTCAGCATCTTTTTCAGTGTCATGGGGCCCGACTGCCGCTAGGACCAGAACTCCACGTCCAATTGAGGATATCAGATTGTTATCAACAGTGACTGAGGCAGAAGAGACCCGTTGTAGGATCGCTGGACACATATGAGATAGTGGCCTTGATGTTTGATTAGTTATGTGTGTACAGAGCAGGCTTACCTTTCATTGTGTCAAGAGCAGCATGAAGTGTTGTGCGAGGTGTCTAGGCTTGCAGAAGGCAATAGTGTCTGGTTGTACTTATTAATATGCAAGTTACATATCATCTGAACAAAACTGAGATAAAGCTCACTAAAGCTCACTAAAATAGCTTGAATCTTTCTCACTTGGCCCAATGTTTCATCACTCACCCCTCACCTCTGTTTTATTGACTCTTGTTTCATCACATTTCGCCGCTTTCGTCGCATTTTCAGATTCTCCGGAACCCGCCCTCTTGATTAGAGGGAGCTAGTTAGTAAGGCAGGCTAACCACTAACTACCTAGTGAGCAACTAAGTTAGTCCCAGAGGCTCTTGGCATTCACGTTGCTTGGCAGTATCGGGATAGCAACACCAGCCAAAGAGACTCAGCAGTAGACACTCTTGCAATATCACAACCTACTCAATCAGACTGCAAGCTGAATCTGACCATATCTCTCAGTAACTACCCTCACAGATTCTCACCACTCACCAATCTCCTCGCTAGTTCCCATTGTATAAACTGTCACCCCATCTCGATCGCCGCAACCGCTACCTCCCTTCCACGATCCTCGAGTCAATTCTGGTATGAAGAGCAGCTATGACGTCTCGAAAAATACAACAGGAAATCGATCGTACCTTCAAGAAGGTTGCAGAAGGTATACAATCTTTCGAAGGCATATATGAGAAGATCAAGACTACGACGAATATTGCTCAACGCGACAAGCTCGAAGATAACCTAAAGCGAGAGATCAAAAAACTACAACGATTTCGTGATCAAATTAAGACATGGGCCGCTGGGAACGAAGTAAAAGATAAGGGTCCATTACTAGAACAGCGGAGAGCTATAGAAACAGTATGCGACCTTGCTCTCGAATGGCTTCTTTGCGAATGCAACGCTAACATGATGTGTAGTGCATGGAACAATTCAAGGCCGTCGAGAAAGAAATGAAAACCAAAGCCTACTCGAAAGAAGGGCTATCAGCCGCTGCGAGGCTAGACCCAAAAGAAAAAGAGAGAGTAGAAACGTGTGACTTCCTTTCGTCGACAGTAGATATACTTCAGCAAAAGATCGAAGCTATGGAGGCAGAGGAAGAAATGCTCCAGGCGACCATGAAAAAGGGTAAGAAAGACGCGGGCAAGGCAACTAGATTAGCGGATATTTCAAGGATATCGGAACGGCATAAATGGCATGTTGCAAAACTTGAACTCTTACTCCGTTCATTACAGAATGGCAATGTGGAGACTGGTCAAGTGCTTGATATTAAAGAAGCTATCAAATATTATGCCGAAGACGGCCATAATGCGGACTTTTGTGGAGAGGACGAAACAATATACGATGATATTGAGCTAGGGGACGACGAAGCTCAGTTCGGAATGGGTCTAGAGAACGATCGTGTATCGTCACAAGACACACAATCCATACAGGACGATGAGTCTACGGAACCACGAAGGACCAAGGTAGACAGTGGGCCTCCAAGACGTTCGTCGACGCAAATGAAGTCACCTTTATCAGCACTTGCTACGCTTAATCTAAACGGCCAGCCCCCCGCGCCTGCCGCCGTAGTGAAGGCCGCTCCGCCGCCTGTGAGGTTACCCGGAGAAACACTCAAGTATGCTTCTGCGGCGGCGGCAGCAGCTGCTAGCGACAAGAATGGAGTTGGTATCGCGCCGCTACCACCTCCGCCAGGCGCCAGCCCTGCAATATCAACCGTGCTGCCAGTGTCGAAACCCCCATCAACAGCCTCTCCACAGGTAGCGCCTGCGCAACCTGTCCAGAGATTGATACACAATGCCGCCAATGCTGACGATGTAAGCAGCCAGTCCAAGTCTCCGACGAGTAGTATCGCTGCCAGTCAGCCAAGTACTGTTCCACCCACACCAGCAATGGCAGTTGCTGAAACAACCTCGCAGCAGCAACAATCGCAACTGGCTCCTCAGCCATCGAAAGAACCGTCATTGAGCGAACGAGAAATCGCGAATGGTGAGCCGGGAGAAGGCGTGTCTGCAGAAGAATCTGTCTACCATCTTCCCCCAGGCCTTCAAGACTTAATACATTCCTTCGAAACCACCAAATCCCGCGTAAACGCCCCCCAGTCAGGATCTACACAGAGACTACTGGTAGCCTCACACAACACTTGTCCAGAACCTAACGATGCTGAAAAGCCCCGCCATTACAGCCCCCAAAGTCCTTATAATACTCCAATCTACTACCCTCAAGACGTACTCCCTATCTTTGACGACCCAAGGCTATATGAGAATGGGCGGATTGAAACCGACACGCTGTTCTACATATTTTACTACCGCCAAGCAACATATCAGCAATCACTTGCTGCTAAAGCCCTCAAGAATCAAAGTTGGCGATTTCACAAGCAGTATCAAACATGGTTTCAACGCCATGAAGAACCGAAGACGATTACCGAGGAGTTTGAACAAGGGACATACCGTTTCTTTGACTATGAGAGCACATGGTTAGTTGCTATTTGTGTTTAAATTTCGAATATATGCTAATTGACTGGATATAGGATGAACCGAAGAAAAGCAGACTTCAAGTTCGTCTACAAGTTTTTAGAGGATGATTTGTAAGTGGGGTATAATAGGGACTATTGTATGTAAATTCGTCTGTCGGCCTCTAGTTGCGTCCCTGCAGTTCCCTTTTTCTAATTTCCTCGGCTGAATTCATTGTTTCGCTCTTATCAGCATCAACAAGACAAACGGACTGGGGGTGGTCTTTCAGCTTTTGCCTTGTTTGGTGTCCCGGCATATCAGTTTTTTCCAAATCTGTAACTTTGGGAGGCGCAGGGAGGGAGGAAATGGAGCTGTTTAGTTAATCCTTTTTTTTTTTTTGGAATGAGAGCTCCTGAAGGTTTTACGGATTGCTACTGGATGGGACTAGAATCGTGCTATTAGGTCTGAACAACGGCCGCCGAGTGGCATACCACTTTGACTTTGACTTTTGGCTCACTCTCTGTTTCTTGTGATGAAATTCGGGTGGTAGCCCTAAATTACTCTCCAACCTAATCACACCTTGGATTTTTGTAGAGGTCGACACGGTCAGGCCCCCCGCAGGAGCTCGCACTCTGTCTGTGCACTCTTTTCTTGTACAGTACATACAGAACGACGCGAATCAAATTCTTCCCACGGAGTTGGTTGTTTAGGGGGCAGAACTGCATTCGCTCTGCATTGACAGGCCTTAATTTTCTAGTACTCAATTTAGCCTGCTCTGAATTACATAGATTGACGACGGGCGCTCCTGGCACTGGCATCGCCCACTACCTACTGGTACGGAGCAACCCTGATTATCTCTCTCCGTCACTGCGCCACGCAGCCGCTTCGCCGGATTCCCGTCAGGTCGGCCCCAAAATCAGGAACAACATACTGGTTGGGTATGTTCCTGGAACTACGTGGCGATCAAGCAGAACGAAGAGCTTCGATCGCTTCGTGTTGGGTAGGAAAGGGGATATAATTAGATCACGCTGGTTCGTGCGGATCGGCAGTGCGCGACGTGGCCCGCGGGCTCCAGAGTGCTCCGTAGTTCAGCAACTATACAAACGAACAGGTTCGTTTCGCGATTTGCAAGGCGTCCGGGGGTTAACTACAGGCCTTGCAATTTGATTGGAGGGTTCCTGGGATCGGGCACGAGTTTGTAGGGCGAGGAATAGAATTATCCACGGAATTCATCACAATGAACCCCCGCGGCAGGCACCGACTATTTCTTTTAAACTACATCAAAAATGTATGTATGTATATAGGTACATACATCCAGGCACCCCTAACCTTGTTGGAAGCTATTATTTGGTGAAGGCAGTCAGCGCATTCAATTCTGTTTGCTGTTTCCGTTCCCGTTCCCGTATTTCACCAGCGCTGCTCGGATCCACTCATTATCCGCTTTGCCACGCCAGCTTGTCTCTACCAGCGCGACTTGCCCATAGTCAGTCTGCGCCACGGGATTCGCCCCATTTTCAAGTAGTAGCGCTGCCAACTCCTTTTGAATTCCCACCGCGCTGGAGGCTAGATGCAGTGGCACATAGCCGTGGTCATCTTTTCGATTAACATCGGCCCCGTGTTCCAGTAATATCTTGACGGGTTCGACTTCTGCAATAGACGCTGCAGTGTGCAAAGGTACACTGCCGAACTCATTAGGGGCATTGACATTCGTGCCATTATCAATAAACAGCTGAAGCAGGTCCAACTTGGACTGAAAATTTCTGTGGCGCAAGAGCATGTGCAGCGGTGTGTTGCCATCCTGGTCGCGCACGTTGATCTTCGCGCCGTACCTAATCAGTAAACGCATTCCCGTGACGTTCTTCAGAGCGGCGGCTTTGTGTAAGGCTGTGCTTTCAAAAGGGCCAACATGATCGATATCAGCACCATTCTTAATCAGAAGTTCCAGCGCGGCACCACTGTCTTCATGACTTGCTGCCAAGATCAATGGAGAGGTCAGATCTGAAGAGATGCATTGCACTTTGGCTCCACGGTCAATTAGTACACGAATTGCATGTTCATTTAGAACTGATGCCGCTGCATGGAGTGGAGTGAAAGCAGTCTCATGGTTAGAGTTTACGGTCAGGCCCATATTGATAAGTAAGTTGATGGTGTCGACATTGCAGGACATGGCGGCGTAATGCAAAACAGTATTGCCGATGCTGCAAACGGCATTGATATTAGCGCCATTTTCGATCAACAATTGAACAACCTCATCGTCACCCCGCTTAGCAGCTATATGAAGCGCAGTCTGCCCCCCGTAGATACTTGTGGCTTCAACGTCCATACCCCTGTCAATCAAGAGTTGTACTAGTGCAAGGTGCCGGTCCACATATTGGCGGTATAACTCTTCGCGCAACAGACGGATGTTTCGTGGTCTGGACGAAACTGCCAGGTACGAGAGTGGACTGGGAGAGCGCCAAGGAACGTCATCGTTGATATCAGGCATTGCATTGATATCTGCACCACTGTCGAGGGATTTCTCGGCGGTGGCTCTCTCGCCATGACGGATGGCCCACCAGAGAGCAAGATTATCCTTGTTGTGCTTTGCATTGTGGGTGTAGAGGTACGGGGTCAATAGGCTATTAAAATGGCGGTTCGCGGTGGCGAGGCTGGCAATGTCTTTCTCTGAGGGGAGATGGTCAGCGATGGAGAGAAGGATTTCGCTTGGCATCGACACCAGCACCAATGGAGCTGGCGGGGATGTAGCGTGCATGGCAGGCGGAAAGCTGGGAGCGAGATGCAGCGGCCTGAAGCAAGGCAAGGGTGGCGAGTTGTCAGGGCCGAGAGTATCAACGGTGACCTCTTGTTTGTTTGCTTTCTTTTCTCATCGTCCTGTTTGAAAGCAGCGCACTGTTTTAGCTCCTGAGAGCTCGGTGAGTTGTTGGATGCTCTGTCCGCGCCGATGATGCCCTGCGTTCGGTTGCCAACCAGGCTGGGCTGCCGGTCAGGGACCAGTATCGCCTCCAGGCACTCTCTATTGGGCAACGGCGATTTCCAAGCGAAAGCAGGCCACCTCAGTACAAAGACGCCCTGGACATCGCGATGCTCCCACGTCACAAAGGGTTAGTTTGTGTTGTTTGCCTGGTTGCCTCACTTGCCCGCGTTTGCACTGTTTGACCACCATGCTACAAAACAGCTTGTCAGTCAAAACAATCGATGGAAGAGAGGTGCCAAGGTCACTGTAGGGCCACAGGCCAGAGTGCATATATAACTACATGTCTCCTGGAGAGCCCCACGGCACGCTTGATGGCAGGATTTTGCTGAATAGGATGTGTTTCTGCGATAGAAATGATCGTTTGTACTGGCATGCCGAATATTGTAAATGGCAAGAGATCTTCGTTCTCCTTAGCGGTCGATGCAGCTACAGAGAGGCAGGTTTCAAAGACGCCATAGCTACTCTGTAGACCTAGCGATCTAGAACCCCAGGGCCAGATGGTGAGCGATCTTCGGGGCCAGGAACGCGCAGATTAAAATGCGTATTCCGTACTCCGTAGTTGCTCCGTAAAGCACCTGACTCAGCTAGCGAGGTGGTTATCTAAGCAGATTACTTGGCGCCTAGTCCATACAAAGCCTAGTGTTGGTCGGTGACGTCGGGCCCCAATTCACCGCCTTCGCCATCCTCCACCAACCACATCGACGGCCACGACAACTCATCCGCCCGCAGCACCGCCAGCCTGGCTACGTTGCGAGCTCGTTATTTGCTCTCCCCTCCTCCCTGAAACACTGACCCTCGGTCTCGCTATTGGTTGTTTCTTGAAACGCTTCTCTGAACCCGTCCTTGGACCACGACATCTCTGCCGATGAAATGGCTGAAACCTGGTGCTTGTCTTGCCCTTTGTGCGAGATCTGGACCCTATTCCCGCCGGCTGGGTCACGATATCCCGCCAGTCAACTTTTATGCCAATAGTGCGTGCTCATTATAGCCTTGCTATTATACACCGCCGCCCTGTGCCTATTTTTCCCGGTATTGCCGCCCGCTGAGACTGCCCCCTAGCCCCACGGCTGGTAGAATGCCCTTAACTCAGCTTGCGATGTAATTACCTCGAAAATCTCACGGGATGGTTCCTCAGATCATAAAAATGATAAAAATGAGGCGGAACCCAGGCCGGCTCGTTAGTAAGGCTATATGCAACATCCCCCCAGGATTACGAGCGGGCTAGCTCCCCGGATTTTCCGCCTTTTGGGCCCTACCGGGTCCCTGAGCCTTGCCAACCTAGTCGCCATCTGGCAACCTAATTGCTCCCGCGATGCTTGTATCTCTTCGTCTTTGGTTTCCAACTGCGTCTCCTGCTGTTTCGGTCCGATTGGGCCTTCCACCATCGCGCAGAGCAAAGGAGGGGCTGTGCACCCAGACCTCAACCCTCCACGTGCTATTCGTTTCACTGGTGCCTTTACTCGCGGAATCACTTCGTACCATGTTTGTGTAGTCACCCTGGTTCTGATACAGCTGTTTCCACCTTCACAGCCAATACCATTCACCTGTCCTAGTCAGAGGGCAGACCCTCGATTTTGCTTCACTTTCCATTCCAGGCTTCCATCCCTATCATGTCTCTCCGTCGTCTTTGTGTTTCGCTCTCCACGTCCGCTCACTCTCCTGCAACGCTTCTACTCTGCTTTACGGGGCCCAAGGCCGAGATGGCGATCACGTGGAAGGCTGCTCCAAGCCTCAAGCCCTATCCTCCCTGTTCGGGCCTCGTAGGGTGGCATTCATCTGCTGTATGCACGCCATGCTGTCTCTCGCTGCCCAGAAAATGGAGCAGACGTGGAGTAACAATCATGTTACTCAGAATATATATTCCCCTCGCCTTCCACTTTCATTTTTCTTTGTTGACCGACTTCTTCAGCTTTGGTCGTCAGACTTTCATTCGTTCTATATATCCTTATTTCTATATCCTCTCTACCTCTTCTAGACCAGTGTACCCTACAAGGTTGACAATAATACCAAGTTGTCACTCTTGAAGAGCACATGTCCTACTATAATAAGCCTTCCTACCGCCAATCAATTCCCCCGGTCAGCCAGGACGTACCACCAAAACCTATGGCATACCAGGATTACATTTCTCCCGCTATCTCTAACTACAACCGATCTCCCAAATCATCCCACGATCGGTCACTAGCACTGCCCATGAGTTACTCTGCTTCATCGGACAGCAATAGCTCAAGACAAACCACCTCGAGCACATCCTCCGTATACTACCATACAGACAATAACAGCTCGTATTCGCATTCCCAAACCAGTTATTCAAATTCGACGGGTCATCATGCTCACGAGAACGATCCTGGAAGCCCACAGGTCAAAAGAAGCACGTCCCGGTCATCTAAACCGGAGTCGCAATCCTGGTATGTTTTAAACCTGACGTCAATTTTTTTGGTTTCTACTAAAAGAAGTGGTATCTAGCCCTCGGTACATTTGTGTTCACCCAGGTTGCGAGAGCAGCTTTAGTCGGCCGGCAGACTTAAGCCGTCACCAGGTCTCAGTTCACTTTCGTGATGGTGTAATGCTAGACTGCCCGAAACCGCGGTGTACTCGCAAAGGAGAGCAAGGCTTTTCGCGTCAGGATCATCTTATTGAACATCTCCGTCAATTTCATTGTATGAAATTGGCGAAGCGGTCTTCGAAATCCTAGCGCAATTAGCTTACGCCGGCAGAATGCTACTTGCGTGCCTCTCTACTGACTCGGCTGGACCCGAGTACTCCGCACCGCGAAGAAACGACTTTCAAACGATATACAACTTTTTAATCGGCCTCTCCCATTCAATTTGCCTGTATTATCTCTCTGCTGCTTTCTCCAGTGAGCATTTATCTGCATAGCGTTGGATCTGTACGGGTCTAGTTTTGCATTTTCACTATGACGGACCTCCTGATTGTCCAATTTTTCTATAATAGACTAATTACTACGTTTTTTGTTGACACTATCTCTTTCTGGTTCATGGTTTTCACAATTCTATGTACGAACACTAGTTGTGCCCCTTTACTCTCAGGATCTTTTTCGATGGAGACCAATGCTCAAAATTTCTATCTTCCATCTTTGTTTTCACTTCTCCTGTTTGATATTTATCTATGCTCCCTACCGTTTCTTCCACAACTCTATGTTGGTGTTAGTAGAAGATTTAATTTATGAGAGCCATGTTATCATGAAATCAACATCTGTTGGTTTTCATTACAATATCTAGTGGATCTCTCTTTTTGCGAATGCCTAATTCCCCCATTTATATCTTGCTATCTCGATTAATGAAGCAATTTTGCGTTGTGATAGCCACAATGCTTTACTGACAGCTAGAGAAGACTATCCCTTCGACTCTTAAAGCGCCATCAATGCTTCCATGTCTTCTATTTTGTGGCTTTTGGTATATTTATATGTCATCAGCATTGGGATAACATATCGATACTACCGCCGCCTCTGTCTTTATATCTCTTGCTTGTGAATGTGCGGGCTGTGCCCTACGAGAGAAAGAAAAAGGCAATGGCAAGGATACAAGAAAAACGACAGGAGAGGGAGATTATTGCAAAGAGGCAAAATATAAAAAGAAAGGTTCGCATCGGCCGCTACTAGTACCCATTTATTTCACCAGCGCTAAGCCCGCTCGATGCTACGTCCTTTCGATTCCCTAGAAACACCCCGAGTCAATAATGACTTACATGGAGGGAATCGAACCGTGGCTATCTCTAGGAGTATTTAAAATATAACCGTGGAGTGAGATGGTCATACCATTAGATTAGCCGCGGTTTTGGTGCCTCTTTGTTTTGTTGGCTATGTGCTCATATTGAAAGGCAATCTGAGTGGAAGATACCCGCTCACTCTACACAGCTCGCCTGTGGGTTGCACACCAGCTCTTATAGTTATTCCTTACATGAGTACAAAGACCCCCCTTGCAACGTTTAGATAGTTTTTGAATAGGATGGAATTTTAATATTGATATGGAGAAAAAACGCAAACAATAGCCAAAACTATATAAAGACTAACAGACCTACTAAGAAGTCGAAAAAAAGTGTAGAAAATAGGTCATCAAGTCGTCTTCTCCCTCCTCGTCGTCATCGCCACCACCATTGAGCCACCAATACGGACTGCTTACGCTTAGAGTTACCTAAAAAGCCCTCCGGCCAAAAAGACTCGCAGCCCCGGTGCTAATGACTTGAGCTGTGGCACCAGCTGCACCATTTTCAGTCTGGTTCGCAATAAGCTGGTTCTGATTCTGCTGCTGCTGCTGCTGCTGTTGTTGTTGTTGTTGTTGCTGTTGTTGTTGCTGAGCTTGTTCAAGCTCTTCAGCTTGGCCGCGATTTGCATCATTCTGATCTTGCTGATCATCGTTTTGGTTATCACGATCCTGGTCCTGATTTTGTTGCTTCTGCTGATCCTTCTGCTTCTGTTTTTCTTGTTTCTGTTGTTCTTTCTGCTTCTGCTTCTCTTCTTTCTGCTTCTGCTTCTCTTCTTTCTGCTGTTGATCTTCTTGTTTCTGCTGGTCCTTTTGTTTCTGCTTCTCTTCATCTTGTCTCTGTTTTTCTTGCTCATCTTGCTGATTCTTGTTCTGATTCTGATTCTGATTTTGGTTCTCATTCTGATTCTGGTTCTCGTTCTGGTTTTGTTGTTTCTGTTGATCCTTCTGCCTCTGTTTTTCCTCCTCTTTTTGTTGCTGATCTTGCTGGTTCTCGTTCTCGTTCTGGTTCTTGTTTTGTTGTTTCTGTTGGTCCTTCTGCCTCTGTTTTTCCTCCTCCTTTTGTTGCTCATCTTGCTGATTCTGTTGTTGTTTCTGCTGATCTTTCTGTCTCTGCTTTTCCTCTTCTTTTTGTTGCTCCTCTTGCCGCTGTCTTTCTTGTTCATCTTGCTGATTCTGATTCTGGTTCTGGTTCTGGTTCTGGTTCTGGTTCTGGTTCTGGTTCTGGTTCTGGTTTTGGTTTTGGTTTTGGTTCTGGTTCTGTTGCTGTTGGCCACCTAGAGCAGCAGTCCCGGTGGCGACGTTTGCTGAAGTGCGAGTCTCCTCAAGTCGTCCTAGCCCGGTAGAATTGGCGTTCAAGGCTTGCGATGGCTGGTTTGCAAGTCGTGTAGAGTTTCTGTTGCCATTCTGCTCTCCTTGTTGGCCTCGCTGGCCCCGTTGAGCGTCTTGACGTTGTCTGTCGTCTCTTCCGCGACCACCTTCTCCGATAAGCTCAAGTCCCTCAGTAAGTCGCGAACATTGTTGGTTCGTCAGTCCCACGTTATGAAGACCGGATAGGAGAACGTTTTGCCGAGACGGGATACCACCTTGGAGGAAGCGAGAGTTGAATCCAGTTACACCCTTGAGAGTATTAAAGAAGTCGACACCAATGGAGAGAGGCTGCGCGATAACAAGGAAAATGACTCCCTCTGTGCAAGGAGGAGTGGTTAAGCTTCCTACGTAGCGGAAGGAAGGAAGAGTAGAGATCGAGCGCGAGAGTAAACCGAAGTCCATTTGGCGCATACTAATCTGCTGACCGCGATCGCGGATGCGGTTGGACTGGGAAATGATGCGCTCAAGATCGCCAAAGCCGCCACGACCAGAAACCTGGAAAAGAATGACAATAACAGCAATCTGGCCGCGGTTACCTATCGTTTGAATTAGTCGACAAATCATACTATAGAGCAGGAAAACATACCGATCTGGGAATGGACCAAGTGCAGTTCCATTGGGAAGAACTGGCCTCCGATGCGGTGCTCACTTGGGGTGTGGAAGTGGAATTGCTCCAGCTTGAATTCACCAACCCCTCCAACAAGAGTGGTACCTTCCAGGACAACCTCTGCAGTAGTGCCGAGATTTTGGAAAAGAATATCTTGCCTGGGAATGGTTGAACGAATGAAACCGGCAGGCTCAATAGGAATACTCTGGTCCAAGTTAATAGGGGACTGTCTTAACCCAGTAGCACAAAGAATGTTTTCACGGGAAATGGACTGCCAATTTGTTGGACCCCGGGCGGCAGTGTAGTCGAAATTCGGCAGTTCTCCAATCCCGCCCTCCCGGCGAGGATGAAGTACTGTGCCATGGGAGCAAAGGGAGAGGGCGGAACGGACGTTTAGTAGAAGAAGGACTGGAAGGAGCAACATCATGGCTCAATTACACTTAAGTGAGTAGAAGGAATGAACGAAATAACGAAGAGAAGGGCTTCTCTTTCAAAGAGAAGAAAAGCAGGGAAGGGCAAAGAGCGTGGAGAGGAAGCCTGAATATTATGTGTTCCCTGAACAACAATTCACCAGCAAGCTACATAACAAAGGAAGGAAGGCGGGGCGGAGCCCAACGAGGGTCTATATATGCGGCGGCCATGTAGCATGCGCCGTGACACCCTGGCGAGGCTGGCCGGGCGAGAAAGCAAGCACCCGAAGAGGTAGGGGACGGATGCTTGTACAGCATGTGTCAAGTGTGCAACAACGGTGATTCAACCAGCATGAAAACGGGTAAGTTCGTGCCATTCTTGGAGGCCCCTAGAAGGAATGGGCTGATATTCCAGGCCTGATTTGAGCAATGCGAGGAAGAGGGGCGTCCCCTTTGAGCGGCTTGGTTTGCAGGTGTTTTCCAAAGCGGCTGACAGAGGGCGAGCTCCGCGTTTGAGAAGCATTGCTGGATCTGGTTTAGGGAGGCAGTCCCAGTCATTTTATTTCCCGGTCTGGCCGGAACATCATGGGCTTTGTGCACTTTAGGTTGTCTCCATGTATCGGGTTGGCTCGGCGGCCCAGACGCCGTTGCATCGTGAGGATGTTCGTAGGCGGGGGCAGCCTTTGTGATGAAGGGCCAAGGAGCTGTCGGAGCCAAGACAGGAGAATAAAAATTGGCTCTGCGACAAGACGCCACCAAGACCGGTCTGGCTGGCCCGCGAGGAGCGGATTTCTTTCATCAGGGGAAGCGTTGAAGCGTTTGGCGTCGAACGTTCGACAGATGGAACGCGTTGGGATCCGCGCCAAGAAGCCCCGTCTCGGCCACCTCTGACCCTGTCAGTTCATCACATCTCTTCGGGACCTGGAAGCCCTGCCAGGGCGCGGGACAGCCACTTTTTGGCATGATTGCATGGACGGCTACGTGGTATGTAGAGTGTGTAGGTACATCCATCTGCACATACTGACCTCTGGAGCACGCAGCGGATAATCATGGCCATTCCCGCTCCCTACTCCCGCCGCGCAGTCACCCACGCCCCCATATCTACAAACTCTCGAAAGACGTCGCCACTTGCGCGGCCCTTTGAATCAAACACCACTCCCTCGCCCGTCAGCAGCTTCGTCTTCTCTACGGAATACTGGCCCCCGTTGCCCCATTTCCCCTTGTACCCTCCGATCGTTCGGTCGGTCGCGAGGACTCGATGACAGGGAACTTCAGGCGCGAACGGGTTGGTTTTCATTGCGTTGCCGACCGCGCGCGCAGACGACGATAGATGAGCGGACAGAACAGCGTAGGTGGTCCACCGGCCAGTCGGTACGGATAGCAGTGTGCGGTACACAAGCCGGCGGTACGGCGTGAGGGAGGGATGGGAGGAAATGAGATGAAGAGCGTGGACGAGCGCTTCCTGATCAACTGCAAAAGAATAGCTGGGCATGGGTCGTCGCAGTTTCGCATCCCGTAGGAGGACGTTGGTTTCAGGGTAAGCTGGCGGCGGATCGCGCTGGGTCTTTGCGGTGCGGCGAACGCGGCTCCGCGACAATGCTGGCCTGCCTGTAGTCATGGCGCTGGCTTCGTACAAGACCTGGAGAGTGTCCTGTCGTGTCTGGTTGTAGGCGTCGCGCGCGCACGAGAAAGATGCCGTCTCTGTGCTGCCGCCGCTGCCAGCCTTTTATAGCGCGTCTGCCGCGCCTCGTCACGTCACTGCGTGGGCCCAATGCGGCTAAAGTGACAAATCAGCGCAGAGCACTGCTTGTGCAGAATATGGCCAATCGCGCCGCCGCTGGTTCGCCCGCGCTAAACCCCATCGGACAAGCCTGGCGGGCGCCTGACAAGACCGTCTGTGTTGCAGAATCCGCAGAGAAGGAATGTCGCGGCCAGCAGATTGCCAGTGGGTGGCTTGGCCGCTAAGTTTATGCTTAAGCAACTGGCAGCTGGTAAGTTTGGGGGTGGTTTTCTCTGCTTGCGTGGCCCTCATTGCCATTCCTGCGAATCTGGTCTCGACTATCCAAGTCCTTTTCCCTGGCAAACACTCATAGTGTATGCCAATTCTCTCCGCAATTGTGCGCAATAGTATCCTAGCCCTCGAGCTCCTTTCCAGCGCCTCAAGCTCTAAAGGAATCCTTTACCAATCCATCCTTTTGCGACGGATTTCATTTCCAGCAAAGGATTTTACTGATGCTCTTTCTAATACTCCGGTGCATGTTTTTTTTTTCATGCCTGATGGTCTATTTCAGGATGAACTAGTTTGAGAGCAATCTTATACAATCTTGCTACACGGAATGCTGCGTACTTCGTGCAACCCTTCCATGACAGGTATTAACCAAATCATCAGTGCGACCGCACCCGTTACTAAAGAGCTGGGGAATTTGCTTCCAAATATGCTGGTAGCACGGATTCAAATTACTCTCTGTAGGACTGTGGCCGTATGATCCGCTTCCTGACCAGTGCTCAACGATGCGCAATTCAACTTGTGCATATTGCTGTTGGACGTGTGTCCAGCGAACTTTCCACCCTGCCCCTAGCCTGCAGAAGACTTGCAAATCAGCAACCGCAGCGCCAGCCCATAGCCTGATGTCCGAGTGTGTAAGGTCGAGATATTTGAGATACTGTTGTATCATACCTGTTTAATGGCGATCTATTTTCTGAGGCGACACAGACAGAAGACTTGCCTTGTTTTTAAACTATGGCGTTATTATGCCGTGGGTTGCGCTTCTTGGACAAACGGCACTGTAAGAGAGCAATGAGGCTTACGGACTCCCTCTAAATTCTAGGCTCTGAACCCGACCAGAAGCTATAGCTCCTAGTGGTGCATCCCGAAATATTTGCTTTTGACCCAAAAAAGATATTTGCGATTTCTACTAATATGACTGGAAATGCCCACCCATACGGAGTACATAGTATTAGACGAAACAGGAGCACATGATGATTATGTGACTGAGAGTCTACAATATTGCATCTGATCTGTTTCTAATAAATGAGACACTGACACTTATAGATGAACATACTATAACTGAGACTACAGAAAAAACATATGAAAAATCTCTAGCAAAATCTCTGCCGGCCCAATAGTCAAAGATAATGAAATCAGTATCATGGTCAAGAAGAGGAGGTGGTGAACCACTAGTTCTCCAGTTCCTCCTTCAGGGACCTGGTCACCTGACAAGTCACCTGACTCCTGCTCAACAATTCTTAATTAGTCACCTGAGCAAACCGTCATTATGTCATCCCTACGTGGTGGCGTCAGGGAACGCGGCTAGAGCATATAGGGCTAGCGCGCCTTGACCCTAAGCGCGGCAACCCCCCGCTCAGGTGGCTGGCCCGTTCACAACATTATTGACCCCCGATATGTCTTGATCTTGTTGCGGTGTACTTGATTTCTTCTCTTCCCGGTGTTGCCGCCATTGCCACTCATTCCTTGTGTCAATGGGGCTGTTCTACACATAATGACGGCGCCGATACAGCCTATTAAGCGATCGTTTACCGTTCCCTCGAAGCCTCGTAGAGTGCGCCATTCCCTAGGCTCTTACGACCGTCCGAGCATTTCCATCCCTTCCGATGATATTATTTTCTATCATCCATCTGCAACCATTGTCAAGTTCGAGCTGCCACGGTCGTCCAGTTCGAGCCCTATTCTTCCCGATTTGGATTACCCAGTCGATGCGATTGAAACATTGCCATGGAGGACAAGGTCAGAGGTCATTGCTGCAATCGGTGCTCTAAGGATAGAAAACGTTGCCGGCTCTGCTGCGTTTCTTAAATCGGGGAACGTTGTATATGCTTTGTTGAAGAATTGCCAGTGCTGGTGCGTTGATGCGAAGGCGACCTTCGTTTTACGATTGAGGAAACTCACATACTACCGTATCGAATTCCCACACGAGACGGAGGAAGATCTTCTGAGGATAGAAGAATGGAAGCAGATTCTATCGAACATAATCCGGTACGAAGTCACTCCTTGTCCATTCAAAAGAGGATTCTCCGTGGAGCTTCCTGAAGAAGCCAGAACTCCGAAGAAGAAACGGGCCTGGAGGCCAAAAACAATATTAGGCATTCCAAACATTCCTCAAAATTTTGAGGGGAGCATTTCGTCTGAGGATCGCGAGTCAAGCGAGTCGGGGAGTATCGCCGATGACTTCGACAGTCGAAGTATCCGGTGTGGCAGTGTCCCTCCACCTACAAATCGACGCTTTTCTCATTCATCCGCATTTTCAATGCCCAGAAGAACTAGCTTCCGTGTTGTTTCGGAGCCGGCACCAAACTTTGAAACTCTTCTTGCGAAATTCGAATCTGAGTCTGAAAAAGATAGGTCCACTCTAGTTGAGAGTGCAAGTGTCGCATCAAGTGCTTCGTCGTTCTACTCTGCCGTAGACCCGCCACCCTCATTTCGCTCATACTCACCCTCCCCCTTAAATCGGTTACCAATGAGCCATACCCGAGAAACTTCGGTTGCAACAATCATTCCTGTGCCTGCAGATGATTCATCGCTAGACCATTACTCCGCAACGAATGACGACCAGGCTCCGTCCTCTCCTGCATCAATACCGGTTGACTCTGACTGTTCACATTCCAACATACAACCTGTGTTAGAGGTTTCTATAGAGAGCCAAAACACAACCATTCGTCAGCGCATTCGCGCCCGACAACGTTCCTTATCCCCTTTACCACCATCCTCAACACTATTCACACCTGCCCCCAAATCCCCTATTAATAATCTATTCGATACCATATTTGAAAAGACCTATACATTTGTCCTTGGACCTCCTATACACCTTTTGGTCATGTTCCTTCGACTCGCTGCTGAAGTTTCCTCGGGTGATAATCCTCGTCACCCAGCTGGAACTGAGGTTGGGAGATCATCGGCTGAAAGTCACATGCTTGATGAGACCGAAGATATTTGGAGCGAGGATGATTTTGGTAACCCCTTATCCTCGATTGGCTCTGCTAGACAGATGAGAGGAGAAAGCCCAGCAGGTTCGGACCTCTCTAGCGAAGTTGATTAATTTGTTGTTTTATATTGTGTTATTACTACCCGGCAGCGGTCTATTCCTTCATTGTATTGCTATCTATGCTCTGTATGCCATTTATTATAATTATTTTACATTTGGTCTGTGGGTTTCTCAAGAATATCATGTGACACGACACTCTTGTCTCGTCTTGTTTGTGCATAATGCCTCTAGATATTCCTTACTACCATTTTTAATACCGAAAGAATATACATATGAGTAGTATGCTTAGCAGGATGAAATTGACATCTAGTACTTATTTCATCACCCATTTGGAAAGAAAACGCCAATAAACGCCGAACTGATGCTAGGTGTGAATTCCAAATCCGCAAAAATAGCCCCCAAAGCGTATCACATCTTGAGCAATCAAATCATGCCTTTGAAACCTTCCCCTTCGCTTTCCCCTTTTTTCTTGCACTTCGATCTCTTTTCTTTAGTCCCACCATTCCCACCTTACATAGCTCTGCATACCTCGCATAAAAGGTCTCTAGGTCTTCTGGCTGTACAATCGTTGATGCTTTTACTTTCGCAGTTTTATGTCGGCCATTCGAAGCACGAATTAGAATTGATGATCGGCCAGGGGAGAGAGAGTCGTTTGTAGTCGTTGCGGTATTTAGGGCAGAGTCGGAGGTGCCTTTTGTACTGGAGGGCTCACTCGTAGAGGAGGCAGAGAGATGCTTTTGGGTAAGGAAGACAGAGCCACGGAGGGACGTGGATTGATGGTTAAAAAGACTCTTGAGGCGCGAGAAGAACTGGAATGACGGTCAGTTTTGCTGTTGGTGAGTGAGATGTGTGTAAGGTGCACGCATGTACCTCGTCGTGGGATAGATGCTCGGTGGCCATGGTAGGCGGGACCAGATTCGGGCAGAAGAAGTAAATTCCCGTAGGGGATTCTTCTATTATATAGCTATTCTGCTTCACTGGCAGGTACGGTATTTCCAATTGCCCCCGTATATAAGGATATTTTTTGTTGTTGGGGAGTATTCGCTTCGGTTTGTTGGAGAGCCAGTGCCAAGCCAAGGATTGGTGTGTTTGCACTTCACCTGTGCGAGCTGACAAGGAAATAATTTCTTGCGTGGAGAACGCTGCGCAGGCGATCGCCAGCCTTCTTTCATGTATCCCGGTGAATCATGCGCCCTTCTCTACATAATACAACGCTCCTACCACGCCAGCTTCGCGAAGAATTAGGCCTGAAAGACACTTACAAGCCGGGTGAAAGCACGTCGCGGCCTCGCACCGCTGGAAGCAGCACCCCTAGGAAAGAACGCCGGAAGACTGAACGAGCCCAAATCAAGAGTCGCGTGCAAAGACAAAGAGATAGCCCCAGGTATAATGGCCTTCACCAGGGTGTGGTGAGCCGAACGTCAAGAATAAACGGGCCAAACTCCCCCGAATGGGAGAAGCTAAAGCCGACATTGAAGAAGCCGCAAATTGCTAGGTCACCTGGTCCGGAGGATTTGCAGTCTGAGGTTGGAATTAGCCTTGATGAAGGGAGCGACGAAGATGAGCATTCCGATGCGCCACAGGTGGAAACCCGCAGGGTACCTCGCACTGTTCGCGATAAGTTGGCAGAAGATGATGCAGAGATTGCAGTTCTAGAGAAAAAATTGGGGCTTAAGGGGAAAAAGAAACTTCCAAAGAGTTTACTTGAAGATGGATTGGATGACCTGTTGGGGGATCTGGAATCGGACGCGGAAGCCACCGCAAGGAAACGAAAGAGAGAAGAAGAGGAATGGCTGAAGGACAAGAGGCAGAAAGCCCGAGTGAATATTGAAACCAGTGAAGATGACAGCCTGCATGAGGAAGCTACAGAGGCCAGCGATAATAGCGAGTTTGAAGGGTTTGACGACGTTGAAGAATACCTGCCAGGTCTACAACAAACTAAACAGAAAGAGAATCCATACCGGCCTCCCATCGCCGTCAGTGGTTCCCCATCTACAAAGTACATCCCACCCTCCAAACGGGTTGGGGCATGTGCCGAATCAGACTTTGAGATGCGTCTGCGGCGACAGATAAAAGGCCACCTAAACAAGCTATCCGAGGCTAACATTGTATCTATTCTAAGCGACATTGAAAAGCTCTATTTAGAGTATCCGCGACAGACCGTAACGGCTATGTTAATCGACCTACTACTGGGCTTGATATGTAGCGGAAGTGGCTTAAATGATACATTTATCATCCTTCACGCCGGATTTATCACAGGAATATTCAAAGTCATTGGCATGGAGTTTGGTGCCGAACTTGTGCAAAATGTTGTGACGCGGTTTGATAAGATGTTTGGGAATGGCCACCCGGGGGATTCGGATAGGAAGGACATGACAAACTTGATATCTTTGCTATCGCATCTTTATAACTTCCACGTTCTTGGATGTGGTTTAATTTTTGATTTCATTCGTCTATTCTTGGAAGAAATTAACGAAATTAACACTGAACTTCTATTAAAAATAGTAAGAAGTATGTCCTAGGTCTTCGCTTTCTGGTTTGCTTCACCGCTAATATAATTTAGATTCTGGCCCGCAGCTTCGACAGGATGATCCATCGGCTCTTAAGGATATCGTTCTCCTCATTCAGCCTGCAGTGGCGCGAGTTGGGGAAGCGGCGCTATCCGTTCGCACTAAATTTATGATAGAGACAATCACGGACCTTAAGAACAATAGAGTCAAAAACGCGCCTGGTGCAAGTATATCTTCTGAACATATTATAAAAATGAGAAAAATCATTGGCTCTCTCAATACAAGGAGCCTCAAGGCCAGCGAACCTCTTAGGATCGGCCACGCCGATATTCGTGATTCGGACAAAAAGGGCAAATGGTGGCTTGTCGGTGCAAGTTGGAGAGCCGAGCCACTACCTAGCACTGATACTAAACAGACCAGTATCAATTCAAGTGTGGTTCTTCCGGGTACCCTGAATGATGACTTGGGCGACATGAAGGACGTTGATCTTGTGCAGCTTGCCCGAACTCATCGGATGAACACCGAGGTCCGCCGGTCAATCTTTGTTGCCATCATGTCTGCGTCAGACTATCAGGATGCTCACATGCGCTTGTCAAAACTACATTTGAAAAGAAGCCAAGAAACAGAGATCCCGCACGTTCTGATCCACTGTGTGTCTGAAGAAGAAACATACAATCCGTACTACACTTTCATCGCAAGAAAACTCTGTGGAGAAAGAAGAATGAAGATGGCGTTTCAGTTTTCATTGTGGGATGCATTCAAGCAGATGGGAGAACGTGCCGATGTAGACGACAGCGAGGATTTCGACGAGGATCGGCAACTCAATATGAGGGCCATTGTCAACCTTGCGAAGATGTATGGGTCTTTGATCGCTGACGGAGGCCTCACGCTTGGAGTTTTGAAAACGCTTAACTTTTTGTACTTGCAGCCCAAGACAAAAACATTCGTTGAATTGCTTCTCATTACTGCCATGCAACAGACACAGAAAAAGGCATCTCGCAGACCACAGAGAACAGGAAGCGTCGACGAGAATAATGCCAATGAGAAGGCCCTTGTGAATATGTTTTCAAAAACGCAAGACACGCCGCAAGTCAAACCCGGGTTGATATACTTCATCCGCAAAGTCGTAGCGAAATCGGATGTCATTACCTTAGAAGGGGACAAAGTTGCTTTGAAACGGGGCTGCAGGCTTGCGCTCGATACGCTCAAAATGATACCCTGAGCTGTGGGCTCATAAAAATGTTAATTTTTCGAATAATGTATACATGTACCTTGACACATGTCGGTTTTAACTAGTTGACTCTCTGAGAGGGCGCAATCTTAGATGTTTTGACAAACGATTTAACCCGGATATCTGGGTTGCAGTATCAGGTACATTTACTGGGCTATTTTCGCCATTTCTGAGCAGTAAAATACCAGTCCATCCAGCCCGCACTGCCCCAAGGTGATCATCGTGAAAATCATCCCCAACGTGAATGCATTTGTCAGCTGGCCCTGGAAAGATATAGTTGTTATCTCCAGAAGCTTGAATATAACGATTGGCATACTTGACAGCAAGATCAAAGATGGCTTTGTCAGGCTTTTCACACCCGGCCTCGTAACTTGTAAGAACAAAATCAATATCGGCCTTCCGTTCTGGCTGCTTGTGCGGATGTGGACGTTCCAAATCATCCTCCAAAGGGATTCCAACACGTAGTCGCAATGAGTTTAGGACAGTCATAATTCTATTGTCTGCATTTGAGATAACTCCCACAATAACGCGGTCAAAATCAGTATTGAGACGGTTGCCAGCTGGATAAAGTTGTACTGAGCGCGCAATTTTCCACGATTTCAACCATTCAAAAAATGGGGGCACATCTTCATACAGTTGATAGCCCTTGGGCCCTGCGAAGGTGGTGTATAGCGAGTCCGTCAGTCCCTCAGGAAGGTCTTGCGGCACAATTGCTTTTCCCATGACAGCAGCAAAAAAATCGCAAATCACCGACTCCCACCATACTTTTGGGCTGGTAAAATCTGGCAGGCCTCGGCCATAGTTTGGGTAGAACGTGTTGTGTCTCCATAGCGAATGTTTCAAGTACTGATTCAGCAATGATTCATTTGGTATTTGGGATCGGGTGAGGAGGCCGACTTCTTCGGCAGCCTTCACGTAGATGCTAACGACAGGAATACGGGGGTGAAAAAGGGTGTTGAACGCGTCAAAGGTCAGCAAAAGCGTCCTAGGGCGGCGAGAGAGTGTCATCTTCTGCGTTCAGCGCACCAGCCCGGTCGGGTTGGGCTGGAGAAATTTTGCGGAGCAAAGCCGTGGTGAATGGCGATGCTGACTGTATCGGACTGGGACTTGACGTTTCAAACTGAAAAAAAACCTGGGACTTGGGTTTGAAATTCTGGAATGGGATTGGGACTATTCAAATAGAGATAGAAATCTCAGATCTCTAGAAACTTAAAATAAAATCTTACGGATCCAGCTTGGCCGATCAGGTTGCGGATGCTGGTCCTCAAATCAGGCATGTGCAAGTCCAATGCGCATTCATAACTTAGAATAGCTTCGCACTCAACGACTGGAGATCAAGGCCGCCCGAGTCAGAGAGTGGCTGACGCCAGCGGTCTTCCCTACTCCCGCTGCCTTATTATCCTTGCCTGCCAGTTTGCCTTGATGCGAAAAGGCAACCGGTCAATATTTGAGTGACTACCTTTAAATATCCAGTCATCTAGGCAATGAGCACGAACACCATGATTGTGAAATCCATTCTCAATTCTCATTATGAGGACTCAAAGGCTGCTTCGGCCGGCAAGTTCCACACATCAGGAGATCGGCAGCGACGGAGAGGAGCCAGGAAGGTAAGCTCGCATCCCATCCGGGATAAGCCTCAGTGTTGACATGGCGGCTGCAATAGCCTCGTTAATCATCATGCTGAGCCATGCCCTACCCGTGTTTTTCCTGGGACTCCGCCCTTGGAAGACCTCCAGATTCACAACGATGTTCCCTTGCGCTCACGGAATTGGCAACAGGACACCGCTCGTCCCCTTAATCTGCTGTCAGAGAAAGAATTGCCTGTCAACAAGCTTTGTCAAGCAGCCAGAAACCCGTCCTATAACTGAAGAGCAATTGATCAATGAAGTCCGTACGATTTATGCCGGCCTTGTCTTAGTGGAATGAAAATGCGTGGAGATTGAGCATCATGACTTTTTGCTCACTTCCCAACTCCCTGCCACAAGTCCTTCCCTTCAGCAATTGGCCCATTGATATGCAATGCCTGCCTGGATGTGGAGGCATGGAATGCATTCCTTCTTGGAACTACTCTGCCACAGACTTCCTGATTCTTTAAATCATATGACTTTGTATTTCATGATAGTGCTTTTCCTTGAGAGCGTTCCCAGCTTTGAGGGCACTTGGATTGACTCTTTTCACCCAGCAGTCAATGCTCTCCTCCCTTGAGTATGGGCTCAATTTCAATGGACATCTAGGAACCGAAATTGGCCGCATCAGATTGAAGTGGAGAGAACAGGGAGTGTTCGTTGCCTGCACTACTATCACCGCTTTGAGTATAGCCCAGACCCATCGCTTTTCCGAATTTTTCACAAGACTGCTCAATCTTCCACCAATCTTGCCCAAATCAAATCCTCTTACACTTCTTTTACTGCCCCTGACTTTCAGCTCCATCCCCACGATGCACCCTTTCAAACCTCTCAAGAAATCTTTGCCTGTGCATCCTGTTTTACATTTAACATCCTGACCTTTGTTCTCAAGCAGCGTGGTGATGAGAATGTTATCCCTCACGTTCATGTCTCTCTCGCGTTTATTTGGGCGCTGTCTATGGTTCTGGAAGCAATGGCTCAAGTCCAACACAAAATACCTTGGGCTGAACTGGTCACCCTTCTGAATACTCTAAATACTCAGGGATTACATGAACTACGCTTGAAGAGTGAAAACTTCCCAGCCCCAGAGGATGGGTCAAGATGCCATTTGCCGGAAGATTTTGCTATGCATGGACTGGTTTGGAGCCAATTATACTATCCTGCTGGGTTTTTTGAAATCTCCAATTTAGCTTATGAAGAAGAAAGGATTATGGAACTTCCTAATGCTCAGAACTGAAAGATGCCTGTGGCTCGGTCATCGCCTTGCCTCAGTAAGTTGGTGTGCTCTTGCCTTCCAAGATTGTACTGATCAATCTTGTTAGTTGGACGTGTGGATCTCGTACGATGAGCGAACGAGGAAATTCTTAGTCAACGATGTCGCCAGAGACCTTGGGGACCATGCGAAGGCCCCGATTTTGTTCTCGGAGGCTAAGCGATACTTTGGCCAAAGAGACGCGGAAACACTACCACCAAATGAACAAGCGATTGCGGACGCAATTCCAGTACCAGAGATCCAACCCGACCAAACCTCGGACAAAGCTTGAGAACAGTTGATCCATTACAACCGCGTGTATGAGCGCCGCGCAACCGAAGCACGTCCGATCGGTGGCTGGCTATGTGGCTTCCACAAACGTCCAAAATGTACAGTGTGTGCCAACTCGGATACAAGGTATTATGAGCTTGTGACTTAAGGATCTTAGAATTGTGAAGATCCCTGCAGTTTGTAACAATGGAAATGCTGAATTGTGACTACGCTTGCGGAATTAAAACTTGAGTTGTACAGGCAGTATGCATTATAGGTGTCTCACAGAATCAACGCACAAGTCTGTAAAGTTCAAGGCCTGGAGAATTTTCACATAATTCGACTTCAATCATTTTGGCAGAAATGCACAGCTCCCAAACAACTAGCCTATAACACAGATAAGGTCATGAAGTATTCTTTCTTTGCTTCTGAGGCCGCTTGGACAAACTTCTCGAGAAACTTCATAGAAGCAACAGTGGGATCAAGATTCTCTACTTGCTCGCATACACCTGAGAGATGATGTCAGCGATCATCAGCAAGGGAATCAAGAAACAATAAACAACACGCACTCTTCCTGGTCTTGATTTATGCAGCTCAGGGCAGGCGGGCACGTTTGAATGAGCGATTTTCAATGTCATATTGTCTCTTATGGGATTGCAATCTCTTTTGTCTGTTATACAGAGTGCTTCGGTGGAAGTCAATGATCAGAGCCCGGTTCAGCTCCTCATTCCAGAGTATATTTCGTGGCCGAAGGTCGCCATGCTGGACGCCAAGCGAATGGATTTCACGTACAGATCGAGAGATAGCAGATCGAATGGTTTCATCTTGCTTATTCTGAACAGTCTTGCCACCCCAGCCCATGAGGAGCATGTGTCGAATGTCTCCCGTGCCATGAAGGAAGTATACTAGACCCAAGTCTATCTTGCCTAGAAACACAGGAACTGCTGATCCCTGCAGAGGCTGAAGAACACGGTAGACATCAGCCTCCCGAGACACCTCTTTCCATAGCCTTGATGTTGTTCCTTTACCAACAATAGTGTATCCATATTTGGTACAGGTAATCTTGAATGATGCCCCATATGAACCACGTTCTCCCATTGGTGTGCAATCCTCATCCAGGTTTCTGTCCAGCTGCTGTTTGAGCATCAGCACCAATGCTTGTGCACTGATTTGGTGTCTGTTATCATCTTTCCCAGCATGGTGGATTGCCACATTGGGGCAGTGACTGTCAAGAATACCACCCTGCTGCAGACCCAAGAGACACTGCTGCGTGCAAAATCTATTGATATGAGGACGAGTCTGGCCTCCATGGCTACTTGTTTGGTTTGTTCTAGAATCTGATGTTGACTGCTGGGTTGGAGGGGAAGATGTGACCTGGCTGAAGCCCCGTTTTCGCGTGGTGGGACCCAGGTTTGGATCTGTATCATCTGGTGATCCACGGCCAAAGACACTGGGTGGGGCACAGCCAGACCGGGACCGTCTGCGTATCTCTTGATTGGGGGTGGCGGGAGCAGGGGAGGATGATGGCTGGAATTCAGAGGCACTCTTTTCATCAGTTTCAAAGCTAGTATAGTCTGGATCCAGAGGGTTCTGAGGTACTTCACCAAGGGAAATCTGGGATCGTGCGCGGCTGAAACTGGTCTCCCAAGTTGGCAGCAGATTCCGTGCATTGTTCCGCCAAGTATGGTTGCGAATCTGAGAACGACAACTCACTAGGCAAAGGCACAACACCTTTTCAATTTCGGTCTCCGGTCCTGTTGATCCTCCGGGACTCAGGCTGGGTTTGCTGAGATCATAATACAGGGTCCTTGGGTCATCAGAGGGGATCCATAGTTGAACAAGCCCTAGTCCTGTAGTCAAATACGAATACTCCAGCCCTTCCTGTATCATCACATGAAACTCCTGCACAATCGCCGAGCCAACAAGCCGCATGGCTTTGAATCTAGATTTCTCTGGGTCTTGAACAGGGGTTGAATTTGACTTGACAATGTCATCATAGAAGTCAATGTGACAGTCGTCAGCCGGATCCGGATTGAGCGCCAGTTTAAGAACTTCATAAGGTAGCTTGTGCGGCGGCTTGTATTCAACAGTGGTGATCAAGGCCTGTGTGCTTCCCTCAACTCGGCGAATACAGTACTGGTCGGGAGAGCAACGTGTTGGACCGGGTTGCGTCGTGTCCTCCTCATCAAGATTGTGAGCCTGGTTATCAAACCGTACCCCATCCCTAAGCTGGAATTCATCCCTAGCCTGAGGGATCTTGCAGAGCTCGGAAATGATCATATGTACATGGTCCGCAACAGCCAGCCGCTCGTAGTATTCAAGGTCTTTTTCACTGCAGATGGGTGTTTCAAGACGCTGGGCAAGTCGGGTTAAGTCAGAAATAGGTGTGAACAGTCGTGGTGCATCACTGTGATTCGGCTGGAGGTAGTGGCAGACAGAGTTGTAGATGTCTTGCAGGATGCTGGAGCAATCAGTCCATTTTTTCAGATATAGTGGGCAATATTTTCCAGTTGGGATTGGTATTTTGCCTTTTGTAGAGTCGCGAGTGTCTCCAACACTCAATGAACCTGAGAGCAGATGATGACAGTTCTGGACAAATTCTTTAAAGGTGGTTTGTTGGTTCCGCTCTTGTTCATGTCTCTCGCGTTCCTCTGCCTGTCTCTCGCGTTCCTCGGCCTGTCGCTTTTCCTCCACTGCCTGTCTCTCGCGTTCCTCGGCCTGTCGCTTTTCCTCCACTGCCTGTCTCTCGCGTTCCTCTGCCCGTCTTCTTTTTTCCTCCTCCCTCAAAAAAAGTGCTTTGTAATCAACGTGGTCCGACATTTGGCTTGTATGCGTGAGCGGTATCTCTGACTGTCAGAATCGCAATTTCAAACAGATTGTTCAGTGGAGAGCCAGGCGTGGCGTAAGCTATGCCTCAAGGTATACTTGTACGGTATTCTAAAACGAATGTTTATTGGTTTAAGTTGTCAGGTTGGGAGAATGATTAATGTAAGTGAACACTCAGCGGACCAGCCCCTCAGCCCAAAACAAACGGCAGGCATACCAGCTAGTTTGGAAGGTCTAATGTGATGAATAAACATGGCATCAAGATAGCCCTTGAGTTCACAAATAAGGGCTCAGCAGTAAATTATTCAAGCCTTTTATTTATTATTTATTTATTTATTTGTTATTGCGGATTGAAAGATTCAAAAAATAAAGCTTACGGAGTATTTGAATTGAAAGAGGTGGAGACGAAAAAAAAGTCACATGTTTGTACTAGTTAGTCCTAAAAAAGAGTTCTAACAATTTTGAGCTAATGAACATCAGGGCCTCTGGCTGACACTGACATCTTCACTGTGAGCAACCAGCACCAGCAGCAAGACATGGCGCACTGTCGTTTATGCCTGTTCTTTTCATCCCTGGGTGGTTCAACTCCAATAAATCAAAGATCAAATGGATTGGCAACGATCTGAAGCTGGGACGGCTTGTGATACCATATTCATGACCAGCAAATGGCGCCATCCACGCCCAGATTTTTGTTCGGCTCGTCTGGCCCTGCACCCCAGTTTGCTGCGGCTCCTCGTTTTGTGTTCCAGATGCGACGGGACGGGGCGGATGTAAGTGGCGACGGGCCGGTGTCCCCTACTAGCGAATATTGTCGCTGCTCTCAGCGTGAGCCATGCAGATTAACATTTGGTCTACAGGAAGAGATTGAGGAGTCTGAAGGCAACGATTTTCTAGAAAACCCTTACGGTCTTAATTCAGACTTTGACGTAAATAATGTGTCTTGGGATGGCGAAGACGTTGATAACCACGGCCTCCTTATTACTAGTTCTCCCAGTCGACATCGAAGTAAACGTCGTCGAGTCTTAATTCCTTCGGAAGGAGTTGTGGATGAGACGACTTCCAAAGGAGAATTTGACCGAATATCCCCTTCCCTTTCACCGCCCCGAGACTTATCTATGTATACAATGGCGACGCCGCGACCCGCTGCAAATACTAACGACCTAGCATCTCCAACACTTCGCCGCATGACTCCGACCCCGAATCTGCCAGCTATCCCCGGTAGCACTCCTCAAATGTCTACTTCCCAAAAGCCGAGGTTCCTGTTCAACTCTAATTCGCAAAGCCAACCCACAGCTGGACCAACTGCGACACAATTGCAAAGGCCTCTATTCAAAATACCGCGCACTCCTTCTCGACCAAGTGCGCCGAGTGACATGTCTCTTTTGACGAGTCCCGCCACGTTTCCATATGCAAAACGCCGCTCGAAAGCTGGAACACACAATTTCCTTTCCGGCGGTATCGCATCCGAAGTTCGCGGTTGGCTGCTAGAGCTAGGTGCTAAAAAACAAGTATTCCAAGATCTCCCGCCTTCATCCTCATCAAAATCAACACAGAGCTCGATTGATCGAGGCAAAATTGATTACCACTTGGTCGGTGAAGTTAACCAAGTAGGTGTGTCAAATGCTCGTTTCACACGCAAAAGTCAAACTTCTAAGCCGGGGTATTCATCTCTCTTCACCGCTGTCATTCTCTCCCCAGAAAGACTGCATGAGCTATCGCTGCCGCCGCGGCAGCAGCTTCTTCTCTTTGGCGTTCCCACTCTTGGGTCAGGCCCAATCAAAAAAGGAGTTTTTATTGGGATCCAGCCTGGTCTTGTTTGGGAAATGAATATGGAACCTCACCTTTCCCAAAATTTAATGAATCCCAGCCCGACTCCTACGCAAGGTGATAGTGGAACGGAACAAGGGGCAATGAGTAGGAAGTGGCTAGTTAGCGTGGAATGGGACATTTTATTGACCAGGCCTGGGGGAAGGGATATATGATGATAAATACGATGCATATAGAGTATAGTTTCTCCAAAATCCGGCAGAGATAAAACTGAAGAAAGGCCGTGAGAGATAAATATCATTACTGCCATTTGCCTAAGTGAATCGTGACCCCTGGGAAAGTATAGCATCGATAACACACCTAATGCATCCCGTTTATTTACTTCATAGCCCGAGGCTTATGTACATAGATATATAGGCTACGAATAATTTGTTGTAAGCAGCTAGGAGTCACCCCAGTTGCCACCCCCATGGAGGCCGGTCAATCTCTTTTCTCTATTCGCTCTATGCTCCTCCAGCGTTTTTCTGGAAGCCGCGCTCTCCTTAAGTAAGTTCTTCTTCAGCTGCATCTCTCTCTCCTTCTCCCTAGCGGCGGCGTAATAATTAACCGCCCCCTTCTTACTACTCACATTAACGCCACCGGTGCCATCGGATTTGACGACTGCGATAGCGGCAGGTGTAGTGACCCCGCTGCTGCGTCCGGATGAGGAGGAATACGACGAAGAAGACGAAGCGGTGGAGCTTGATGTCGAACGACGGAGAAGCAATAAGGGGCGCTTGAACCCTGGGGTGCTAGATGAACTATGGAAGGCAAGTTTAGATACCGACGACGATGCGCTTCCTACAGAGAGCGACGACATTGCCGCGTTGGAGGACGCTGCTCTGCGGAGAGAAAGACGGTCAACAACTTTGCCGTGGCGGCGAGGATTACCGGTTTGACGAGGTTCTAAAAGAGGCAGCGAGTCTCTGGCACCCGCTCGATCCTCCTCGAGTGACTCTGTCTGGCTATCAAGTACGACTTGAACCGTGTGGGAGTCCGGCTCTCCGATAAGAGACGAAACCTGTGCACGAATCTCCGCCAAAGTGGAAGGCTTCTTTACCCCTGAGCCTGTTGTACGGCGTAATTTCGCTGCAGGTTGATTAAGCAAGTTCGGTTCTGCTGGATTCAACGGCCGTTTTCCATTCATATTAGCATCTTCGCTGCTGTTCTTGCTGCATTCAGGGGTCCCGTCCAGCATTATGCCTGTATCAGAGCTCGATTCACCACATTCGTCACGGAGAAAATCAAAGCCATCGTCCCCATCCCTGTCTTCGATAGTTTTGAAGAAGGCTTGTTTTTTCGGATCATCCGCAATCTTCGTGATATTTTCATCAGTTAGTATAGCTTTCCGCATTTTCGCGAACTCTCGCTGTTTGGCACGACGCCGGGCTGCAACACGCTCATCATCAGAATCAGAGAGGTCAAAATCATCTCCCATACCGCGCTTTCGACGAAGTGCACCCGTAGTGATGTCTCGGATAAGCTTGTTCACCTCACCCTCATCCTTCTGCCTTGCATGGTTCCTGTGATTAGAAAGATATCAGCATATGGACACTCACAAAGAACCATTATAGTAAATACATACGCATTAAGAGCAGCCAATTCTTGTTCATCAACAACTTCACCGCTATTGTCGTTAATCATTGTCAAGTCTAAATCATCCTCCTCATCTGACTCCTCGTCGCTTGCACCACCCAATCCCGCATACTCATCTTCAGATTCCTCTGCAGCCTCATCGACAACTTCCTTCGCTTTGCTCTTTTTCTTATCGAAAGGCGTCTCCGGCTTTCTCGCCACCTTTCGCATCACATCAAATGCGCTGGGCTGAACGAGGAAATCATCCACAGCATCCACCTCTGGATGAATGGCGCCGCGTCGGAGCCGCCTCCCTGGCCTTTTCGCCGCGGGTGATTCATCTCTTAGTACTGGGACAGTGTCTATGGTAGAAGGAGGTTGGCTGAGAAATCGCTTTCGTTGGTCAAATGGCGACATCACGAATCCGATGTCCTGGCTAGGTTCCGGGATCTGGGAAAACTCGCTCACTGTTTTAGTAGCTGGAGATTCCAGGAGATGTGTATCATTCCCGGGGAATTCTGCAAGTAGATTGAGTGTCCCACTGTCTTGCACTTGGCTATCCTGGGGGACTCCATATGATTCCGACTCTATAAGGTCTCCTACTCCCATATCAAATCCTGGCATTTTGCGGAGGGCAGAAAGGGAGTCGTGCTCCTCCATACTGTCTTGGCTATCTGCCAGAGTCGCTGCAAATGCCTGTGATAATCCAATGAGAGGCTCTTTGGGCATTCCCAGGTCAGGGATTAAAAGTTTCACGGGCGTCTGAGCAATTATAGCAGGCTCTTCTTCTTCTTCTTCCTCCTCCTCCTCCTCCTCCTCCTCATCATCATCAGATACAAACTTTTGTTTCCTTCGCGGCTGCGACACTTTTTTGAGCCCGAGGTCGGTGAGCTCATCCTCAGAAACATTTATATCGAGATCGTCAATTGGGTCACCAGCATCCGTAGTATCCGCAAGTTTATCAAGTTCCTCTGATGACTCGTTTTCGCTTTGCTCCTCAACTTCATCCTCAGCCTCAAAATCTTCATCCTCGCTTTCCTCGATTTCCATGAACTCCGTATCCTCATCGCTGTTCTCAAGATCTACAGAATCCTGGTTCTTCTCTTTTTTCGTAGCTTTTTCTCTTCTTGCAATTTTGTCAGCTTCCTTCCGTGCCTTCTCCATCAGATCCTCGACGTCTTCTTCTATACATGCTTTCTCCTCTGCAGTCTGGATGTGCACACCTTTGGCTTGAAGCGCGGCAATCTTCTCCGCTCTCTCATCAGCAGCTTGCTTTCTTGCTCGTCGTAATAGAAACGCCTCATGCTCAGCGCGAGTTAGCCCGCGATTTTTTGCGGGAGAGGTGACCCGTGCGAGAAGTTTCAATTTTCGCAAAGTATCTGAAGATGAGGATGTTTTTGCGGAGAAGTTTTCAAAAAGCGCTAGCTTCCGAGCTTTCGCTGGTGACGTGACAACTTCTAGATCGGAGTCAGAGTCATTTTTCTGCCCTTCAGCGACAGCTTCTCGAGAAAGATTAATTCGGACCTGGCGTATATTCTGAGGAATACCTGTGGGTTTGGGAAGATATTCCTTGGATGAAATATTCTCCTTCTTGTTAAATGTGGCATCGGTGATATTATGCTCAGGAATAGCGGCCGATTCCGTGTCGATATTTGTTTCGATAGTAGACCCAGCAGTACCGGGGATCTTTGTCTGCTCATCAATATCTATTTGCTGTAGTGGAGAAGTTGGAGGCGTAACATGACCGTCGCGCTCTGCATTATCATTATCCGAATGGCTCACTGAGCTGGGAACCAGGCAATTGGTTGAATCGAGAGCAGAATCAGGTGTGGACAATCCTTGTTTAACTGTGCAGTTTTTACTAAACCTCTCGAGAAAACTGCTCACACTGAATGTCTTCTTTGTTGTCGCCTGGTGAGTCAACTGCATATTACGACTCATCCGCTGGGTTTCACGGTTCATCTCCAGAAGAGCTCTTTTACTAGCTTTTCGCGGCGGACGGGACTTTTGCGTAAGCTTTCTAAAAATTTCGTTGCCATCGTCATCTTCTTCATCCGTCGCTTCGGCGTCGGACAGAGATTGGGACCTAGCAGCGGCAATGCTGTTGATCCGCTCGGCTTTCTTTTCCGCCTCCTGTTGCTCCTTTTCTTCTCTTTCTTTTCGCTTCTGTGCCACGAGAGCCTCAAAACGAGACTGTGTCTTTTGTGGCTCTGCTTCGCTTTCCAGTTGGTTCACGTTATTTCCACTCTCGACTCTCCTAACCGGCGAATCCTGGGGAACAAACAAAGGGGAGGAGTCTCGGTGCGATAGGCTGCGTCGCTTTAAACCGGCATGTGATCGCGATCTCCGCGTAGAAAAAGGAGTGGATCCCAGCGACGACTGAGAAGTATCTGACAGATTTCCTTGCTCCATGTCTATATCGCCTTTGGGTGGCTGCGAGGCCCCAGATTCAGTATATAGTCTTGCAGCCAATCGTCCTCTCGGTGCTGACGGTAATGCGTCGTCATCATTCTTCTCGTCGTGGCTGGTACTGGCCTGATGGACTAGGTCCAGTCCAGCACTCAGCTTGTTGCGCGCTCGACTAGGCCTGACATCATCTTCGGAGGAGTCACTGTCAAATGCTGCAAGAAGAGCCCTGATCTTTCGGCCAGGCGTTAGAATTGCAGACGGGTTTTCGTCTGCGTCGCCCTGGGCTGGCGAGCACAGTCGCGTCGAGCGCGGCGTCGTTGGGGACAGCATTTTAGGAAAGCTGAAGCTGCACAAATGGCATTTATTCACGGAGGATGTTGGCTATCTCATGCTGATGACTGGGCACATGTAGGCAGGTCAGTCTGTCGATAAGCAGTTCAGGGCTGAGCGGGTTGATGCTGTGTGGAAGTCGATTTCTGCTCGCGCGCCAAACAACTCCGACACGCGACTTTCACGCGCGCGTGACGTCACCTCGGGCGTCCTGATGTTTGCGTGGTTTGCACCGCTTTGTAGAGGACCGAGAATAATATGGAGTAGGCTGCTCTAGCTTTGCTACAGAGTTTTTTTGAAAAATATACAATAAAACAGCCCATATCCATACTCGATAGAACTCCCAGCTTAGCTATCCGTTGCCTGTACGGAGTACGTGCATCCCAATCCTTCCATACACCGGAAAAATGAACAACAAGACTGGGCCCCCAGCTATCCTGTGTGGCGGATGTAGGACCTGGGAATAAAGTACTCATCGGTAGTGGAGTTATGTAACTACCCACGCCGTTATTCATCAGCTAAAGTCAGCGAAGCCCGTTTGGAGATATTGAGAAAAAATCCAAACAGCGAGCAGCAGATTGATTACTGTGAACTTAAATATCAATATCAATTTCGAAATCTAGAGAGGCGGCAAGAATTTCGTCTGCATTTGGAGCATAACGAATTTTCGGGATTCCAGTTTGTGGCTTCGTGTCCTTGACGAGAGCCACGGGAGTAACAATGCAGGGAGGTGTGGCTTTATTTGGGGTATTCCCACCAGCAGTGAGAGGTGTAATCGTGCCACTAACTTCGCCACGATTTTCTTTCCTTGGGACAAGTCCGTTGCCGCTGGTATCATAATGAGTTCGTGCACGAGTCTTGACACGCGCAAAGCGGTCAGGAAGTGCCTCTCCACGAGCAACGGCAGCCTCCTGTCTGCGGGCGGCTCGTCGTTCCTCTAGCTGGGCTTTTCGTACATTCTCGGTGTTAAGCTTCTGATTTCGGCGGTTAAGATCAGCAAGCCGCTCCTGCTGGGTCTTCTCAGTAGACTTCGGCTCAACAAGTGTTGTGCCAAATGCTAGCTTTGGACATAAACGGGCAATCTCGGCATCGCAGTCCGCAATAGCGGCTTCATTACCTGAGGCGACTGCTTCTTGGCGGCGCTTTTGCAGCTGAATGCGTTGGAAAACAGCCATTTTATTATCGTGCGTGCCTTGCCGCTTCAGTTTCTCTTGCAACTCGTCCTTTGAAAGCTGGTAGTTGATAAGGTAATGGATATCATTGACTTTCTTATTCAAAGCAACCTTAGTCGGCATCTTAAACCCCTCCACAATCATGGTTTGTCGGAAGCGGTTAAACTCTGACTATACCACGATCAGTTATCTCAATACATCCAATAGTCTAACACTTACATACCTCGGTAAATGGAGCGTCAGAGCAGAAAATGAACGGAAAATCTTTCTTCGAGTTTCCATGCTCGAGTATCACGTACTGCCTGGTAACAAACTTCCTGCCGTTTAAGCCTTCGATTGCATATGGCTTGCCATCTGCGAAACCTGTGTATTCTGGATTAGGAGTTTGGACATATAAAAGGAGGCACAGGGAAAAATATATACCCTTAATAATGCAGAGACGGTAGACAAGTTCTCCAGTTTCAGGGTGAGGTCCGACGTTAATGCGCGCAGTGCAACCAATCATGAGCCTCTCGAAGTTGGGGTAGAAACAATATTGGGCAAAATTGCTGCGGCTAACTCGCGTTCGTTCGAAATCACGAAGTTCAGCGGGAAGATCATCCTTAGAAAATGACGTGGAGAGGTGACCAGATTCTTCACCCCATTCAACTTCACTCTCACCGTGTGCATCAACATCTGAACCTTCAGCGGAAGCAGGACGCTCATCTTTCTTCTTAGAGCTGGCATCACGGCGTCGCTGCTCGTCGCGTTTGCCTTTCTGTTCTCGCTGACGTTTGTATGCTTCGATCGCGTCGGAAGCCTCACCAACCTTACGACCACCTAGAGTGGTCTTCTGACGAGAACTCTTTCGCTGACCGTCATCGCTGGCCTTACGCTTTTTTTTCTCGGCAGCCCTTGCTTCGTCCCGCTCGCGCACAGCGAGAAGTCGTCTCAGAGCAACGTCTTGATTGTGGCGATCAACCATCTGGGCTCTTTCCGAAAGCAGCTCTTCGCGCTGAATTTCTGGCATTGCCAGAATGTCCTCTTTGTCTTTGGCAGAATAAAAGAGTTTTTCATGTGGGAAAATCGGGCCTCTTTTACCTCCTGGCGGCGGAGATCCATGGATGTCGGATTCAGACATGGAGGCCGAGTGGAGGGACTTGCGAGAGCGAGTGGACGAGGATGACCTGAGAAGTTTGCCAATTAGAATGACTGTGAAGTTGAAGGGATAGGAGTATGGCAATCATATAAAATGCAGGTAGGGAAAGCCAGGTAGAAATGATGATAGAGAAACACAAAGTGAGAGGAGAGCCAGAGGATGGACCAGCAAGGTGAGAGACTAGTAATTAGACAGTAAGTTTGTGAATAACACATACAATTCACCTTCCTCTTCTTCATCATCCTTCGCCCTCTTTCTACGCTTCACAGGCCTCGCTGTTCCTTTGCATGCCATTTCACCCTCTTCATCACCAGTTTGTCTTTCTTTGGAGGGGGGTGGTGGGGAAGCCGAGCCTTTTATCTGTGCTGGAATGGAAGTTTCCTCATCTGATGAATCATCTCCGGCTAGGGCGAGTAGTTCGGCGTCTAAGTCTGCCATGGTGAAAGTGGCAGGTGGATATTCTGTTTGTAGTGTTTCTAGACTTTCTGAAAAATAAATCTATTGGAAACCCCCAGGGTGTCCTTTTAAGATGCTCCAGGCAGCAAGTGAATTCGGCAAGTCAGTCAACTATTTAATAGGGGCGCAGTGGCAAAGCGGGAGGCGCGGCAGGGGTGAAGTGCCTGATATTAAAAGGTACAAGAATGGCAAATGAATGAAGATGGATTTCATAAGTATTAAAAAAGAGACTGGAAGAATTGGATGGAAGGAAAGGAGATGGTGAGAAACTGGGTGTGTTGCTGCCCGGCCGGTCGCCTCGCTGTCGTCGTCGTTGTCCATGAATTCTAAGTACGAAGTAGGCGGTTCGCTTATATAATCATCTAGTCCATTCAACGGAGCGAAGAGTTCTTCCGTGCCGACCTCCCTGGCCAATTAGAGAGCGCTGGGCGTAGAGCGGCCGCTAATCTAGAAAGCTACACCATCCTTCCTATAACTAACTGATGGATTAGCAGCGCACGTCCCAATCCGGGAGATAAGGGTACTTTAGGCTAAATGCACTGGACAAAGAAGTATTAATGCCCTCTTTCAAGAGTATACGCAACATTTCCCACTGGCTCCAGCCTGGCAGTAAGAATTTGGTTACTAACACGACCTGCAAATTGGAGCCACGCATTGAAACATATCTAATTATCCCACAAAGCTTTGATCTTTGCCTAAATCCTCTGAACCATAATTGCTACACACACAATGACCAAAAGGAATCCTTCCATTGATATAGTTAACCAATATATACTATCTCGTACCAAGTATACCTAACCCCGAGGAAGCACTACCCCGCCAGCGTGTCGTCAGCCTGGGGTAAAAGAAGCCGCCCGAATAAGAGGAATATTATTATCGGTGCGCCGTATTATTATTACCCTTATTTCCTGAAGGATGCGAGAGTTCTATCTAGTAAGTTAGCTATGTAACATGCTGAACCTCATGATTAGCGTCTTTCTTTCTCGCGTGGAAATGAAGCTGGCAAACGGGATTCCTACGCGGCTCAAGCTGCTAGCATGGCTCGGATTCATATAAGTTGCGGGTATCAGCCTCCCAGGACAAGAGTAGTGTTTTCAACAGAAGCCATAGGATATTCAAAGATTCTCTCTCCAGGACATTCTCCCACTCGTTTTCTCAAATAAATATGGCTTCAATACTCGCACTTCTAGCCATTTCGCTTTCCGTATGCGTCCACGCTGCCCCAACAAACGCACCTCCGAGCACACCTTCACCATCCGCGGGCACACCACCTCCTACTGTTAACGTCAATCCTGAGCCCAAACTCACCCCGGAGTTGAAAGCTGCTAGGCACAAAAGGGAAGAGCTAAAAAAGATATTTCAGATTGACTTAAAAAACCCACCATTTGTGTCAACTGAGAAAGACTGGCAGTCAACATGCTTTGCTTATTGGGGTCTCTGCCCAGGTGGCGCTGGCTTCTTTTACAAACATCGGCTGATGGAGATTTCGAATGTAGAAATTCTCTATACAGCTGTCACTGAAGGAGAAACAATCAACACAGGCAATGAGACCACTAACCTCAAAACCATAAAATCTACATGGGTCACGGCAGGCCGCACCCAGGGTTGGAGCATTGAAGCAAGACTTTCAGGGAACATTGGTGGTGATAAGGGTGGTGCAAAGTTGGAGGTCTCTGCTTCATACTCAGATGTCAAAACGGAGTCAAAGACGGAGATTGTTTCAGCAGAGATGGCCATGCCCTGCCCAGCCAACCATATGTGCGCAATTGCAACCTGGACTTTCTTTGCAAAGGTTACTGGTTCATGTAAGCCTGTGCCGTGGGTGCACTGCGGATACGAGCGAAATATGTGCGACCTCAACCATACTCCTGGCGGCGGCTTCTATCCGCCTTTTTGGTCTGGCTGCCAGCAATTCCTAGGGCAAGCCCTGCGCTGCGATTGGAAGAGTCCTAGGGTGGATTGTGAGGCCACTCTGCCGATATTTGACCAGTCCGGAAAACCAATTGCACCCTTGGTGACGCTACAGAACCAGATCATCTGAGGTTGTGGATGCAACATGCGGGATAGCGGGAGGTGGATTGCTGCTGCCATAGTATCGATAATATTCTGGCGCTCTACTTGATATGGCCTGTACTCAAAGGGGGATAACGGCGCATTTTCAAGGACTCGATCATGTATTTAAGTCGCGGAGTTTGGTGTTTGGCTGGGGGCATGGAGCAGTACTCCGTATTGGGGTTCTTGCATTCATAGAATGCTTGTTGGTTGGCTGATGCGGTACAACATGCCGAGGTTAGTTAACTAACTGACTAACTAACTAGGTACCACACTTAACTACCTAGTTCCTTAGTTAGTTCAACAACTAACTAGTTGTGAGTATCCTAGGGTACCAACATATAAGTGATTCTAGTGCATCCAGATACTATATAGTTACGTTATTAAGCACTAAATCAAATTACTCAGTCTGCACAAGGTCGTTCTTCGCGGCCGATGGATTCGGATACCCTGCCTGACCAGGCTCCTGAGGCATTGAACTACATCCTTGCCTTCCTCCTCGTCGGCATCGCATGGGGCTTCACGACCCCTTTCATTCGCCGAGCTGCTGTTGAATTCAATAGTCGGAATGACTCTATGTCGCTGGGTGGTGAAGACCGACGCTCTTGGGTTGAGCGGAAAGCGACTGCGGTGTGTTGGACTGTAGTGAATTTACTACGTACGCCGGCGTATGCGGTCCCGTTGCTGCTGAACTTGACCGGTAGTGTATGGTTCTTTTTGCTGGTTGGGAAGCATGGTACGGCGAAATTCTTTATCTTTGCGTCTGAGATAATTTCTCTTACACCTTAACTGATCAAATACAGAGTTGAGTTTGACAGTCCCAATAACAAATTCCATGGCATTCCTGTTTACCGTCCTGGGTGAGTGGTATGTGGAAGGAAAAATAATCTCAAAGCGTATGTGCTGCTCTTTACCCGTTCGACCCACCGTCGCTAAAAAAACATTTATCTAGGAACCTGGTTGGGTCTCTGCCTTGTAATTTGTGGCATTGTAGTGTGTGTTCATGCAAAAAACATGTAGAATTCTATTTAATACGCATATGGAACTGGCAGGGGCATTTTGTCTAATACTCGGATACACTTTACATAGATCAAAGGGGATTGAAAATCCGAGGAATACTACATCCAGACAGAGTGCCAGAGAAACAGGCGGGGGCGCCCATGACTGCTGGGAGATACAACTGTGCCGTTCGCAGGTCCAGGCGGGTGGTCCTGAGGCGTCTTAACTGGTAATGAGTTACTACGTAGTGATACTGTAACATTACGGTAGTGAAAAGATCCAGGATTCCGCTATGGCTTGCTCCCAAAGACAGTGAGACTTCTCACTTCAGTTGGGGAAATTCAGAGTTTCAAGCTTGCTTTTGCTTCAACAAATTTTTGTATGTGCAAAGAGGATCTTCGAGCGCCACACTGCACATTTCTTTGCTTCAACCATGGTCTAGAAAGTTGCAAGCTCACAGCTGATTTCAATCACCTTGATTGTTTAACATTTCTGTACCACATTGACTCTCCCTTGTTGATATTCATTCTTTCATTGTTGTTGTTGTTGTTATTCATTATTTTTCATAGGCTCTTATGGAGTCTTAGACTATGAAGAGCCACTCTCTCTAATCTGACTTAGTTACAGCATGTGTTATTCTTGATATCTGGGCTCCCATCACTTCATTCTGTTTAAGTCTCAAACTGTAGCATGTTCAGAAGGGGTTAAGATCTCTTATTTGACTTTTCACCAAATTCTTCTCTTTGATCATATTCTCTAGACTCTAGAGAAATCCTCACAAAATCTAGAGTGTAGCTGGTATATCTAAACATAACAAGAATCAAGAGAAAATCAGAACAAAATGTATAAGATCACACTAAGACTGACAAGCTCAGTCTATTAACTTAATCTAGTATATGCTTATGTAACTTTCATATCATCACTCACACTAAACTTTTCTAGTTTCCAGCAGTCAATAATCTTGTCTTCTAGAGAGAACTCTCTCCATTCAGAGAAGAGGCTTCTCTGTTGATAAAATATCATTTGAGAATAGCAGAATTCAAACCCACAACCTTCTTTCTCAGATGGTTGTTCCCCAAAAACAACAAACCATGCCAGAAGGATTCCTGCAGACATTTATCAACTACACCATACACCCTCCCATTTTTTCATTGTGTTTCTTGCCTTGCTATGCTATTTTTACTGTTGTTATCCTTAGGTTATAACGCATACAACCTGTTACAATGAATCAAATATCCAGTAGCAGTTTTTATTGTAACAGGTGCATAATTCAAATTGGGGTTTCTGTCATCTAATTTGAGTGATTTTCGGCTCGGGGTCCGAGGCCGCTTGGTAAGACTCAATCGCCCATCATCAATCCATATAGTTACAGATGTTCTAATTTTGGACCCATCAACAATGCCAGTTGCTGCCAAACCTACTATCAAGTGCCCCAAGTCCATTGACAACAAGTGGTCCTGTCTTCAAAGTCGTGGCCACGCTAAGTCGCTAGCTATGATAGGTACATACATTGGGGTGTGTGTATAGAAAGCCCTGGCGCCCTGCCTATCTTGAGGCCCTCGATGTTTAGGTATGTTTTGTTTGATGGATATGTGTTCGCAGGAATAATAACTACGCTGACATATCTGAAGGAGCTTTGCATTTCTCTACTGAAGAAGTGCCATGAGATGGGAAGATCCTTCGTCAGCTGAACAGCTATGGCATGTCTGAGGGAGTCTTGGATTTTTCTATTGAAGGATCATCCTTCCATCATGCATCTATGACGAAAACACCGCAACACAAAGTCGAAAAAAATTTGCTATTCTTATTTATTTCGACGAGTATATATATCCAGAGGAATCGCGAAGGTTGGAGTCATCATTGCAGCATTGGCTTTCACCAGACAATCATCACTCAATAACCATCTACCTTCCATCTTTACTCTAGCTTCCTCTGTCAATCTTATTTTGAAAATGCGTTTCACTCTTGTTATCGCCCTTTTGGGAGCTTCTTCCCTAGTGTCCGCTCAGGCTACAACTCCCTGGCAAAGGATCTCGACCTTCCTTCGAGGCTCAATCGAAAATGCCAAGGCACCGTTGGATGCACAATTGAAACTTTTTGATAATCCCCCGCAGAAGCTCAACTTAAAGGTCAGTTTGGACACTCTGGGCGACTTGAAAATCATCTCAGTCCGACAATCATTAGCCGTTAAGTGATATTCTCGAAGGTCTGGCAAAGTCCTGGGGGGGGAGGTTTCTGGGATATTAAGAGGAGGGCCAGTTCAAGAGTTGGTCAAAGAGGCTCGCAACGTGTGTGGTGGTTTTCGACAAGTGAGTGTAAAGAACTTCTCTTTAAGAACTATTTCCTAAGTAACCATCTTCTAATAAACAGCCTATCCGTGACATTACGAGTCAAGCTCAGCGACTTACAAAGCAAGGAATGAAAGCGTCTGTGCTTCTGCGTCAAGGCCGTATTCAGAATTTGGAAGATGCGGTGACAAGCGTCCATCTCTTGAATCGTGCATTCACTGTAAGTTTGATTCCTCAGGTATCTAGCTGTTGCTACAATGTGACTAACCCAAAATCTAAATCAGTCGGCCTTCAGAGGATTTCCGGCTCAGGTACTGCAGTCTTGTCGAGACGTATTTGATTTGTTTCATTCTGCAGAAAAGGCTTTGAATCTAGCCAGCGCTACCTGGACTGGGTAGGAAACCTATCCGGTGGAGCTGTTGGAAGTGCGCTGTATTTCCTTGTTCACTTGGATTCTTAGATAGATTTTTTGACTATAGTAGCTAGATCTATAGCCCAATACAATCATTCTGACAATCGCTGGATCTAAATTACGGTAGAAGAACCATAGTTAGTAAACATACAGTCTCAAGGCCGTAGAAATAGAAAATAAATGTTATTTATTGGTGGTAACCGCTGATCAGCCGTAATCTTTTAAAAGAGATTACGGATTTTGAGGGAAATTTCTGAAATTGAAAAACAGTGTAGAAAATCCGAGACAATATGAGGCTTGAAACTGTATTCCAGCGGTTCTTTAGATTTAATAAGGCTCTATGCAGAGCTTGTATGCCTATGTTATTCAATGTTCCATTATTGAGGAACGGTCATTCCATCAATATTATGCTGAGATTCTGTGTGAACTTCACTAATAACCCGCCTGCTTGAAGGCGCCGCAACCACTCCCATGCCTTGCTTTGCCATTTGAAGCCTGGCCCTCTGCTATCTGGCTATCACACGAGACAGTGGATAGCACGACGGAAATGTCAGAAACACAGCCTCAGAGGGCGGTCAGTCGCACAAGCGCTATGACAAGTGAAATGAAGAGCAGAGGTGTAGAATAAACGGGGACAATGCGACTTGTCTAGGCGCATTCTGTCAGGCAAATCGGAGGAATGACGAGACAAGGCAGGGCCGCGAAATTCTGTTAGTAGTGGAAGGGTTTCTGGAGAGCCGACACGGGCACGAAGGATTGGGCATTGACGGTAGGATTTGCAGGGGCTCGCCGTGCGGAGTTGTGAAGCTGATCAGTGATGGCAACTTCGTATATTATCTGCTCTCTGGTGTCGGCTTGGCTGTCCCGGCATCCTTGAGCCGCCAGCAAAAATCCCTGATACGAACAAACTAACTAGCTAACTAATTGACTAGTTAGCTAGTGGGAGAGAGACATGATGAATTTGTATTCATTCGGATGAAAGAACTGAAGAGGATAGTGGGAGAACATCTCTGATTCCTGGTATTCACAGTTGAAACGGCGCTCTAACCCTGACCAAACTTTCTAGTGAACGGTCCTCAGAGAGAGCTTGGCGAGGAAAAGGAGACAATAATACCAAGGCTGATGGCACCACCTAGCCAGCAGACTGGCCACGGAACCTCGCTGCTTGTACGGAGTCGGCGAAGCTTTTCTTGTTCCTAACACAAACCGGACAGCCTCGCCCAAGGCTCACGGACGAACAGCGCAGCGATTACTGGCGATCTCTGTCTAATGGGCAGATGGTACCTCCGCCTTTCACGTACGCGCCCCCATCGGCTAAGATGGCGGCGCGCTGTCCTTCTATCTCTGGCCGTGTTCTTCATAATCGACCTCCTTCGCATCACTTCCTACGGCCGCCCTTCCGTCCCCGAACCACGGTCAACACTAAAGAAGCCGATACCGCAACAGAGGGTTTTTATAGCAAGCATTCATTGGAACAATGAAGCCATTTTGAGGGCACATTGGAACAATGCCTTGCTAGATCTCGTGCGCCACTTGGGGCCTGAGAATGTGTTTGTATCGATATTGGAGAGCGGAAGCTGGGATGGAAGCAAAGACGCCTTGAGAGGCCTCGACGCCGAACTGGATAAGCTGGGAGTGCAAAGAAAAGTGGTTTTGGATGAGACCACACACGCGGATGAGATACGGCATGCGCCTCCTCCAGGAGTCCCCGGGTGGATCTGGACATCCAGGGGGAAAAGGGAACTAAGACGAATCCCATATCTATCACGACTAAGAAACCGTGTGATGGAAGACTTATCTTTCCTGCAATCCCAGAGAGGCCATAGAAGATTTGACAAGGTCTTGTGGCTCAATGACGTTATATTTACTGTAAGTGTCTGCTCCACTGCCTGTAGAGTGTTCAATAGCGTTGTAGCTGACACCGCTGTACAGACTAACGATGTCCTCAACCTCCTTGATACACGCAGTGGAGAGTATGCTGCAGCATGTTCGTTGGACTTCTCCAAGCCACCACATTACTATGACACCTTTGCTCTTCGAGACGCTTCCGGGGCAAAGGCAATAATTTCCACATGGCCATACTTCCTGTCATCAAAATCCCGCCGCGCCCTTATCTCTAATTCTCCAGTGCCCGTAAAGTCGTGTTGGAACGGAATTATCTTCTTCGATGCTACTCCTTTTTACAATACACCTACCCTAAAATTTCGGGGGACAGCTGACTCTCTCGCAAATTACCGCCTGGAAGGCTCCGAATGCTGCCTCATCCATGCTGATAACCCACTTACCCCAACAAAAGGAGTTTGGTTGAACCCAAATGTTCGCGTCGGGTATAATGAGGATGCGTATAGGCTTGTAAATCCATCGGCCCCGGCCACCTGGCCCAACCTGCCAGAGAGGGTCGGGGGAATCTGGAGCAACAGAATCGCCCGATGGACAAATATGCCCCGAAGGACACTGGAAAATCTAATTGTGAAATGGAGGCTACGCCGTTGGAAGGCTGAAAACAAATCCGGCGTTGAAGAAAGTGGGGTACACTGCCTTATCAATGAGATGCAAGTGCTTGTCTCTAACGGGTGGGCGCATGTTTAAGAGAAAGCTCAAGCAATGCTTAACTCTCCAACCACATTTCATGATGTCTGAATATACCCTGGAATCGGATTAAAATGCTTTGTGCAATACTCACGGCTCAAAGGGACCGTCCTACTATCCACGACAATACTGCACCGAAACTCTGGGGAGCTATTCGGTAAATAACACTCGATTGTCAGTTGTTTCTGACCAATGGTGAAGCCTAGCATCCATCTACCCGAAGCAGGTCTCTCCTTGTCGAGGATACTAGACATCAACCCTAATAGGCACTCCTCAGATTCGCTGTCGTGTTAAGACTCCGATTTGGGAATTCTATTGGTATCATGGAAGAAGACACTACCTTCTCCTACTGAATTCTCCTTTCAATTTCCACTTTTCGCCACTCTAAGAAGAAGCTCAACTCATCATCTTCAAACCCCAGCACAACACGAACCGGGTCAGTCCGAATGGATTGGAGCATCGGCATTCCTTCGGCGGGTGATAGTCGGTATGTTTATAACATTATTGTTGATCCTTTTCGGTCGAACTTCAATATTCATCTCCACACACTGCCGCCCGAGCGACGTGCGCATTCCACCCCAGTATAAGGCCCAGTGGCATGACCATCGCGACGACCGCAGTGAACGAGTGCGGAAAGATTTCCAAATCTTTCTTCAGATGGCTACGAACTCTGCCAGGATTATGAACGACGCAGTATGGAGGGGGTACTATGAGAAATTAGTGACAAATTGATTTCAACATGATCTGTACATAAGCCCGGGTAGAGATTACATATATACACTCCTACAGTCCGACCCAATGCGCAACAAGATGCCCAAGATACCAGCCATTCCCTAGCAGGTCATAGGATCCGCACGCCCCCCGCGCGGCCCCAACTACATATGTCCGTCCCCCGCTCAATGTTTATGCCGGCCGGCCGACGGGTCCCCAAGCTCTCTCTCCCTCGTGGCCTGGCTAAACCTGCCTGTATCCAGCTCTTCCCATCCTTCGCGCTGGATCCGCTCGGCCTTCTCCGCCCCGGCTTCGTCGTTCGCCGCCCGGTCAACTACCTCCCCGGCCTTGCCCCGCAGCACCTCGCCGGCCCCCTACAACGAACCCTCGTTAGAATGCAAAAGGGTTTTTAGGGGGGCTCGGGAAAGGGGGTTGGGATTTGGCTATACGTGGATCCCCGCGGCAAGGCCTGACACTTTGCCCTTCCTCTCCATGGTGTCCGGGTCCGCTACGGTCTCGGCTCCATCGCCGCCGGCGCTGTGCGTTTTAGAGGTGGCGTCTTTGTGTTCGCGTGCAGCGGGGACATTTTTGGTGGGATCATTGTGGCCAGTGGTAAAGCCGGCGAGGGTAGGATCGCCAACGGAGGGGGAAGGTTTGGAAGGAAGTTTCGAGGTATTTTGACTATTCATGACACTATAGATCCTTTATTTGATTGAATGGGGGTGTTTCATTGCCGATTGTGAGGGAGCTGGGAAATGAGGTATAGATAATGGAGCAATCAGCGATAATGACGTCATGACGTCATCATCGAAATGACCTGTCATTTTGCATAAGCATCAAACTAACATGATAGACATAAAAGACCATCTATCGAATCCACATTTGTCCACGGTATTGTACAGTGCATACATACATGCGTGCAAAATTCAAACACCAACCAGCCGAACGCGCCCATGACCAGAAGCAGATCAGATCAACTCGTCATTAGAAGAATGTACGTGCGAAATGAAGTAATAGCCGGAAACGAAAGAAAAAAAAGGTACACGAACATGCTCATCAATCGTCACTGAAAGGAATGTTGAAATTGAAAGATATTCCACTTGGAAATGTAGGGGTATCTCATTCAACTGGGGGCACTGGGGGGCCGACTGTCATAACACCGAAAATGGGTTTATACGCCACGGAACTATCGACAACATGTCAGTGAGCTCCAGAGAAAAGAGAGACGGGATAGGTCGAGACTCACCATCCTAACAACCAAAAACCACATTGCTCCAAAGAACCTAAACAACGACAAGCCAGCAACGCTCCACAGGACAACAGCCATGTAGATGGAGCTTCTCTTGGCCTCGTTCTGGCTATTCAGATCAACTCTTTCCAGCCCCACGGCATTCAGAACCAAAGCTCCAAGGGCGAAATTGCAGAAAATCCACACGAGTACGACAGAGCTTCGGAACCCTTTGTAGTAGTCTTCCTGCTTCTCCTCCTCGGTGACTTTGCGGACTTCTTTTGGCGGCTTGGAGGCGAATTTCACCAGCTCGGACTCGTACTGGGCGTTCAGGTCACCATCGTCCTGGGGGATTTCGACGTCGACTTTCCCGCCGGGTTTGAGATTGGCAGAGGGCAGTTTCTCGGCCTTGTCGTCACCCTTAGTTCCCCATGTGATGTCATGGGTGTTGCAAAAAGCGTAGATATTAAGGACGTTGATGTAAGTCGGGGTAAGAAGGATATATTGAAGGAACTAGGCAGCAGGTCAGCTTTTGGTTAACGGATGGCACAGGGGCCACGCTTACCGATGTAAACATATGCCAGGGATCGAAGAATAAAATCGAAGCAAGAAGCCAAAGCACATAGGTTGAAATCAGCGAAACAATCATGGAGAAGAATTGAAGATTCTTAAAAATGGCACCAAAACTGAAATTGCCAGCGGCAACTTGGCGTTGGATAGATTTAACGGTGACAAAGACAGCAGCGAACGTAAGATAAATCATGATAATGACCCAAAAGCAGGTCATGGTCATGTACAGTTTATTCGAGCCCTGCGGTCGGTTACCGAGGGCCAGAACAAAGCAGGTCACGAGAGTTGCGAGGTACAGCCATTCGAAAACAACGCCGAGGATATCCCCCACGCGCCCGAGCAGGTCAGGAGTGCCGAGAGAAGTGGTCAGAATGCGGAAAACGAGGAAGAAATTGCCCTAGGAGCAGTCAGTACGTGAAGACTTGACCATTTTGTGGTGGAAAGTATTGAAACTCACAATAGCAAACCACGCAAATAACATGTTGATAGTCTGGTAAATAAATTCGATGAGCAGCATGAACTTTCTCGAGATGCTATGACTGCTGCGCCATATCTGGTAGAAATGAGTGATGGCATAGACGGCGGCAAAGAAGCTGCCATTGAGCCAACGTCGACGCTGCAGAATGAACTCGGCCATGCGATCGGGGACATCGGTCTCACCACTGGCAGACTTGACGTACTGCAGAATCCAGCGGCAGTTGCGTTTGGACACCAGCTCGAAGCACAGGATACGATCTTCGGCCAGGTACATGTTGGCGGTAAAGATGCCGGCGTTGGCGCCATGCATCTTCTCGCCGGCAAAATACTTCTCGAGGGGGCCCTGGCCGTTCTTATCATTTTGGAGAGCAACGTACCGGTAGGCCGAAAAGGCACCGGGCAAGACGGAAATGAAGCCGAATGCGGATTCCAGGGGCTTGTCGAGGATGTTGCTCATCTTGTACTCGAAGTTCTGGGTGGCGACGAGCGGGTTCAGGAGTTTCTTGCCGTGCTCCAACATGACCTTGATTTCCCCACAGGCACCGCCGCACATGGGCTCCAGATCGAAGGCCCGCCACAGCTGGTAGATGGAGTCCTTGCCCGGCTTGGTTCCGGCGTCGATGAGGACGCAGATATTGGGATCCAAGACGCGGCCAAACGCCTGGAAGAACCAGCGGTGCGAATTGATCTTCTTCTGGTTCTTTTCCTTGAGGCAAAACAGAATCTGCACGGGCATGCCTTTGCGGGGTTTCAGGAGGACCTGGTTGCCTTTGAGCTCCATGCCCATTTGGGTGGTATATTCGTAGATGTGGGCGGTGACGTCCTTCCCGTTGACCTGCTGCTTTGCGATTCCGTCCTGGTACACCCCGAGACCCGCGAGCACGGCACGGGTGCGCGGGTTGATCTTGGCACGGCCGTCACTGACGACGCAGACGACGATCTTCTTCCAGGCCTCCTTGCCCCAGGTTTTGCTGTTGGAGCGGGAGCACATGTAGTCGATGTTCTTGAAGACGCCGATCATGGTGCGGGCAAACAGGAAATCGTCCTCGTTGTACATGGTGACGACGATGAACAGTTCGGTGTGCCTGGGCTTGGCAAACAGGCGCTGGCGCAGGGTGAAGCGCTCCTCGTAGAAGTCGCCGGGGTCGCAGGTGGCGGCGGAGTACCGCATGTGGGTGAACTCATCTCGCTCGGGGGGCGCGGCGTGGTTGATCTGGCTGAGCAGGCGGGGGGGGATGGGGCAATCCAGGACTAGGTTCCCGTTGAACAGCTGCACCTCCTTGACGGTCTTCCAGCGGCGGATGGGGGCGGGGCTGGGGGTGGGCATGATGGGCGGCGGGCCGTCGCTGTAGGGGGCGGCATCGGACTGCAGGATGGGCACTTCGTCGTCATGGTATCGCTGGGGGTAGTTGGTCAGGTCGTAGTCGTCGACGGGGGAGGCGGTGGGCTGGTAAGGCGGGTTGAAGTAGGAGTCGTGATGGGTTTCCGGGGACAGAGTGTAGTCGCGCGGCGGGCCGGGCGAGGGCCGGTAAGGGTGGTTCTGCTCGTAGGCCTCGTTGTGGCCAAAGGAGTGTTGCATGTTCTCGACGGAATACTAGAACAGTGAGCACAGCAGCGAGCACAGCTGGGCCGGGGCGGGCATACCGTGGGCTGGACCATCAAACGATCGGTGGAGGGCATCTGCATGTGGCCGTACTGCTGGTAGGGGCCGTCCTCGAGCTGGTAGGACTGGAGCGGGCGGGCGGGCGAGGCGCGGCCGCGGGGGTGCAGGCTGTTGGGGTCCATTGTCAGCGCGGACGGCTCGTCGTCGCGGACGGGGTCTGAGGAGAGACGGGGTCAGCACGGGGCGACGGAGAGGAGGTAGTGGGCGCGAAATTGCGGCGGAGATCAGGAGCAGCGGCAGGGACAGGGGCGGGAGCGGCGGGAGCGGCGGGAACGGCGGGAACGGCGGAAACGAGCGGGCAGCGAACGAGCGGAGAGGAGAGCGCGAAACAGGGAGAGAAAAAGAGAGGGAGAGAGAGAGAGAGTGAGAGAGAGAGAGAGCGAGAGACAGAGACAGAGACAGAGATAGAGAGAGAGACAGAGACAGGGCGTGTTTGGGATGGGAGGGAGCAGCCAAGGCTGGCGTTTCAGGATCGTCGAGCGACCACAGCATGGCAGCGAGGGAGAGACACATGAATGGACGGAAGGTAGAGAGTGAAGATAGTAGAGAGAGAGAGGGAGGGAGAGTGAAGATAGGTAGAGAGAGAGAGAGACGTACTGGGCACGCGGTTGTAGGCCATGGTGCGGGCGCGGCGAGGGCAGGGCGGCCGGCAGCGAGCACGGCGCAGGAGAGAGGGAGATAAAGAGAGAGAAAAAGAGAGAGAGAGAGAGATAAAGAGAGATAAAAAGACAAAAGAGAGACAGAGCAGGCTGTGCGGTGTTGGCTTTGATGCGCGTCTTCATCGCACCCGCGGCTTTGCGCGCCAAGCGGTGGCTGAGGCGTCTCGCTTGCACATCCAGACGGAGTGTAGGTAGTCAGGACGGAGTCAGCAGTTCACCAAGTCCTCCGTTCCTAGGAGCAGCGCGTGGACTTTGGCTATTGAGATAATGCCCGCCTCCGTGTCCGTGCTGTTCGTGTGCCTGGGCAACATCTGTGCGTCTACTCCGTGCAATTAACTACCTAGCTAACTCCCACCAGGCCGCTCGCCCATGGCCGAGGCCGTCTTCCGCGACCTCGTTGCCCGCCGCCCGCCCACCACCGTCGCCTTCGACACCATCGACTCGTGCGGCACTGCCGCCTACCACGTCGGCGCCTCGCCCGACCCGCGCACCAGCGCCACCCTGCGCCGACACGGCATCACCACGTACCGCCACGCCGCCCGCCAGGTCGCCCGCGCCGACTTCACCACCTTCGACTACATCTTCGCCATGGACCCCTCCAACCTCGCCGACCTGCTGCAGCTGCGTGCCCGCGTGGCCCACGACAACCACAACAACAGCGGTGCCCTGGCCGAAGTGCGCCTGCTGGGCGACTTCCAGCCGGGCGTCCCCGTGGCTGCACCCGCCGGCGACGGCCAGCCCGTGCCCGACCCGTACTACGGCGGCGACGACGGCTTCGAGCAAATCTACCACCAGATCGTCGGCCACGCTGAGGCCTTCCTGCACCACCTCGAGAGTCGGAGTAGAACAGCATAGCATGCCATAGAATACAACAATATCATACATCATAACATCCTTCCGCGTAGATACTCCCTAGCTGTCCTCCATCTATTGAGATACTCCATAGCTGTCCTCCATCTACTCCGTATTGAGATGCTCCCATCCATAGCCGTCCTCCATCGATTATATCCTCTCGCTGATCTTGATCGCCGCCCGGCACCCCAGCCGGATGACATTCACCAGCGGCTCGTACGGCCGCGCCGCCTTCGCGTCGTTCTCCACCGCGTGGTCCAGGTGCTCCAGCTCCTCGTCGCGGATGCGCTTCAGCTCGCCCACCAGCGCCCGCAGCTCGCCGTCCACCGTCTCGCCGCGCTGCTCCGCCGCCGCAAACCACTCCAGCAGCACGCCGATCTGCTCGTTGTAGTGCGTGCCAATCTCCGTCTCCACCGCCTCCGTGCACGCCATCGCCGCCTCGCGGCCCAGCAGCCCCGTCGTCCACCCCAGCAGCGTCGACACCCCCGCCCACACCGGGTACATCGCCGTCGGCCGCACCCCGTGCCTCGCCACCAGCCCGTTGAAGTACGCCAGGTGCCCGGCCTCCTGCTCGTACATGTGCCGCATCAGCGGCCGCAGGTGCGCGTGCGACCGCACCACCAGCGGCGCCTGCGCCGCGTAGATGCGCGTCGCCGCCAGCTCGCCCGCCTGGTTCACGCGCAGCGCGCCGTCGAGGAATTCGCGCTGCCGCTGCGTCAGCACCATGCCGCGTGCTTTCGGTGCTGCCGATTCCGTCGAGAGTGCGCGTCGAAAGGGAGCCCGCCGCACCGCCGCGAGGAGCAGCCGGCCGTGCCGTGGGAGCAGAGTGCCGTTCATCGTGTGAAGCTGTTCTGCCGTTCCGGGACCGCAAACCGTCGTTCGACGTCAGGCCACTGTCTGCTTATCGGCACGTGCAGATAATAGCCCGCTGACTCACCCCTTCTGCCCGCTCGGCCCTTCGATATTCCGGCTGACTCAATACATATTGTTTTATTTACCGACTCCGAAGAGAACAATGCAAGACGGCGAGCTCTGCATTCAAACACAGGCCAGAGCGGCGGCTACATGTTGCTGCTGCACACTTGAAATCTCCATCTGGCCGTTCATGGAGGACTATACATATCTAAACTAGCGCCCGCCTTAACCGGTCGACGGCGTACAAATGCCGTGCATGCATCACCTCTGTTCAACCGCCCATCGACTCCATCCTCACTCCTCCATATAACCACCACCACCACCATGTCGCTCGCCCGCTTCCTCGCCCACAACCGCGCGACCTTCCGCCGCCAGCCCTGGGCCGAGATCTCCGGCGCCCTCGGCGACCTGGGCACCTTCCTGCCCATCCTCGTGGCCCTGGCCGCCGCCCACGCCGTCTCGCTGCCCGCCACCCTCGTCTTCTCCGGCCTGTTCAACATCCTCACCGGCTGCGTCTTCGGCCTCCCGCTGCCCGTCCAGCCCATGAAGGCCATCGCCGCCGTCGCCATTGCCCGCAACTTCGCCCCCGGCGAGATCGCCGCCGCCGGCCTGTTCGTCGCCGCCGTCATACTCGTCCTGAGTATCACCGGCGCCCTGCGCTGCTTCGCCGCCGTCGTGCCCATCCCCGTCGTCAAGGGCATCCAGGTCGGCGCCGGCTTGTCCCTGCTGCTCTCTGCCGGCGCGAAGCTGCACGCCGACCTGGGCTGGCTGCGCCCGGGCTGGGCCGATAACTACCTGTGGGCCGTCGCCGCCTTCCTCGGCCTGCTCGTCTCCAATGTCTACCGCCGCGTGCCGTACGGCCTGATGATGTTCGTGCTGGGACTGGCCTTCGCCTTCATTGTGCTGGCGTTGTCGCCGCATGCACGCCTTCCCCGGCCCCACATCTGGGTGCCTGGCATTGTGCTTCCCCATTCTCACGATTGGGGAAAGGGAATCGTCCAGGCCGGTGTTGGTCAAATCCCCCTCACCACTCTGAACTCCGTCGTGGCTGTCGTGCATCTGGCTGGCGATTTACTGCCTGACATCGACACCCCCTCCATCACATCGATTGGCCTCAGCGTCGCCGGCATGAATCTGCTGAGCATATGGTTTGGCTCCATGCCTGTATGCCATGGCTCTGGTGGTTTGGCGGCTCAATACCGCTTTGGCGCGCGATCCGGAGCAAGCGTCATCTTTCTAGGCGTTGTCAAGTTGGTGGTTGGTATTTTCTTCGGCAACACCCTGCTGGATCTATTAAAGGCCTTCCCGACTGCATTCCTCGGAGTTATGGTCATTGCTGCTGGACTGGAGCTTGCCAGTGTTGGAGAGAGCCTGAATACTGCTGGTGCTTGGGATCTGGGATCGCACGACCGCCACAATATTCTCCCAAGAACGAGACTTACTGAAGTCACTCTCAGCGATGCAGAGAAGAAGAAGAGGTGGACTGTCATGATGGTCACGGTAGGCTTACTCGTTGCTTTCAAGAATGACGGCATTGGCTTTGTGGCTGGCATGTTGTGCCACTGGAGTTTCTCCCTGCCGTCCATCATTGACAAAATTAGAAATCGTTTCACTCGTGGAAGAATTAGATTACATGGCGAGGGTGACTCTACATAACGAAGGATATGTTTTACGATCAAGATAACCCGGTGTTTAAATAATGAATCTGCTAACTAGACCTTACTGCCAGCACCACAATCATATAATGATGATTGATATGATAGATTTTGATCATTCTAATGTTTCTTTAACTTATACAAGTACGTCAATAGCAATCAAACATAGTTGTTGAATCGATATTGTCTCTACAGCCGTGTATGCGTAGACGAATAGGCAGGCTTTCAGAATTTGTCGCCATTCATTATGCGTAGTCCAAATATATTTCAGAAAGTATGAAGAAAAGGTTGGAATTAGTTATCATTTCAGCGTCTACACATAAGCAGGATTAGACTGGGGGTAGGAATAAAGGGGGAGGAGCCTATATACTGAGGCAGATTTCCATTGGTCGCAAAAGATATTTAAAAAGCAGACGCAAGAAATCAAAGAAATCTATTTGCCAGGGGAAAAGGAAAAGAGTATAAGGGAAAACATGCTAAACATCCTGAAATCATAATAGCCACCACCCACCGTGCCTGAAGAAATATTGAAATGTGTGCATCTGCGCCATCAACCTGAAAAATGCTATTGAAAGAAGAGAGTCATCACCGGGAATGCAAAATGCTACAATCATTAATCCAAGGAAAAAGACAAGGGAAGGGTGATAGGGGGGGGAAAAAAAGCAGCATGGCCATGACGAAAAGGAGAAAAGACCACCGAAGACACCATCTTCAACACCAGATCCAAAGCCATCGATGTTTTTCAGAGACAGCAATCCGACCGCGCTGATCGTTGAGGATCGGCAGGAGGCGAGTGAACTGACGTTGGAGCATCACCACATTCGTTATTCAGTAAGGTATAAATTCCAAAGCACCATTCCAACGCAAATTTAGTCGAGAAGTGCAATAGCTCCACCATTACTTCTTTGCGACCTTTCGAATACCTCCACGAGATGTAGTCCGACGGTTTTTGCTTGGTTCGCGGCGAGACTGAGTATGTTTCTGGCGGAGATTGGGCAAGATTTCGATATCCGGGAAATGGGCATCCTCGCCGTTTTCGACCAGTTCGTGCATGTGTTGCCGGAGATCGCGAAGCATGCGCAAAATTTCTGAAAAAGTCTTCTCGCCACCAAGATAGTCATGGAGCCAGCCTGGAACCGGGCGAGGGGTGATTCTTGGAGATCGTTTCTTCAGGGTCTCTCGAGGTTCCGGGGTTTCCGCAGCACTGAGCTCATCCTCCAGGTTTATAACAAAGTCGCCGGATGAGTCTTCATCGCTTGCATGGGATCGACGCTTATTATTGACAACCAAGTCACTCCCCTCACAAATCTCATCCTCTTCTGTCGATCGCTTTGTCTCTCGGCGGCGAAGTTGTAGATTAAAGCTGTCCACACCCCCCCAGGAACGCATATTCTTGATAGTATCGATGGCCAAATCACATTGTCTGAATGGCCATTCGCCAGTTCGATACCTGGCACGCTGATAGTGCTTGCGACAGTAGTAAATCCACACAAAATTGGGAACTCCAATAGTACAACGCTTATTCCTCCCAAATATATGGGAAATGACCTTGCGATAGTGTGGAGAATCAGTAGAGCAGGCCTCCCCGCTGAACTGGCACTGTGGGCCTTGCTGAGACGTTGGGCTTTTCATAGTTCTGTTCCTATTATCTCGGCGATATGAGTCATATGTGAAAAAAAAACAAAGAGCTTTCCTCGTCGGTTAGCAGCCAATTCAGCACAGGAAGTGACGTGGGAGTAATGGTAACAGTACTCACCAAAAGAACCCAAATTTGACTATATGCAGAGGTATTCAGAAAGATGAAATTGTCTCAACAGAAGTATGAAAGCTATGTGGCTGGTGGAATACGCACTTGCAGCCGGACACTCCTGATAGATGCACAGAAAGTGGTTTGGCGTGTCTTTTTCGAATAAAGAAGCAAGTTTGTTCTTTAATACACAGGCAGGTGATGTATTTTGATCAGTTGGTAGGGAATTGTGAGATGATGGAATCGAAAAGGGGCGAGTTGTAGCGCTCTATGAGAAGACAAAGCGAGATTTGGGAGAATGGTTATCAGGAGTCAAAGGAGAGGGGAATCGGCTGGGGGAAGATAGTTGCGAAAAGAAAGAGTCTTCAGTTATAAGGGGGAAAGCTAGTGAAAAATGGATACAATAGGGTCAGGTGGCAGGTGAATGGGAAGAATGTTGACATTTAGCGGTATTGATAGAGACTAGCGATGGTGATGAATGACCTGATATTCGCCTGATATTGAGGCCGAAGCCGAGATAATGACGATATTTGGGAAGACCCGGTATAGCCGTCTCAATATGGAATCGGATGAGCGGTTTCTATATAAATTAAAGGCATGTTAGTGGCATCTTCCTTTAGGATGAAAAAGGACGACGCCAGTCTCACGAACATCTAGAACATGGGATGTGAGAAGCGCTAGTTGTAGAGGAACAAGGTCTGTAGGTAAGGATGATGTGCATTTATTACAAGAGAGAGCAAACTGCACAGAAAGTGAGCATAACTAGACTCAGTAAGTGAGGGAAATAAGGTGACAAGAAGCGAAAGGGGGTGATCACGCCAACCTAGTGGATGTATCGGAATAAACCGTAACAGGCGTGATAGATGGGGTACCGTGATAATGTGTGTGGTGATAGGACAGCTGCACCTTGAAACGAGCCATCACTGCCAGCAGATGCAAAGGCTGTGACGATTATTGTGCGAATTGAGGCGAACAATCACGTGGATTGGGAGAGCAGATGGGCATGGGGCCCTAGAAAGGTAACCCAGATGGTTCAACATGGAAGGTCTCTGGGAGGCATCAATATTCACATTGCTGGGTCACTTGATTCATTCTTTGCACAGTGTTAATTTGTCACAGCATCTTAAGAGTCAGCAATAAGATAACCAGGGTAAGATCAAATATTTCTACCAACCAGGACAGGACACCAGGGACGTTTGGGATTAATAGCAGTTGAAATAGAGTGAACAGAGTCTATTCAATGCTCCCTAACAGGCCAATATTCGATGCAATAATTTGCCTCCGCCTCAAACAGAAAACACAGATTATAGGCTGTATATTGGCGCAGCATGATATGAAAGAGAAACACAGCTAGACAGAGCTACAGACCGTCGGTCTAGCCAACTGCATCGGAAGTCTGAGCGACCGCCATCAAGAGGGACGTCAAAATGTTCGGACAGTACTTTCTGACCGAAATCAACCCGGTAAACAGGTGTCTCACAGTCAAATAGCGGTCACAGTCTCGAAGAGCCTGCCTTCGAGATCATGCAGGAGATAAAAAAAGATACAACACCGGGGTGTCGGTTGTCCCGGTTGTCCCGGTTGTCCCGGTTGTCCCGGTTGTCCAGCAGGATCAAGGTATCCCAGAAGAATCAAGCAAGTCAACGGTAAGGCAAAGCCAAGAATACAACAAACAGAAGCAAAGAAAGAGGAGTGCCTATATAAGGGCAGGATAACTAGAAATCACAACATTATTAGATGCTGTGGTTTCTTCCCCGATGAATCCATGATATCCATGCGCCACAATACTCCTAAAGGGTTGAATATACAACATTATCAACAGTTCTAACGGTGTTAGAGAGGGAAAAAGAACGACTTCATTGGCAGTTACCCTCTTACCGCCACAGTAAACATGTTGCAGGTCTGGCTGTGATCTGTGATGTTGTTGAAGCCCCATGCTGACTAAGAGCCATGGAACGTCACAAACGAACATCAAACATCAATGGAGGTCAAGCTCCACACAGTGTGATAGATCGCGTTGATTGTTTTTGTTTGATTGCTGCTTTGTTTCATTTCCTTTTTAATCTCCTAGCCTCCCTCTTATGAATCCAGCTCTTGTCCCTCATTCTGTCGCGCTGTTTGTTGCCCCCATCCACTGTGATGCATGGCAGCCTAAGCGCCTGCTTCAGCCTTCTTCGCCTCGATTTAGAGCATCAGAGGCGGGGTAAATCCAGGCAACTAACTGCTGATTCAGAACAAAAGCTGAGCGTGTCTGATTGCTAGAGTGTACTTACTATGCTACCAAACACGCAGTACATCCCTCAACGGTGGCTAATGATCATGTAGGCACTGCCTTTTTTATCATCACCGTTCAGTTTTTCTTGTCGAGTCTTATGGCATTTGCACTATGTATATTCCTATAGACTTCTGCCTCAAAAAAAAGCAAATATGTCCGCCTTCAAGCCGTTCAAGATCCCATCCCGCAAAGGAGCCATTCCTATCATTGACCCCACCAGCGGAATCGAGGTGAATACACTCCAAAATGGCGCTCAAAGTGACCCAAGTCGCCTTTTAGGGGCCCAAGATATTGCACCAACCTTTTCAAAACCCCCTCAAGGGGTGGTAGAAGATCAAGTCATCATCAATCATGACAAGCACAAAGACAGAAAGGAACAGAGCCAAACTGTGATAGATTCTGGTCCCATTAATTCACTCCACAATCACTCGCCCCGAAGTACTTCTTTCGATGATCTGGAACAATACGTATCAAACCTTCAGATTTTGGAAGAGGACGGCAATCATGGAGGTCAGACATTTTCTTCCCAGCACCTTTTAAAGGCTGGCTGGAAGCCAGATATCAATGCCTCCGCTTATATCCCATCATATCTTTGGGCCATCCAACAGTCTCCTGCAATGGATAGATTCTCTCAGCAAATTAATTCTATTGATTTTAAGTCTTATATCCAGAAATTCGCAGGATCAAACTATCTAGAACCTGTCCTTCAAATTCAACCAGAAATCAGTGACGTGCAAGTCACAATATCGCGCCACCCAAAAAATCTGTCGCTAAATAATTACCTTGAATATTTTTCTGAATGCCTCAAGCTGGAAGCTTCCAGCCATTCAGCGATTTTACTGCCGTTAGTTCTCTTCAACACCACTCTCGAATCGGCCGACGCGCAACAGCACCTCTATAGGCTTCGAATTCCAGGACTTAAAGATAATACTCCAATACTGAATCTTGGTGACGTTGTTATCGTACGACAGATATTCCCCTTTTCCCAAATAGCCCAGCAAGGACTGGAGTGGCTATCTGAAAATCAGTACGGACAAAATGGCTCGATTGCCCCTGGTTTTAATGGAATTCAAATTTATTCATATGTTTGGGGGATTTCGAAGACCACCGAGACCGTTGTTCTTCGGGTCGATGGATTTTTTGCAACGTCTAAATTCTGTAATGTATCCTTTACTGTGCAAGCTGATTTATACGTTGCCTTGGGAAGAGCAATTCGGAAGGTCAATAATGACCTAATGGTCCAGTCGATGGATTCTACTGATAATCTAGATGGTGAAGACCCCATCTGGACCAAGCGCATGCTGTTTCCTGACGAACGACACTGCGTAACCCAGAAAACTCTACATAAGGGGACCTTTGATCGCAAATGGATTGACCTTCAATTAAACTATGAACAGCAAAAGGCAGTGGACTCCATCGTATCACGGAATTACGGGAACGTCCCGTTTTTAATCTCAGGAGTACCAGGATCCGGCAAGACGAAGACCGTGGTTGAGTGCGCGCTCCAACTTCTTCAGTCTACCTCAGAGATAGTGCCACACCTTCTTCTCTGTGCGCCGTCGAACCCCGCAGCCGACACGCTTGCAATTCGGCTTTCTTCTCGTTTGAAGCCTCATGAGCTATTCAGACTGAACGGATGGAATAGGACCTTTGCTGAGGTCCCCAGCCAACTTCTTCCTTATACATACACAGAGAATGAAATTTTCTCCCTGCCTCCCTTTGAAACTATTATGAAATATAAAATTATCGTCACTACCTGCGCGGACGCAGATATGCTTGTCCAAGCTCGCCTATCGAATCAGGATCTAATGGAACTAGCCTTTGGCACCATATCTGCCGTGTCTCCCGGGCTTCAGGTAAGCATGGAGAAGCTAATCCACTGGACGGCACTTATTGTCGACGAAGCAGCTCAAGCAACAGAACCATCCGTTTGTATACCAATGACTGTCGTCTCGACGCCACCCACTAGTATCACTAAACCGGGGAAGAAGACTATGCTGCCCCTCTTTGTCATGGCTGGTGATGAACATCAGCTAGCTCCACGAGTATACAACTCTGATACAGCCCTATCAGTTTCTCTATTTCAGCGACTATTTATGCGCCCAATCTATGCTAATCACCCCCTATCCCGAAGAAACATTGGGCCCTACAAAAAACTTACAAAATCGATGCTTCCCATACTTCGTCCGCCTTTCATTAATCTCACTCGAAATTACCGTTCTCACCCAGCAATTCTTGCGATGCCTTCTGTTCTTTTCTACAGCGACACTTTAATTCCAACTGCAACCCCCCCGCATGCTCAGGGCCCAATCCCTACATGGCCAGAATGGCGAAACCGGCGTCGCTGGCCACTGCTTTTCAACTGCAATGCCTCACAGGATCAAGTGGAAGATATCCTCACTTATGGGCCAGGCACAGGGGTTTACAACGATACGGAAGCAAAAATTGCCCTACGCTACACTCAATCATTACTTGAACACGCATCGACGATAGATTATCTTTCATATTCGAAATTCCCAGTCACGGATCCTCCCCCAAAACCAATATCTCAGCATGAAATCGCCGTCATAACGCCCTTCCTTGCGCAGGTAACCCATCTTCGCAAACTATTTCGATCCCACAACCTTTACGACGTCAACATTGGACCGCTAGAGGCTTTCCAGGGTCTGGAAAGTCGCTTTTTGATTATCTGTACAACGCGCACCAGGTCAGATCAAAAATTTCTGGAGACGGATCAATCGAGGGCCCTGGGTCTAGTTGGCGAACGACAGCGATTTAACATGGCAATAACGCGAGCCAAAGAGGGCGTCATCATTATTGGGAATCCCAACGTGCTTGTGGGTACGGGAAAAGACGAGACATGGCGCGCCTTTCTCGGCTTCTGTGCTCGAAATGGATGCTGGACGGTGGAACAGCAGGCAGATCAGTCCACGAAGAGCACGTCGGAGTACTGGTTTCGAATGCTGGGGGGAAGGGATAAGAATACTTTTGGATTAAGCTGGAATTTTGATATCTCAAATATTGGCTATATGAGTAGATTAGAAAAGGCGCTTTTACATAGTGATTCCCTGGCGCAAATGGATGATGTGGATTCTGATGAGGGTTTGGCTGGCAAAAGCAAGACCCGTCACCGGAAGTTGGGGGCGATTCGTGAGGAAGAAGACTATGATTCTGCGATGTGGACTGCCGGATTGGCGGCTGAGGAAGTCCTTCGAGGTGCTTTGGACGATGACTATACTGGATAGCTAGGTTCCTTATGTGGAAAATAGTTGGCTGTTTAGGTCTGTTGATACCATCGCTCTTTTTCGCACCAGCAGAATGAAAATCCAAACAGGAGTAACTATCGGCCAGTATAACCCTACACAAATAACTAGTTAGTGCCCGAGATACAATCGGATGACTAGTTAGGCAGCAGTCATGAGCCTAGGGTTATCTGCACTGAAGTTTCAATCAGAAGTCCCAAAGATCCCAAGGATGATCATCCTTTAGTCAACTAGGTACTGTCAGTCGACTTAGCCATTCAGCTAAAAAGGTGAACATCTTATTAGTTGAGGCTGTCCATGCTATTGTCTTTTCCCACAGGTCCCCAACCACTGATAAACCATAGACATTTTAGCCATATCGATACACAGCAAGCTCAGTCATAAATGTCCGACATTTGACCGCCGTTCTTATAACCACACTTGCTCCCTTCTGATTCATTCTAGTCTAGTATTTCATGGCATCCCCTACCAGTCTTGCTGTAAAAAGCCTCCCACTGCTCCAGAAGACCATTGACCTCGAAACTGCGCTTAAAGATGACGACAATGTGCTGCAACAGCTCACATATCCCTCACTTAGGGATGACTTTCTACTCTACCTTATCTCACAGAAATTTAACATTGAAGCCATTGTCGCTAGTCACCTTGGACTTTGCAAATCAAACAGTTGTCAAGTGGCGGAGAAGGGGTGGCTTTATGGCAGCTTCAATGTCTGCATTCCTGTCAATATCACAAATACTCACACAGAAAAAAGAGTGATTTTCAGAGTTCCACTTCCCTACAAAACGGGAGACACAAATTATCCAGGTAATTCTGAGGAGAAACATCGTTGTGAAGTTGCGACATATGTTTGGATGCAGCAACATTGTCCTGCCGTGCCGATTCCCAAGTTGCTAGGGTTTGGTTTCGCCAATGGACAGTCTGTATGTGGATTACCCTCTCTCTTAGAGTAGTGCCCTTCTGATATTGAACAGTTCTCACCTCCCCAGGCCGTTTCCTTCTTCCATCGAACGATTTGGCATACTTGGCGATTTCTCTCTTCCTTTTTTGGCAAACCCTTACCCTGCGCGTACATCAGTCAGATATATTCCCAGAAATTCAATCATGGATATTCAATTTTGGAATATATTGAAAAAGCCGATGCAAAGATGCTATCAGACACCTGGAGGAGTCTGCGCCATAACAGTTCCCTGAGAGCTAATCTTTTTCGCGATATCTCACGGATCACGCTCTCGCTTGCCCGCCACACCTTTCCACACATTGGCTCGCTCAGAATGGACGATCGAGGATTTGTTCGCCTCAGCAACAGACCACTGACGCTTCGCCTTCAACATTTAGAAAATGAGGGAATCCCAACTCAAATTAGTCGGGGTCAACTTTATTTCACTTCAGATGCTTACATACTGGATCTTTTAGCATGTTATGATAGCAAATTACGACATCAACCAAACTCCATGCTCGATTTTGTTGATGGATGCTCTCAAATGGCTGCAGTGACTGCTTTACGAGCCACTCATTCTCACTACCTCCAACGCGATTTTCGCTATGGCCCGTTTATCTTCATGCTCACAGATCTACACCAGAGTAATATATTTGTTGATGAGAACTGGAACGTAAAATACATTATTGACTTGGAATGGACCTGCACACAACCCATTGAGATGCTGCGTGCTCCATATTGGCTTACAGATCGATCAGTGGACAACCTACTTCCAGAAGACGGGTTGGAAGAATTTACCAAAATGCACGCCGAATTCCTTGAAAGCTTTGAAAAGGAGGAGAAGAAAATGCAGGACAGAGATCCAAATTTCAACATACCGCTGTTTGGGCGCCAATTTACAGACATCATGAGAAGCTGCTGGGAAAACGGCAGTTTCTGGTTCTTCTATGCGTTGGAAAACCCTAAAGGGCTATTTTCTTTGTTTTACTATCACCTTCTCCCTCGTTATGGCCCAACCGACCCTAATTTTTACAATGGTTTTTGTTCTTATTGGGCTGTAGATGCAGCCGAACTTGTAGGAAAGAAGCTGAAAGACAAAGAAGACTATGATATCAAACTGCGTGAAGCATTCCAGAAGGAATCTGAGGGAAGTCAGCGATAGGACAAACAATAGATAGGATTTTCTGTTAAGTCGAGCCATCATTCAGGCAACTGTTAGCTCTGATTATAGTGATTAATTTTAAGCTCCACGGTTTCAAATGTAGGACTCCGTATGAGTCGCATTTTCAAATGCTTCTATGGCCGACAAGAGTACGCGAAAACAATACACTACTGCCCTACGAGGCTTTCCCAACTATGAACTCCTCTAGCCAATTATATGTCCAAAACCAAGGAAACCAAGTAAACATAAGCCAAAACGAGCAACGCTCCATACCGCCTTAGCAACCCATCTAAATTCATCACCAATGGAGGGGTATCAGAAAATATTTTGAGCTCATTTCCCATAGTTAACAAAGTTCATGCGGTAAAATATTCATTGTCCATACCCGCCGATGAAGGATGGGCGGCCCCTACGGCCACCATGCCCAGTACCAATATCAATACGTTTCATTTCTTCGCTTAATGCATCAAGCTCTCCAGAAGCTCCGGGAGGCATGCCAGCATATGTTTGGGAGCCAGGCTGAATTGGAACCTTTGCAGGAATCGGCGGACGAGAGTGGTAATGTTGCGAAATTCCCGGAGAATACCTTGATACCTGAGATGAAGCGCTATACTGGGATATCACGGAACCATTGTTTGGGCTGGTTGAATATTGTCCGTAGGCGCCGCGCTCACCAGCCCTCGGCGATGGGTCCCTTGGCATATTCGGACTCGGTTGAACGTAAGACTGCGGCCGACCTGGACCAATTTTGTGAATGCGAGGTCGACCAGCGGCGTAGGGTTCTGCGCTTTGTGGGGGGGTTGAACGATTGGAAGCGATGAAAGATCGAGGACGACCTTGTTGCTCTCTGTCGGCGGTGGACGGCCGCGGAACAACAGCGTTGGATGTATATGCATGTTTGAATCGTACAACAACTTCCGGTTTCTTCGGTTTCCGCACAGGTTCAGGGGCCCAGGTATCAGCAGGAAGGTGATCGGAGGGGTCTATCGTACGACCATCATTCCCGATTATGGGACCAAGTGATCGAAGCTTATCAACCTCATGTTGACGAGCCGCTTCCATGGAGCGTTCTACGGTTTCATACGGCGGTGCAGGTTGTTCCAACCCAGTTGCCAGGGATGCGTTCGGGTTGAGGGCATCGTAGCAGTCAGGGGAGAATGGTACCCCCTGAAGGGAGTCCGGGTCAACTGGGGGGCGTGGCTGCGGGCTTACTGATTTGCGCAGTGGAATCTGATGAGAGTCTTTGACAGCCGCCCTTGGAGACCTTCTTCCTGGAAAATCAACTGGGGAGGACCTCACTACCTGCGTTGAAGTCGATGAAGGGGTAGTGCTTTGATGGCGCATCTGCCGATGGTCTGGCATCATTCGATCGGGTTCATTGGCAAGAGTAGAATCAAAGCCTGCAATGAGTGAAGGAGGAACAGATTCACTGTTCGAAGTAGTGGGTCTGTCCTGCAAGTAACTCCGTTCCTGAGAAACAGAGTGATAAGAGGGACATGGCGACACTGAATATGCTTGTTCCACCTCGGTTGAGTGACCAGCATTGCGGTAGTTCGGAGAATAAGCAATATACTCCGTGTCTCTTTCTATGGGTCTAGGAGATGTCCTAGGGGTGATACTTAGAGGCTCAGGCATGATAACCGGCTGTTGGTCACTTCTATATTGCTCGTGGCCATGAGAATGTGTCAAACCATCACGGTGCGCAGGTGGCGGGGGCGGCGGACCATTGTCGTCCTCATCTTGGACATGAGGTTGGATATACTGCCGGTGTTGATAGTAATCGGCTTGACTGACTGACTGGCGGAGGGGACTGTCTCTGTAGACATCGCTTTTCGTTGGGGTGCTGTATTTTGGGTTATGATTACGATTCTCTAAGGCTAGATGTTGGGTGGACTCCGGATTATTATGGAAATGGGGCTCGGGTATTGGGTTAGGCGATTTTCTGGAAATATGGGAGTACTGATTTTGACCCTGTTCGGGGGTGGGCGTGTGTCGAATCATTTGGCGCGACGGCGATTCGTAAGCATGGCTTGGGGGCTCCCGATACAATTCGGCATCAGGATGTGGCGACTGGCGTTCAGACCGACGGGAGGTTGATGAATAGGGATCTTCCGCGGGTATACTTGAGGTAGAGGTATTGTATTGATTAAATACATCGGCTGTGTTTCCGTTCCGGGGGTCGATGAAATGTTCTTGGGGTTGCCTGGGGGGAGTTGATATTTGTGGAGACTGGTATGAGTGGTTTACGCCAGGCGTGTGATGCAATGGGCGGGATTCATGATAGTACTGCTGACGAGTGGGAGAATTATCCTGGACAGGAGAGTACGATGTATCTGGAATGGCTTGGTAGACCTGACGTCCAGGGCCGTTGGAAGCAAATGAAGGATCAGAGTTAGCATATGCGGCCTGCCGTGTGGGGCTAGAGCTGTGAGGCGGACGTGGGTCGGATGCCCATTGTTGGCCTAGATCGTCTGGCGTTTCATACACACGCTGTGTTTTTGTTGGTGATAGTTGCGATTGCTCCGGAGCGGGAACGCGAGCAAGATTGGAAGCTGATGGCTCCTTTCTTGGTACAGTCGCTGGATCCGTGGGGGCTGTTTTAGCTGGAGCCACACCAGTAGGATTCGCCGGTAACGGTCTCCGTTTCGGTGGCCTGGACTGTCGGGGGCCAGATACGGAGGAGGTCGGTTGGCTCTTCGTCTCAATCGACTTCTGGCCCTCCTTTCGGCGCTCGACCACAGCATCATCCTTGGGTCTGGTGTCATAGTATGTCAATTCAATTCTGATTTCGCCGGCGTATTTCCCTTTGCAGTTGAGATTGTGCCATGAGTCACTTTGGCCACCTCCCGCAATGATGACAGTCCGGAGATCAATCCACGTCTCTCCAATGAGATCCGTTTTCTTATCGTCATTGAACACGGAAACCTTTAACTGGTAGTAATCCGGGGACTGATGTACGGTGAACCGGAGTTCCTGATCCCTAAAACAGGCAGGTTAGCTACTATCCGAGTGGGGTTATTTAGGAAGTAACTGGTACCATTTCGGCGTTTGACCGCCTCTCTTGTCCGTGTCTGTTTTTTTGGCCTCCTTTGCCAATCGACAGGCACAATAGGGATTCTGTTTGCCCATAGTTTTCCGATTGGGTAAATTCTTCGCACGATCAATAATCGCGACTAGGGTGCCGATTTCAGGGCCGTCGATCGACATATCAGCGTAGATCCCAGCTGTGTGGGCACCCAGTGCCAGCTGTGCCGACTTGCTCAACATGGCTGCTGGATCTCGAGGGTGTATGTTCCAGCGTCGATTGGGTCACTTCGGGGAACCGGGGGGTGCCGGTGTATTTATTGTCAGATAACTGCCTAAAACGAGAAGGGATATGCACAGCCCGAGGAACGACGGAAGTGCCTGGTAGGGGTGGTAACGGGTGACGTAGGCCAAATGAATGCAGACTGAAGCGCAAGCATAACTAGCTTCTCGGTTCCACAGAAAAGAAAGAATGTGTCCGTTCAATGAACAGCAATACGGGGGGTACGGAGGGCCTTGCAGAGTGTACTCCGTCACGGGTGGTACCAAAAGAGCGACAAAAAAGAATATTTTGGGGTTGTGGGCGAGGAATTGTTTTGCCTGGTCCTCAGCTTGCTGGCTCCCTAGACGCGGGTTGAAGGAGGCTGGTGGGCGATCCAAGCTGTTGTCAGGGAAGGGCGGGCCAATAGGACAGCGTGGAGCGGGCCTCGGCCAGTGGCTGGTGATTCCGTGTGCTTGGCGGCTGAGATCGTCGCAGAATTCAGCATTCGCCGCAGGGCCGACGTCGAGGCACGAAAGAGACAGCCGTTCAGCGGGCCGGATGCACCGTCAGAACCACGAGAGATGAAGTTTGACGAGCATCACCGGCTGCCAGCCCGTTGTGGCAGTCTGTTTTGCTTTCGCCGTTTTGGGGTCTAGCCCGCGCTGCTAGCTTGGGGCGAAGAATCCTTCGGATCATTCTTGCGCCGAGTGCTCCGAGAGCTGACTCAGCCGGGCACGGCTCTTCGTTTATCCGCCGAAGTTATCAAAAAAAGAAGCTTCAGCAGCCGCAGCGAGGAGACTCGCAGAGCGGAACCACATTTATTGCGCCGTTGTCGTCCTCATTCCTGTCGCGCGTGACGATGGCAGCGCCCGTTTTGCCGTTGCCGCAGGTGAGGCTGCCGACGATCCCCTCCACCCGCCCCACCGCCGAGCAGCTCTTCTGGCGCTCATTCAAATCACCTCTGCTCATCGCATCGCCGTCGAATACCCCGATTAACCATATATCGCAACCTCCAGCCCCCGCCGCAGCCTCGGCTGCAACGCTACAGCCGCCGGATATATTCACAGTGACCACCGGCGCACGAGTCCAGATATACTCCATCCGCACGCGAAAGCTGCTGAAGACTATCACGCGCTTTGATGACACCGCACGATGTTCAGAGGTCCGGTCAGACGGGAGAATTCTCGTGGCGGGAGACGATACCGGTACGATTCAGGTGTTTGATGTCAATTCTCGTTCAATCTTGAAAACATGGCGGGAACACAAGCAGCCAGTATGGTTGACGAGATTTTCGCCGAATGACCCAACCTCGCTTCTTTCCGGCAGCGATGACATGACGGTTCGATTGTGGGACTTACCGAGCGAGAAGAGCGTTCAGACCTTTGCCGGCCACTCAGACTACGTCCGCAGTGGATGTTATATGCCCGGGGCACAGTCTGCCAATTTAGTACTTTCCGGGAGCTACGATCAGACGGTCAGGCTGTGGGATTCAAGAGTGGCTGGTAGAGCTGTGATGACGTTCAAAATGGCTGCGCCGGTGGAAAGCACTCTTGCGATGCCTTCTGGAACCACTGTGCTGGCCGCAGCAGATAACCACATCGCCGTGCTGGACGTTGTTGCTGGCAAACCTCTTCATTTGATTAGAAGCCACCAGAAAACTGTGACTTGCCTGTCGTTAGCATCGCACGGTAGCAGAATCGTCAGTGGTGCTTTGGATGGCCATATGAAAGTCTTCGAAACGACAGGGTGGAACGTGGTCGGTGGATCAAAGTATCCTTCCCCCATCCTGTCCCTAGGGATCATCACCTCGGGACCTCAACGAGACGAGAAGCATATCGCTGTCGGCATGCAGTCCGGAATACTGTCTCTCCGCACCCGGCTCTCTGGCGAACAAAAGGTTCGCGAGCGAGAAAGGCAGCGAGAAATGCAAGCTCTTCTCGAAGGCAAACTGGAAGAGCACGATCGAAAAGCCTCCAAAGCTCAGAGCAAGAAGCGTGGCCGGGGGTGGGAAAAGCGCCTTCGGGGAATGGACTTCGTCGGCGAGGGGGTCGACATCGTCATTGACGCCCAGGATAGTAGTAAAAAGCGCAAGAAAGAAAAACCGTGGGAGATGGATCTACGCAAAGGCCGCTACGCGGCGTCGCTGGACCAGGTTCTGAACAACCGCGACCGAATCACGATCATCACCCTATTGACCGCGTTGCGCCACCGCGCCGCCCTGCGCACGGCGCTGGCAGGCAGAGATGAGGTGACTCTGCAGCCGATACTGAAGTTTGTGCATAAGTCGATATCGGATCCGAGATTGGTGGATCTTTGCGTTGAAGTTGCGATGAATATTCTTGATTTATACTCTGGGCATTTGGGTCAGTCGGTGCAGATCGATCGGCTGATTGAAAAGCTGCACCGGCGAGTTCGAGACGAAGTCGACCGAGCGCAGCAGGCGTGGCAGACCAAGGGCATGTTGGATATGCTGAAGGGTTCCTGAACGTCCTCGTGGTGTTTCCTTTTTGTGTTATCTATCTCTTGTATCTTGGGTTAGGGGCATCTTTTGTATGCCGATGCACAGCTCGGCGCTTTGGAGTGCGTTCATCTGCGGAGTCTTGAGTCTTCTGGTTCTAGAGGAAACAAAAAGTCGATTTCCTATATAAATCCGAGAGCTATTTTTGCAAATATCGTTTAAATACAAGCCCCGAAATATCTGATCGACGATTCACTGCTCACCCTCAAACAGTCGAGTAAACCCATCCCCAGTACCCGGCGGCTGCAGCCAATTTCTGTCATCATATTCCCACCCCTCCGCACCCTCAATAACATGAAACGTGTACGCAAAGCGGCTCTTCTCACTCGTATTCTTCTCGCTCTTATGCAACGCATTCCCGTGGATCAGAACAAGAGAGCCCGCGGGGACATCCAAGACTTCTAGGTCCTCATCCACCGGAATATAATCCCCATCTCCGTGCGCCTGCAGTTCCGCCGGCAGGCCCGGCCCGTCCCAGTCGATAAACTCGGTCCCCGCTCCCTTGCCGGCGGCACGCACGAAGCGGCGTCGAATGCAGCCGCGCTTGTGGCTGGCCTTCCAGAAGGCCAGGCCGCCGTTGCCGCGGCGGGCGTCTTGCAGCGCAAACCACCAGCCCACGGCGCTGGGCGGATCGGTGTACAGGAACTCGGAGTCCTTGTGCGGCGGCACGGCGGCGCCGATGCCGGGCTGCTTGCAGATCACCATGCTCTGCAGGACGCGCGGGTCGGAGAAGCCCAGGGAGCGGGCGATGGCGGCGTTGCGGGCGCCGATGTGGCCGGCATGGGTGATGTGTGAGAATGGCGCGGAGAGGGTGTGCACGGAGTGGCCGATTTTGTTGACGGCGAGGTGTTTGGGGCGGGTCAGCGTGGCGGGCGTGGTGGACGAGAAGGCGTCGGGCTCGAAGAAGAACCGCAGCTTGTCGCCGGAGGTTAGGAAGTAGTCGTCGCCGACGTGTTCAGCATTGGAGCCGTTGCTGGGGTCGTCGCCGTCGTTGTCGCCGGTGGTGAAACGTGTGAGTGGGTGGGAGTCGAGGGGAAAGGACTCGAGCAGCGAGTTGGTGGTCGACAGGAGCGTGGTGAGGGTGTCGGGCGGCAGGTAGTTGGGGATCAGCAGGTAGCCGTTGTCTTTGAAGAAGGCCACTTGGTCTGGCGTCAGGCCAGGCTCTGAGGGCATCGTGGGAGGGAGCATACGCAGTGTATGCAGTTGGTGGTGGGCGATGCGGAGATGAAGCGGGGGAAAGGAGCCAACTAAAACAAGTATGTAGCCACGCGGACTCCGGACTGACTACGAGAAACTAGCTGGCTTAGCAGCTGGATACAGTGGGGAAGTAATAGCATATTGCATTCCGTTTATATAAACACCCGTAGAGAAGATCCAGACAGCCATCTATAATACATACGTAGGTACACTCCTCACCAGGCATAGAACTGGTTCCGCATGGTCACTTTGCGGTCGGGCAGTTGCCTCCACACCTTGGTCCTGCGCTGGCGGATCAGCTTCTCCTCCCGCTCGCGCCACTCTCGGATGCGAGTCTTCTCTTCCTTCAACACCACGCTGACGGACGTGTGGGGAGGGCGCAGGATGTGGATGTTGCCTCGGCCGCGGTGGGATAGTTCTTTGCCGAACGGACCCCGGCCGACCCAGGCCTGCGAGATGTAGATGGAGGTGGGATCGGCCACGGTGTGGCGGGTGCCGTCTTTGAGCCGGAGGTGGACGGGCGAAACGGTGTTTGTAGGAGTCGATGTCGGTGTTGTCGAGGCGTCGGGCTTGTTAGAGGCGTCGCTCTGATCGCTCTGCTCGCTCGTCTCGCTCGGGATGGGAAGCTGACCCAGGCCCATGCCCCGCGAGACAATGGCCTCGTTCTTCGCGTGCTCCAGGAAAGCCTTGACGTCCTTGGCGGCCTTCTTCTTGCTGAAGCGCATCTGCAAAATGGCGTCGTCGATGTTCTTGCCGGCAATCTGGCGGGCCAGCGGGCCCAGCTTCTTCAGCGAGGTCTTGAAGAAATGCGACTTGCTAGACGACTCGCGCTCCGACTGCATGATCTGCTCCTTTGCGGTCAAGCGGCCACGGCGGCGCACGGATCGAATGACCATTTTACGGTGCCATCGCGCGCGGCGGTTCGGGAACGGATTCAGGGCGCGGTCGAGGTGCTGCGAGTCCCGCTCCACCAGGGGCACATTGAGGGAGGCAGCATCGCCGGTGTCGGGGACGGGCTGCGCACGACGGCGGGGAACGCGGCCTTCGGTGGAGGTCTTTGGGAAGTCCTCCCCGTCCGCGAAGATGGAGCCCGAGGCGAGGGAGCCGCGTTTGACAGGCGGCGGGCGGAGAGGTTCGGCGGCATGGAGAGGGGGCGCGGCGGCGAAGGTGCGGCGGCAGATGGGCAGCAGGTGCCGGCGGACAGCCGACCAGCGTTCAGCAACGGCGGTGGCGCGGGCCAGCGGGCGACAGGCAAGGGCGGCGGCGGCCATTCTCGCGACGCTGGAGGTGCGTTTCGCTGGCGGAGAATGCGCGATGGTTTTCAGCGGGCGCGCTAGGCCCGAACGGGGAGATTACAAATGACGACACGTGATGATACAAGCCCTAGAAGAGAAGGAGAGCAAGCGCGGCCAATCAGACGACGTTGGTGATCTCATCGCTGGGCTGCCACTGGCTGCCTGCGATCCTCCGCCCCGTCGACACGAGTGCGGGCCAGCCCTGCACCATGCGCATTGCCACGTCGTACAAGGCATCGACGTTGTCGACGCCGTCTGTGGCGGGGATGTCGAGCAGGTGTGCGATGGGCTGCCGTCCCAGCTTGGTGTAGTGGCACACGACGAATTTGAAAAAGCTGGAGGGCAGGAAACTGGCCTCGGAGAAGTCGACGACGGCGACGCGGCGCTGGTGGTCGATGATAAAGTTGCCGTGCCACATGTCGCCGTAGCAGAAGACCATGGGCTCGAGGGCCAGGTGACAGACTCGGCGGGTTTTCTTGGTCACGGTGAGGAACTACGGGCGGGATACTTAGTATCTACAGGGCAGACGACGCGGTCGACGGCGGGCCACACGTACCAGGTTCAGGTGGTCCTCGAGCTGCTGGACATTCTCGTAGTGGCGCGGGGCTTCTTCTTCGTCAAAGAGCGGATGGCGGATCAGGCCGTTGCTGATGGCGCACGGGCGGTGCGCGGGAGGGACGGGGATGCGGACGAGTTCATTGAGGGCCAGGGCCACCTGGGCGTAGACGGCGTCGGGGTCATGGGTGGCGTGAAGCAGCTCGCCGGCGGTCTTGCCTGGAATGTATTCCATGACGATGTACGAGCAATAGTTGATGGCGCAGGCGTAGAAGATGGCGGGAGCTCGGACGGGGGAGTTGCGGCGGCGCAGCTCTCGATGGACGAGGACCTGGGCAGGCACTTCGGGCCAGATGACAGAGCCGCCGTACTTGATCCAGAGCACGGGGCGGTCGCGAGGGAGGGCGAGCCCCATGGGGAAGTGGCGCGGGTGCTCTTCGGTGCAAAGAGTGAGGAGTTCGCTGGCGGTGGGGATGTGCACGCCGGGCGGGGGGTCGAGGCCCCAGTACTCCTGTTGGAGGGACATGAGATGGATGTTACGGAGTAGTTAGTTGGCTATCAACGAACTACGTAGTATGGAGTACGGTAGAGTACTGACTACGTAGTATGGAGTGTCTGCTCCCCCGTAGCGCTGAGTCAGCACGGGCTGGCAACGGGCGTGGGCGGCGCGGCGGCCGGCCAGGCTAGCCTCTCTCTCTCTCTCGCTCTCTCGCTCCCTCTCACTCTCGCTGCGTGCAGATTCTGCGTGAGCGAGCAAGCGAGTGAGTGAGTGTATTGCCATGCCGCTGTAGTAGCCAGCCAGCCAGCCAGCCTGCTAGTTAGTAGCTAACTAACTAACGGAGGCATCGCTTTGCTTGCTATTCTTTTCTCTCTTTCTCTCTTTCTCTCTTTCTCTCCTCCCTAACCCTCCCGATCCCTAAGCCCGTCCACGCCTCCTCTCCTCTCCTCCCTCCTCTCCCTCCTCTCTCGCCATGGACATCAACTCCCTCCTCTCCCACGACGCCGCCCGTCCCGGCCCGCCCGCGCCGCCTCGCCGTCGCCCGTCGCACGCCCGCCCCAGCCAGCCGTCTCGCCCGCCCGTGGCCGCCTCGCCGCAGATGAGGCTCGTACTTCGCCGCGCTGGCCAGAAAGTCATCGATACACGCCTTGCACGACGCCACGGAGGCCTTGATGGCGCTGCGTTGCTTTTCTGTGCCGTTCTCTTCCAGG